TTTCTCAAATTTGACAAAGTGTAGTGCTACCATCAGTGGGCTGTTAAAATGCAAACGATTTCCGATTGTCAGTAATGAAAAATAAATTTTGATCTGTCATGTTCCTGAAAAAATGGAACTTTACAGAAAACTACTATAAAGTCATCGCCACATGAGGAGATCAGAGCGTATGAAACTCTAGAGTGTAAGGAAAATTAATTCATACACAATTACAAAGGGAAGAAGTTCATTTAAAATACTTTTCTGGGTTTTTGTGACTTTTTGTGGTGTTTATCAACTTGTAAAAATGCCAGAGTGATCATTCCTTTTCTCTTGCTAAATAAACAATGAACTTCACACTTCTGTTTTCCTATTTTTGTAGTGTTCCCAATGAAGCTGTGTGCACACTGCAGAAAATGCAGGTCCTCTGGACTGAACTGCCCTGGCCCCCAGGACTGAGCCTGGTGATGGAGGCAGGGAAGACCGGCAGGCAGGTCTGGGACCCTGTGCAGGTGAGGAGGAGGTGATGTCTGAGCCGGGTCCTGGCCTGGTGGGGACAGAGCAGCGAGCTGACAGGTAGAAGGAGCACACAGCCACCGGTGTCGCCCGCAGCCTGAGAGCTGCTTCCAGTCCACAGCCCTGGAGGGGAGCGCGGGAAACTCCAGCCCCCCAGGCCTCCTGCTACCCTTCAGCCAGTCCCGTTGAGGCTTCATGTTCTCCAGCAGGGTAGGTCCCACTCTGTGCTCACGTCCAGATTTGGTTAGCTGCCACCTGTTTTGTTTTGTGTGTGGTGCTGGAGGTTGAAGCCAGGGCCTTCACGCTGAGCTATGGCCCCAGCCCTTTTGAGTTAGTGATTTTTGTTTTAGGCAGGTTTTGGTGTCACTAAGAAGCCTAGTTGGGACTCCAGCTGTGATCCTCAGCCTCTGGGGATGGCAGTGTGTACCTCCACAATGAGCTGCGTTCTTGGTAGGCAGGCTCCTGGCAAGGCAGAGAGGAAGCTACAGAGACCCCCACGTGCATGGTCTCAGGCCCTGTCGACGTCCCCCACTGTGAGCAGGGCCACATCAAGCCAACTAGGACCTGACCTTTGCATCGGCATCTCTCCTGCTGTCACACTTTCTACGGTCTGGACAAATGACACTGTCCACTGTCACAGGGCCACATGGAGTGTTTTTCTGCCCCAAACGTCCTCTGTGCTCCTCTCCACACCTCCCTTTCCCCACCCCCAAACCTCTGGCAGTTGCTGGTCTTCTCAGTGTCTCCATGGTCCTCCTTCTCCAGAATGTCACTGTTGAAATTCTCAAGACTGACTTCTCTAGCTCCGTAATATGCATTTAAACTTCCTGCACATATCTTCCTGGCCTCATAGGTCCCACTTCTTTTAAGTGCTAAATAAATATTGGTTATGCCATGGCTTATTTACCGCCCACCTCCTGAAGCACTTCTTGGCTGCTTCTATGTTTTGGCAATTATAAATAAGCTGCTGTAAACATGCATGTGCAGCTCTTCGTGTGAACACCGATGTTCAGCTCCTCTGGGCAAGGCCAGAGGAGGTGCACAGTAAGAGCAGGCAGAGGTTATCAGACGCCACTGAGCTGTCTTCCAAACGGCAGAACCATGGTCCTGCAGTATCTGAGGGAGGATGTTTTCAGGATCCCCAAGGCCCAGGGCCACAGGTATGAGAATGCCATTCTTTTTTTAACTTTTTATCGGTACCAGGGATCGAACTCACGACCGCCTGCTTGCAAGGCAGGTACTTATGCCGCTGAGCTAAATCCCCAGCCCCCACAGGTGTGAGAATGAATTCTTTCCTAGGGCTTAGCATGTCCTTACGATCACTGCACAGCCTTTAAATCATCTCTGGTTTACTTGTAATAACCAGCAGAATACAGAGGCAGAACTGTGTTGCTGAGGGAGTAATGACAGGAAATGCAGTGTACACGTCTGAATAGTTTTAATCCCCAGTTGGTTAAATCTGCCTGCAGAGGGCTGGCATGCAGTTTCTTGACCCTACAAGAGTCTGCTGCCCACTCCCCAGTCAGCATCCAGGGGATCAGTCTCTAGGATTTTGGTGATTCTAATGGGTGTGTAGTTGTACCTCATTGTTGTTTTAATTTGTGTTTTCCTGATGATGTGTGATGTCCAGTGTCTTTCCATAGGATGGTTTATCATCTATGTCTTTTTGCTGAAGATATATTTCATGTCATATATTTCAAATTGCCAAATAGTTTTATTTCATCAGAAGGTATATTTGTTAATTTGGTGAAAAATTATTTATTGCACTGCTAATATACACATTACTGCATTTTTTTACTTCAAATTCTATTGTCTGTTGCTGATAATTGCCTTTTGTATATTAATCTTGTTTCTTGCAACTTGTTAAGTTCAGATTTTTTTTTTGTCACTGCCATTGATTATTTGGATTTTTTTTTTACATGATCAGATCACCTGTGAAGAAAGACAGTTTTATTTTTTCTTTCCCTGTGTACTTTTTAATTTTCTTATCTTATTGCATTAATGAGGAATTTCAGTGAACACAGGATTAGTGAGAGGGACATCTTCACCCCATTCCTGACTTTAATATGGCAGCATCTCATTTTTATTGATCACCCCATGAAGTACAAGGCTCATTGTAGATTTTGGTAGTTACTCATTATGAAACTGAATTCTTAATTCAATTCATGTAGACTTTTTTTAAAAATTATTAGTACTGGATTTTGCCAAATCCTTTCTGTTGTTTCTCTTTTTTTAGGCTAGTGAATAGTGGATTGCATTAATTACTTTTTAATAGTGAATTAAACTTTATCTAAAGTCAATTCCATTTTTCATGATATATATATATGTATATATTATAATTGTAATTTTGATTTGCTAATATTTTGCTGAGGACTTTTACATATATACTCATGAGAGATATTGATCCACTTTCCTTCCCTCTGTCTCTTCCTCCAGGTTTTCTGGGTGCCTTGTCCAGTGTAAGGCAGGCACAAACCATATGGTGCTGACTCGGGCCTCTGGGCAGTGTGAGGAGCACTGTGAGACTTGGCCTCTACGGAGGTCACCATGTTTCACTGCTGTGAGTTGCTGTGGCCTGTGAAGCAGCATAACTCACAACTCAGCATCCCAAGTGCTTGTGCAGATGTACTGTGGGTGTTGAGGAAGACTGGATGCTGGGTGGGAGCCCCTGTGTGTGAGCTGGTGTCCCAGGCCAGGCGGGGTGGGGGCCCCCAGCTCTGTGCCCGCTGAGCCCTGGTCACAACTTTACCAGCCTTGATTTCCTGTGAAACCATCTCACAGAGATGGGACAAAAATATGGAAATTCAACTTCCCCAGAAAGAAACTTACTCTGATTGAGATGACATGAAAAATACCAAAAGGGGACCAGTGGTGGACAGAGGCTGGCTGCCAGGGAGCAGTTCTGTGGGAGGCTGGAGTCCAGGCACTGCTGGCTCCCTGGGGCGGGATCAAGGGCTGGCTTCACCCACAGCTAGAGGAGCATCTCCACCTCTGCAGTCCTCAAGCTTCTAGCAGTGCTTGGGCACATGCAGGAAGGGCTAATCCTGCCAGGGCCTCTGTGTGCCTGCCTGCCTCTCCCTTTACTTCCGGCTGAGCATCCCTAATCTCAAAATCTATGAGTTGAGGAGTGGCACAGCTGGGAACTCTCTGACCTCAGCCCAAACACAACACCTGACTGGGTGAATTCCCCAGCCTTGGGACAGTTTGCAGACAGACAACAGACAGTGTACCCAGCTCTCCCATTGGCTGGGAGCTACAGACTGCTTCACACAGGTTATTAAGGATACTGCACAAAGCACCTGCGTGCTGCGGGTGTCAGGTATCTATGAGACAGAGGTGGACTCGGTCCTGGGACTCGACTCCTCTTGAGTTCTGGGACTCAAGAGGAGTTACCAGGTCATGCTGTGACCCGCAAGGAGAAAGAGTCAGATGGAGACACTCTTAGTCCTGGACCCTTGAGCTAAGGGCCCATCACTGTCACCTGGGCTATCACCGGCTGCCTGGTGGTGGCCAGGATAAGGGGCCAGAAAAAGGTGGTGGTGAGGGGGGACCCCTTTCCTTGTACTTCTGGACAGCTCGGCCGGCTATGGAGTGCAGATGGCAGACCCTCGGTGTGGTGTGGCTGCGCTCCTGGCCAAGGTGACACTGCCGCCATGGTCTGGGACAGGACTTAGTCTTGGGTGGGGGACAGCACAGGGCCGCACAGTCCCACTGCAGATTTAATCTGTAATGGCCTTAGGGATCCTACAAATATGGGAAAGGCAAAATTATGGAGGTGGGAAATGGAACAACTAAGGGCTCCTGCTCTTCTTCCCAGAGCTCAGAGAAGCCGCCACATGCAAAAAGGACTCCAGAGCCCACATCTGCGGCTCCCGGACCCTGGGGCAGTTTGTTCAGGAGTATTTCAGTCAGACCTCACACCTTGACGGGTATGAGGTCTCTTTGTACATCTTCCTATAGCTGCTCTTTGCTAAATGTGCATAACTTGCTTTCTAGAAATTCCTCATCAATTTCCTTTTAGAAAAGAGACACAGGCACCAAGATTCCTCTGCTGCTGGGGATCAGAAGGCCACCCCAGGGGGCCACCAGGAGTAAGTGTATTGTAGAGATGACAGCTGCTGCCTTTCATGGCATGAGGACTGAATGCACTGATTGATTCTCTAGAAGACTCTGCCAATTCTGCTTTTACCTACTTAGTTTTTTTGAGACAAGGTGTGTGTATCCCAGGCTGGCTTTAAAATCATGGTGACCCTCCTGCCTCAGCCTCCCATGTGCCAGCATCATAGCAATGTGTCATCACTCCCAGCTCAATGATGTCCACTGGAAAGCTTTCCTCTGGGGCAGCTTCTCTGTCAGCAGTCCCTCCTGGCTATCTGGTTCGTACACACATGGAAAACAGACAAAACCAGCGAGAAGTGGTTCCTCAGCTCTGGGAGTGCTGCACAGTGCACCAAGAACAACGCCCCTCTTACTCCACGCAGGCAGAATGAAGAATACCTTTCAGCGACTCTGCAAGATGTGCTTTATTTCAAGTCAGCCCTGAACCCAAACTACACAAGGTCATGTTTTGACATATTCTAGCCCATTCAATGGTGCTTCTCAGAAACTGCATTTTAACATGGAATGAAAACTACATTTCACTCATAAATTTTCATGCTACACTGTTATTTCAGGAGAAGGTTCTATTACCAATGATAATAATTTAAGAAAAGGCCATTTTTATTTCCCCAAGCTCAATATACATATTTCTTTCATAATTATGAACTTAAAAAACCCGTTTCAGATGTAAAAACGTGAATTGGAATATGTAAACTCTTTGATATACCTGAAAAACAGGAAGGAGGCTGTCACGTACTGGAAAAACCACTGCCTTTCATCATGGAAGTGGGGAAAAGCGTGTAGGGGGCGGGGCGGGGCTGGGGGGGAGCACCTGTGACCTCAAGGCCTCGAGGCCCAGGCTCCTGGCCCTGGGCTGGCTGCCCCAGTCCTTCCTGCCTCTGTCTACTTTCGGGGTGGAGCATGAGCCACCCCAGAGCGGGCGGGGTCACCCTGGGGCCTCTGCCACACAGGTGGCCAAATATTGGTTTTGCTGCTTTTGGGTTTTTTTGTATTTTTGTTTCTTCCTGAGAACTTCCTGGTGTTTAATGGAAAGATTTCTTACTCATCTTCAGTAAAGGTAAGGCAGTAGGAGTATCACTAACGTTATCTTTTTGCTTAGAGTGAGGCTGGCCTTCTGTGTGCATCTCTGACGACCTGGGTTCCCTCTCTCTTGCCCTGGAAACACGGTTGGGGCTCTGGGCTGCTATTGCTCTTGTGTATCTGGACTGCTGAAGGCTCCCAAGCTCCGTCCACATATCCCCAGCTGGACATAAGCCGGCAGGGGCCTCACGGCATCACCCCAAGAGACATGTGGACCCCACAGAGCAAAATAAGATGCCTGTCCTTTTTCCTGGTTCTATCTTGCTGAGAGAAGGGACGCATACCTGGATCTTTGCCGCAGTCACTGAAACGCAAGCCACCACTGACTAAAACATAAAGCGAGTAGCCCTGATTTCAGAGACATGTCCTCAACAGCATCTCTGCTGGCGAGGCAGTTTGGACTGCAAGAGAGGTCAGCTCCTTCGCCCGCCTGTTGAAAGAGAAACAGATGCCACTGAACTAGAAATGCTTAGCTCTTAGGAGAATGTTGTGCTTTTGTAAAAAATTCAAATGTCAACGCGAATCGCAGTCCTGGGCCCTCGGGTGTCAATTGGTCTTTTCTCGGGTCCATTTGATCATGGTCTCTGGCGAGCGGTAGAGGAATATCAGCTTGGCATAGAGATCTTCTTCTAGTTCCAGTTCCCCCGTCTCTCGAACTAAAAAAATATCTGTGCACAGCTTCAGAATCCGATCTACATTTGGAAGCTCCTCGAACATGATGGAGTGTGAGATGCCGCTGAAGAACTCCCGGACGAACTTCCCAATCACCAGGACGACGGAAGCGTACAACCCCATGATGCTGGGAGACAGGAGGGGCGCAGGGGTGTTAGCGGCGGCCAGGGAAACAGGAGCCAGGGTGTCTGCGAGGGCGTGCTGCTTGGTGAAAGGCAGCAGCATACATACGCTGTTCTGAAACCAGCTGTTTGCCCATTAACAACCCTGTCTTTCTCAGGCATTTGCCCTTGTAATAAAATTCTGGGTGGATGCCCTTTCTTCTGAGGCTAACTGGAAAATCCAGCATGCCATTCTTGTGTCTCGTGTGCCTCATGTTTAAACACCAGTCAGGCCACAGGGAGGTGGTTTGACACGCTCACAGCTGTCACCTAACTGAAACACTGGCTAAAGGTCAGAAGCAGAAAATCCTGCCAATTCCTGGATTTAAATACCGAGTTTCCTCAAGCAAGGGCTCAACAGGAAGGCACCAAGTGAAGATGCCACTTCACCTGCGGGGTTGTACATGGTCCTAGGTGTTTTGAAGTCTTTGGGCCTCTGGTTCCTTATTTTTTTCCAAATCAATGGGCAAGGCTATGTGGATTTTAATACTGCAGCTATTCCATCTGAGCATTCCAAGAAGAAGCAAAGCGGCCCAACCCAGTGTTGCACAACTGAGTGGCAGGTTGCATAGCTGCTGGGGGCTGAGCGAGTCCTTACCCGTAGCCGGCCAGAAACCCCAAGCTGGGGGGGCTGACCTTGTCGTTGAAGACCACCAGCTCCAAAGCCTGAGCCTCGCGGTCGTATATTCTGTTGCCTGTCAGGTTGAGGACCCACCACTCACTGTTGGACTTGGTCATGTTGTCTCTGGACAAAATGATGGTGATATTCATGAAATCCTTTTCTGGAAGGCACAAAGGCAAACTCAAGTCAGTGCCAGAGTTCTAGGATGGATGCAAGTAGCAGCTCTCAGACGGTCACTCCTTGTATCCCACAGGCCCAAGGTGAACAGGACAAATGGACACACTGACCATGCTATCAGAAATACAACCAGCCCTAAGGTGTGGCAGTGTCTGTTTTTCAGCTAAGGAGCTTGGTGGCCAAGCTTGGTCACCTTCACATGTGCACCTGAGAGCTGCAGGGCAAACTGAGCCGCTATGTGGACCGTTCCAAACAGCTGAAGGACATTAGATTCGACTCAAACCACGGAACTCAAAGTGCCCTCATCTGCTCAGTGCCTCTCAGTGGGAGACACTGTGTTGAAACTGCACCAGTCATTGCTGCTTATCTTAACGGGAAAGAATCACATGCAAGCACAGTCCACGGTCACACGGCAACAACTCTAGGACCAGCAGTGTCCGAATCTCCCTGGCTAGACCACCGCTGGCTGGGGTGACTCATGAGTGGTCAAAGAGGAGATAACTTTGGAGCCGAGTTTTGCAGAGTGAGAACTTGGGTGGGGCTGCACTCATCCAGGAAGGCCTGGTGGCACAAAGCCAGGCAGAGCTCTGACGTTACAACATGCGGTCAGTGACTGCTTCTGCTGGACCAAGATGACAGTAAAAGGTGGGGTGGGTGAAAAACTTGGGGTTACAGTGCACGAGCTTTCAGAGAAGCTTCCACCATCCCCAGCAATGATAGCTCCTCCACTGGGAAGTGGCAGTGACTGTGCAGTCTGCGAGAGGATGAGTCATGTTTGCCTTATTCCACGATAAAGTTGTCTATCATAAGAATCTGGGACAGCACTCGATAGATGGATAAGGACTGAATGAGCAGATGGACAGAGGGACAGATGAGTGGACAAAGAACAGAAAAGGACAGCAGGACACTAACGTAAAAACTCCTATCAGGAACTAAAGCTCAGACACTCAGGTTCTGAAGTCTGGAGCCAGGTTCAAGGGGACGTGTGTGGTCCCGAGCCCAGACCCAGTTTTGGATCTAGTTCTAGGTCCTGCCTGCATTGTGCTAGAACTTTGGCTGCGTAACACACCCCCAGCTCAGCTTCTTCTAGAGTGAACCGTGAGAACCTCCAACCTGTGCTTCCCCACCCATGGTGATACCACCAACAGTGCAGATGGCAGCGTGGGGTGGGGTGGGAAGGACCAGGGGGCCCAGCGAGGCTCCAGGTGCGGTCGAGGAGGGGCAGGGCTGGGTGTGGGGGAGGCGGACCTGGAGGAGCAGAGAGGACGAGCTCTTCTCTGGCCTGGCAGGAGGGAGGAAGAGAGGGAGTGAGCCCCAGGACAACTCCCGGACAGAGCAGATCTACTCTGGAAGCCAGTGAAAGGCGCTGGCCACAACCCTGCGACAGGGAAGAGCTCAAAGGTGACTGCAGCGTGCTGTGGGCAAGGTCAGGCTGTCGAGCAAGCCACAGTCTTGCACTAAGAATCTCCCCAAGGCCTTCTCAGTGAAAGAGAATCGCGTTTTCCCTCACGGTGATGGGATGCGTCCTGAGAAACCTGCTGCTAGATAGTTGTGCCAATTTGCCATTGTGACCCACAGGCTGAAAGAAACCTAGACGGGTCCCTGCCGCAAACCCAGGCTGTGTGGGGTAGGCTGTCACATGCGTGTGCTCTGTAGGGCACATGCCATCACACACGTGTCACCTGTACAGCTCACACTGTAGTATGTGTGTGCTCTGCATCGTGTCTGCCGCCACATGTGTGTGCCCTGTGGCCCGATAAAGCACCATGATGCGGTAACTGCTGCCCCAAAACGTGGGCTGCAGCCCTCACTGTGCTCCTGAGTGCGATTCCGGAAGGGCTGGCCGGCTGAATGGCCCAGCGCCCCACCGCCTTTTACCGTTTTCACGGGAGAAGCAGCATTTAACAGTGTGTGCGCTCGTTTGCTGCCAATAATCTGCTGATAGAAACAAGCAAAGAGACTGGGTCATCACCACCACAGTCCACGACATCTGGGTTTCACCAAAGAGACAAAGAAAATGCAGAATGGAGTAAAAGTGTGCACAGGGGATGTGGGAAAGCAGCTGAAAAGGCTGCACATCTGAGCTGGGGACATGGATAGAAGTACGACTGTAAAAAGTTTTCAAATAACTTCTCATTCCTACCTGATAAGAGCTGCTTTATGGGCTTTGAGTTAGAGTCGCTGGGCGCTTTCACGTAGTACGGGTACAATTTTTCTATCGTCCTGTGTGGGGTGGGAAAAGATAGTGCAGTCTTAGCTGTTTGACCCGCCTACCACTGAGCCACTGTTTTTGACTTCACATCAAACAAATGATGATGAAAGACTACACACATGAACACAACGCAATTTCTGTTTCTATGATAATCAGAGCCAATTCCTGAGCTCCATGCAGATTCCCAGGGAACTCAGCACGCGACACCGCACGACTGACCCCAGGCTCCTGGGTGTCCCACGTCTGTCACTCGTGCTTGAAGCCTAGCAATTCTTCCTGCTAGAGATGATCCGTGACACTTTTTAATACTCCCACCTCCGTTGCTAGGATTTTAAGATTATCTGTAACCCTTAGGCCTGTGGAAGTGAAGGGCAGGGAGGAAATGTGGTGCTTGGACCCCAAGCTGCATCTGCTGCCTGGGTCCCAGGTGACCTGCAGCAGGTCCAGCTCTGTGCTCTCATCTGGAAACCAGAGAGGACTTGACGGTCTCCAAGAACACTGAGCTCCAGCGATTCAGGAAGGACCCTTCCTTTACCGGAGACTTTAGGCAACCGCCTCCGGGTGCTCCTTCTGCAGAACACACTAACGCAGGCAGGACACAGTGCAGGACAAAACTGGGGACTGCTGATGGGCATCTGGAGCACGCTGTGTAGCGTTTCTTTCGTTAGTGATGCTGGGATGGAAGCCAGGGCCTGCTGCAGCTGGGCCAGCACAGCCAGGCCAGAGCCCAGTGTTGCTCGCTTCTTCAGTGCTGGTTCTCACACTGCGCTCTCAGGCCACAGCTGGCATCTGTCTGAGGTGCAGCATGCACAGGATGAGATTGAAAAATAGGGTAATGCTCAAACTAAAAAACAGAAATGAAACCCTTTATTTCAGTAAAAACCAAACTGCCATTTTCCCCCTCAAATCTTCTTCTCTTTGAACACACGCATCCCACTGTCCTTGTCGATTTCTGAAGAGCTCTGAGTCCTCCTTCTGGAATGTCTTGCACTGTTGTAGCTACCTCAGTCTACCAAGATGATTCAAAACATGTCCCTGTCATGGTCATTTTGACTTTGGCGAGGAGCCATAGGGCACACAGTTCAGATCCAGTGAGGACACGCCGTCACGGGTTTAGGAGCCTGCCTTTCCAGGGCTCGGCACTTGGCAGCAGCCGGTACCGATTTTTGATCGCACACTGTGAAGACATCAGAAGAGAGGAGCTGCAGAAAGTGTGGAGAATGCCAGACTCTGCATGTCGGAGGGAGGGAAGGCTCTGGGGGTGTGTGACAACTTGTCCTTTACAGCAATCCCTTTAAAGATGAGAACGTTCACTGTAATCTCTGAGGCAGACGGCACGGTCACATTCCGAAGTCCAGTTCTGCTCCTCGGATTTCTCTGACCCTTGTGCTTCCTGCCTGCCTATCCCAACTCAGTCAGCTTGGTGTTCAGACCCCAGCGGGCAGGAGGATGGAGGGAAAGGGTCTTCTCTGGCTTCACTGCTTCCTGGGCTGCTGCATGGAGGCAGTGGAGAGGAAGGAATGTGGGGGACAGCGGGGCTCCCTTGGATAGCCAGTCTCTGGCATCTCCACTGGAGTGTGGTGTCGCGGTGTCTGAGAGCAGGCCGCAGGCACATCCTCCCCTCTGCCCACCCCCCGCCACTACTCGTTCCAGCCACACACACTGACTGTAACGCGTGTATGCAGGTGACCCTCCAAAGTCTTGTGCTGTCAGAGGCAAGGGTTTCTCAGGGGTGGTGGGTTCTACGGTATGCGGTGCTGAGATTAAGCGTGTGAAGCGTGGGATTCAGGGTGCCCAGTCTAGGGGCGAGTGTCACCTGCCCTTAGGGGTGGGCTGGATGGGGCCGAGTGAAGGCTGCTGTCCTTACTGCTGCTTGGCTTCTGCTCCTGTTGTGGCTGCTGCTGCTGCTGCTTCCTGCCTGCCCTGGCCTGCCCCAGACTGTTTCTCCTCTGCAGTGCCCTCTGCCAGGCCACCTGCCCACCATCAGCCAACTATGGACTGAAACCGCCACAACTTGCGGGCCAAAGTAAACTTCCATCCTTTAACTTTAGGTGTCAGGCGTTTTGCCTCAGCAATACAAAAAGTAACGAAGATGCCAACAGGAGCTACAGTCTCAGGGAAAAGCAACTTACACAGGCATTTTGGAACTTTCCGTGTCGTTGCCAGCAATCATTTTAGCTATCTGCTCTCGTGTGACATTTTTAAGAGGAAATGTGAGCTTATCTGTGGCTATTTCTGCTTTTGCACCCAGACTCATGTTTCTATAAAAAAAGAAAGAAAGGAAGAAAGAAAGAAAAAGCACAATGTCAGTGAATGTTTGGGAGTCTGGAAGAATTTAGAAATCACTTGGGTCCTAGTTCCAGTCCCCCCCAGGCTTTCATCCAGTCCACAGTGTCACCCAGCTTCCCCTCCCCTGCCCACTCATGTCCATCTTAGGAGATAACTTAGCTAATAAAACATGGGGTGGCGGGGGGCGCAGGCACCTTTTGGAACAGAATGGTACCACGTAGTCTGCTGGCTGAAAACCAAATCTATGTTTTAAAAAGAATGCTCCACCAGAAATTGAATTCTAAAATTATTTCCTGATTATTTTTCAGTAACACTTCAAATAAAAAGCTAGGAGGTAAATTTTTGGCAATTAGCACAGAAGTGGAGGTGAGGAATTTGGGAACACTTTTAAGGAGAAAATACAATTAAAGAAGGAGTTCCTAGGTCCTGAAAACCCCCATTTGAAGAGACCTGTTTCTTTGTGGATTCACTTTGGAGTCCAGAAAGCTTTCTTGTCTGTGCCATGATACTTTGTGACTCTGAACTACGCAGCTGGTCCTGAGGAGACCTGCGTGAGCCCACTGCCTGCTGACTTGAGTCCCGAACATCAGACCTCGATGATGGAGTCTATGGTTATCAGCCGGCGAGGAGTGCAAAGCTGTGTCGCTAATGTCCCAAACACCAGACCTGCATGCAGGGCCCTTCACCAGGATGCTTTCCGCCCACGCAAGTGAAGCCAAGGTGGCAGCCGCATGTGGGCTCCCAGGGTGCGAATCTCAGCTTGCCCTGCCTCTTCTGGGACCCACGGTGCCCTGAGACCCCAGGCCAGACAATGCGTCTGCCAGGCCTTCACTGGTGTGCCAGGGATGCAAGAGAAATCCCAACTGCAGAGGATGCCATTTCTTCAGCCTTGAATAGAATTTTACAGTTCCCCTAGACCGTCCCACTTCACAAATCTTTACCCGCTTTCTTCGCTATTTATTTCTCTGTCTTGCTCACAGAACTGACTGCCGGCCACTTGTTAAGAACTGAAGTTAAATGTATGAAAAGTAGGCCAGCCTGTCACTGGTTCCTGGGAAAGGGGCTACTGGGTAAACAAAAGGGCTGGCTTTGGCTTTAGCGGAGGCGGCCCAAGGCTTAATGGTCATTCCACATTCACCTCTCCCTCATCCGTCTCCCCCATCCCCCCGAGCTGCGCCTGGGGAAGAGACAAGGATGCATGGAAATGCAGTAACTACCTCTGGATACTCCATGAAAAAACAACAGAGAAGCTACTATTGGGGTCCTTGAGTTCCTGTATCATTTTCTGCTTACTGGGAGGGCTGATGGTCCACAAAGAATTTGAGTTTCCTTCCAGTTCTGCTACTGTTATATCTTCTCTTTCGTAATTTTCCAGAAATTGCATAGCACCCTGTATGCACACAAAAGCACAAGCATAAATCCTGGACACGATATTGGAGAGAGACAGCAATGGCTCTGTCTTTTCCCGGACTGCACAGAGGACGTCTTCCCCCAAGGGAGCGTCTCAGGGGGCCCTTCTCACGAGGTGGCCAGCATTTCATCCCCCCAGACAGCCCTCTCTGGCCTTGGAGTTCCTCAAGCTCCAGATTCCTTTCCACAGTGTGCACTTCTGACACCCATTCACTTAGTCAGTTCCTATTTAGAATTAAAGCTGCTACTTGAAAATTACTTTGGATGATGAGCATTATGGTCTCCTGCTTCCACAAGCTTGGGCTACAGAGGAAGGGACATATAACATCAGCTATCATTCAGCTATGAGAGCACTGGATTATTCTGTGCAGCAGGGATGGATTCCTGCTTTTTACCATTAAAAAGATAAGTTTATATCTTCACCATTTATGTTGCAACTTGAGAAATAGTCATGCTATTACAGTCTGTGTAATGTTTTTTTTATTACAACAGAGGCTACTTGGAAGATCTCCAGTCACCATGTCACACAAACGAAGTGGGAGCTGTTTTGTACTGTGACTGTCGGCGTGTGACCAAGCTGATCAAACTCCTTTAACACATCTGTCCTAGTCAATTCACCTGCCGCTCTTTGCTGAACCCTCAAATTGCTTCTCAGTTCCACTTATGTAGAGAAGGCATTCTTGTGCCTCTGTATTGCTTTCCCAAATTTTGAAGTGCTATCCTAGGAATTAGACTTCTAATTCAAAAATCAATATCCACCACAATTTAAAAAGTTAACAAACTGGATCCATATAGGTTGATCTAACATTAAAATGTTACAAATTCTAATTATATTTACTACCATCGCTGTCCAAAAACTGCTTAGATGCTCACAGTGCCTGGTGGCCAGGACCTGGCTACATCACCAAGAACCCTCCCACTACTGCATGCTGAGGTGGAGCAGGAAACAACAGCCCGACAGCTAGCAAACTCCCCTCCACAGAAGGTCTCCACGGAGATCTCTGCTATGCATTTACTTACAGTGTCCCTAGAGAAATCTTTCAAAAATTTGTTAAACCTCTGCTGGTCCATGACCTTCAGCTGGCTCTGCTGGGCACTCATTGTGAAAATGGGCTGGAAAACAAAGTGCATAGGGCTGTCAGTAATGCCTGGCTCTTCTGGAATCCTGGGTTGAACGTGGACACAGACCATAACCTGGTTCCCTGGAGGGCAGCTGGGCTGAGACTTCTCTCCTTCTGAACTGCTTTTCCCTGTGCTAAAAACCAGATGGATGATGCTTGCTGTTTCATGCACCTAAATACATGCGGGGCATTTGCGATGGACAGGGACAGGCAAAGTGTACCCCACCACTAAACAGCCTAACCATCACTCCCCTAAAACAGTGTGATGATTCAGCTGTGGGGCAGTGTGCCCAGTTACCTGGTACCCTCCCAGGGTGATTGTGACAGAGACATCCAGGGGCTGGTTGATGACCCCAGCGACAGACTTGATCAAAGACATGAAGAGAAGAGGAAACCAGACGATGCAGATGAGCAGGACGATGATCATGCCCCCCATGCCGTACTTGACCACTTTCTTCTTCTTCTGGCCCCGGGGCTGAGGGTACCTCTGCAACAAGAGTTCAGAAAGGCTCAGGCTCTTTATAAGAAATATAATTAACCTGAAAAAGGGTTTATGGACCGAAAATCAAACATGAAAAACAATGATCTATGTGACAGAGAACCAGAGAGTAATAGGGGCAATAGACTAGTATTTGTAGATAGGTTGGAAAGACAGACTTTAATAGGGGCTGACATGCCGAACACAGCCTGGCCCACCGTGGCTGCCGTGGAGGGTCCAGGAGCCGTGAGAGCAGGCGTGGCCTGATGCAGGTCGAGGCTGGCTGGCCTCTGCTTGCTCCCCCTGCTGATGAGTCCACACCCTGGGAGCTGCCGATGTCGGGTAGGGGCAGTCTGCATCGAAGTTTCCTGCTGTTGACTTCAATTTCCTGTCCAAACTTACTACTTTGAAAATAAAACTGAAATCTAACATTTGCTGATTTCAAGTTTTGACAACATACATGTGCGTGGGCATCTCCCCCCCCCCCCGACACACACACTCAGATTTCACTCTTGAGGCAAGTGTAGACAACCAGCAGCCCTTGCGGTGCCCTGGAGCCCAGCATCTCCTGTGCCAGGGTCCACGCCTTAAGGAGTCTGCTTTGTCTCTGCCAGTGGTCCTTTGTTGTCTTCTCTGCAAACTCTTGAGGGTCAGGGGTCATCTCAAGCACTCTTCTTTTTCGCTGGCTCACCCTCCACATCCCCTGGGCTGATCAGGGAAGACCTTGTGGATTGACCTTCCTGTCCTGGGTTGGTCCATGATCCCTGTCCCAGGTAACCCAGCTCCTCACCACATTTCCCAGCTTGCCAACTTACACTGTGGACACATTTCCATCAGCGTTCCAAAGTCTGTGCCAGTCCAGTTTCCATCACGGGGACACAATACCTGAGACAACTTGGGGGGGTGGTGGTTTATTTCAGCTCCTGGCTTCCAGGGTGTCAGGTCATGGGCACTCATCCTCACTGCCATGTGCCTCTGGTAGCTTAGTGGAATGTGATGGAGAGGTCTGCCAGCCTCATGGGAGACCAGAGTAGGGCCAATGTCTCAGTGACACTGGCCCCCAATGGCCTGCTTCCTTCCCCCACCTTCTGAGGCAACCCAGCCATTACCACAGGGCCCTAGGGGACACCTTGGACCCACCTTGGGCCATGGCACCTGGAGCTCACTGGAAACTCAGCAGGAGGACTGGCTGGCATTGCTGACCTTTAGCCTCCTAGGAAACTGCTCTTGCTTCCACAAAATTGCTAAATTGATCTTATCACAGAGCTTATGATAGACATAAATCAAGGCTCTCAGTGTGGGAAGGATCCATGGAGCGCCTGGGGAAAGGTGTGCTTTAACCTAGGGAGCTGGGAAAGGGGTGTTAACACTGCTGGGTAGAGCTGAGGAGTCAGGGGAGAGCCGTCAGGATGAGAGGACAAACACAGATCTCTGTCAAATCAGTCCCTGGAAAAAGCAGAGGAGAGAGGACAGGACTGAAGCAGCCAGGCACAGATATGGAAATGTATAGATGTGGACGCTGCCCTGCACGCAGGAGCTCACAAGACGCTCTCCCCGCCGTCACCGTCACAATGCCTGTTACATGCTGCATGTATTTGTGAGAGCTGTTTCCAATACCTGCTTCCCTCCCCAGATCCAGGCCAGGCAGGGGCCCCGCCTGTGGGTGTCTGTGCGTGCAGGGTTCCAGGCACACAGAGGGGGCTTAGCAAAAGCATATTGTACATTGCAAAAAACCCACAAAGGTCCCTAAATTCTCATTCTTGGGTGCACAGTCCTGAGGAACATGGCTTTGCCAAACCCCTAGCCCAGGTTCTCTTCCCCCTTGAGTCTAAGCTGCCTTTGACCAGCTCAGAATTCGGTGGGTGCATCGGTGAATGGACTTGGAGCCGTGGGCTACTTTGTGGCCAAGAGAAGAGGTGGTGCTCTCCAAGGACAAGAGACCATCGCTGCGGCTTCCATTGGTTCTGTGTCTGCAGATGTAACCAACTCTGATCAGAAATGTTTGGGGAAAACCGCATTTATACTGAACAAGAGCAAAGGTCTTTCTTGTTGTTATTCCCTGAAACATATGGCACAGGAACTACAGGCACAAGCACTGCTGGAGGAGCTGTGGATACTCGAGGTAATTCAGAGTGCATGGCAGGACAGGTGCCATCATGTGCCACCACTACGCAGTCTCAGAAGAGACAAGAGCTCCTGCAGTTTCTGGTGCCTATCACGGTTTCTGTCTGGCTGTCTCCTAAAGTCTTGTGTTAGGCTTTACAGCAGACTTGAGATTAGGAAATGGGGCCTGGACAGAGGAGGTCGTCTCTGTGGTGTGACCTCCCGTGACTCTGCTTTCTGTCCCCCATGCCACCAGCAGCTTTCTTCCACCAGGGCCCTCTGCCATGCTGCTCTGCCTTGGAGCCAGCTGACTGTGGCTGAAACATGAGCCAGAATAAACCTCACCTTCCTGAAGTGTCAGGTGTCAGGTATTGGTCCCAGCAACAAGGAAGTGACAGAGTGTCGCTGAGGTGGACATGGGAAGCACTCACAGATTCTGAGTGATGATTGCACATTTCCAGTGCCAGGGCCAAAGCCAAGCTCCTGGCCTGTAAGTGAGATGACCCAAGGGCACCCCACCCAGGCTGGGCTTGTAGAGTCAGCAGCCACAGGTCTGAGCTGGCATCTGAGCCCTGGGGCCTGGCTCAGGCCTGGGGAGGAGTAGGTGAAGCAGGTGTCATCTCTGAGCTGCTGAGGCCCTCTACAGGGGTGACACACACTGCTCTCTGTCTGTGAGTGAACAGCTGCAGGACTGGTGAGCCCCACCGCAAACCCAGGGTCTCCCCACATGTTGAGTAGAACACACTTGCTCAAAGTGGTGCTGCTGGAGGTGGCAGGACCTTCAGGGGGTGGGGCAGGTGGGGCATCAGGAGTGCACCCCAGAGAGGGGCTGCGGGCTTCACTCTCCTGTTTGGCTTCTCTCGTGCCCTCCTACCATGATGTTCAGTTCACTGGTCATGGGCTGAGTCAGTGTAAACCTGTGGTTTTAAAAGCTGATTTATCTTAGGTATTTTCTTACAGACACAGAAACCTGATTAACGCATGGAGGTGGATCCAGTGTCCTCATGATGTAAGTTATGGTTGCATGACCCTGCTTACACTCTTTGACACTTTATGGCAGCCAATTCCGTAATGGAGCAGCCTCAGTGGTTACAGATTTCCTCAGATCCCACTGCAATTTACTAGAGCTTTGTTACCAGAGATTTTTAATGTTTCTTTCCAGTACCTTACATTGTTGAAAATGGCTACTATCTCTGCCTTACACACCCCACGTATTTTCTGATTTGGTTCTTTCTCCTTTTGCACACAGGCCTGGCGTCCAGGCTCCTCTGTCACCCTGGTTTCCACCCCGTGGCCTTGTGGCAAGGTGGCTCTCACTGTCTGTACTGTGAACCGGATGTGGTCTGGCCCTGCTGCAGCCCTCGGCATCACAATGTGGAGAGGTGGGGAGGCCTCTGGGCCGCATGGGGGTCTTCCTCGTGACAGGAGTGATGGTTTTCCTGAGGGGCTGGGTTAACTATACTGGTGCCCCCTGCCCCTCTCCCCTACACCCCACTTATCTTCTTTTTGCCACCATGTGTGAGCAGTGGGTGGCCCTCAATGGAAGCTGCGCAGATGCCAGCACCTTTCTGTCCTCCAGAACTGTAAGTCTCAGTGTCTCAGTAAACTTGCTTCCTTCATAAGTTCCCTGGTCTCAGGTGTTTTGTTGCAGTAGCAAAGAATGCACTGAGACATTCTGTCATCATACCAATTTCACTAGGCATTAAAAATAAGGACACGTGAAGAGGATTTCAAGCACACTGGCCTCATTTCCTTCAATCCCACAAGCCTCATAAACACACATAAACGCACAGTGGCCCCATGAATATTAGCTGAAATTCTCAGGGACAGCTCTGCAGAATGCAGAAATCACACCAGCAAAGCTTTCCAAGGGGACATGTATGAGCTCAGATAAACTGATTTTCCTCCCGCTCACTCTGGGTAGTTGGGCATTTCAGTTGCTATAATGCAAGAGGTTCTGTTTTCATATGCTAGACTTCTGAAAAATTCTATAAGTAATAGTAATTTTATCTCTACTTGGACCTTAATATTCCATCTATAGGAATAATTGAACATTGGAGTTCCAATTTCCTTGCACAAAGAGGTTTGACAGCCTGTTCCTCTGCACAGAACGACACAGGAGCCCCTCCACACCACTGCTCTGTCCCAGAGGGCACTGAGGAGCTATGGGCAGAATAGCAGTGCATCCTTTCCTAAAATATAGCTGCAAGGGCTGGGGACTTAGCTCAGTGGTGTAAGTACCTGCCTAGCAAGTACAAAGTCGTGAGTTCAATCCCTGGTACCAACCCCCTCCTCAGATGTAATTACAGTGCCCTGCTGCTGAGAGGAGAACATCTGGGCTGTTGCTGAGGACGCACAGGAAGTTAAAATCCCCAACTCCAGCGGCCTGCAAGTCAACAGTTTTTCGGGTTATAAGTTACGATGGCTGTCCCCTTGCCTCCACTTTGTTGTGGGCCAAACTTTCAGACATCCGCATTCATCTCATAACTGAGCTGTATTTAAGAGAAACCGGCAGAAAGAAGCACTTTCCCTGGCGACCTACCTTCTCTGACTCCCGCCAGCACTTCAGGATGAAGATGTGTGCGTAGATGTCCTCCACACAGATCCAGCTGGACAGGCTCAAGGTTGTGTCCGTCCACACCCAGTCCATCACCGCCCTCAGCTCCGTCAGAAAGGGCACAAGGCGGAACCTGCCGGGAGCAACAGATTGTCAGAGACACTGGGGTGGCCCTGTCCCCATCCATCCCAGGGCTCCTGTGGTCTTTACTGTCTAAACCCTGAGACTCGTGGGAACTCTCAGGTGAACTTTGTGGTAGAACCCTGCTTTGCACAGGCAGCCCATGAAGGACCAGTGCTTCTCATGTATTTACTGCCCCTGATGGATGCTCCCCACTAGGGTTCAGTTCAAGCTGAGGGTCACTCAGCTTCTCTCGTGCCTACTTGTTTACATTGTAAGAACTGTCTGGATCAGGGGCACCAAGCTGCTGAGCTTTGTGACGGGTAAGTCAGTGAACAGTCTTCACTTGGGAAGGGAGAGATGAGGGCAGATGGGGTGGCATGGGGAGCAGGGGAATTCCCTGGAGTCGGGCCGGGAGGACGTGCACCTGTCACTGCCTTTCAGGGTGGCTTGGCCTAACCCTTGCCTTACCAAGGAACATCCTGGACTTTCTGAGCACCACAGGTCCTCTGCAGCCTGGCCACCCTGGGCTCATCCTATAGCCTTCACTCAATTTTCCTGGGGACCCCTCCGCTCTGTGGCCTGGACACAAATCCAGTCCCCAGAAGAGGAAATAGGAGAGGCTGCCAGGGAGGTGACTGGGAGGTGCTAATTCACCACAGGACAAGTGAGTGACACACCTGGCCTGGCTGGGGGCAGATGAGCACCCTCATCCAAGCACATGCTCGTTGGCCCGCAACAGAGGCCACTGATGTTTTGGAAAAGTCCAGACTTGAAATACTGTGTGACACTGTACCCAGAGAGTAGTGTTACTACTTAAGAGTTAGGGAACCCTAATTTTCACCATTAAATATTGCCTCAGTAATTAGGCAGGATACCAAAATAAAAGATTAGCCAGGGCGGGGGACACAAGGACAACTTCCTGGCCAGCTCTCGGGCCAGGCCCGGAGAGTTCTAGGATGGTGTCGTCACCATGTTCTCCATCTTGTTCCTCCCCAGGGGGATGAAATGTGCCCTTCAGTGGCTCTAATGGTGTTGCTGACACTGTCCTTACCCTTGGAACAGGAAGAGGTTGACGTAATTGTAGCTCTTGGTGAGGAAGTTTCCCAGCACGCGGGTTGGGTAGCCGCAGCGGATCTGATATGCAGACAGCCCGAAGTACACGCACTTCACAAAGTACCAGAGCTGAGCGACCAGGTTCTGGCTGAACTTCCTAACAAGATGCCAAAATGTGGCTTGTGAAGGAATGCAGTATGTTTCTGTTACACAAAGACACCAGTTCAGAAGGAACCAAAACCAATTTCCCTCTGTCACTGAGTCAGTCAGAGTGGGTCACTTCCAGAGGTGGGCAAAGGAAATCCAATAATTAAACAAGCCCTGCACTCGTGCATTCAGGTCCCATGGCCATGGCTACACTGAACTACTCTCAAGTGAATTTACCAATAAACATGTTCTCACAACACAAATGAGGCCGTGACCATACTCTCAGTCAGAGCTTATGGAAGAATGATTTTTATTTAGAAGGACTCACAGCTTGGAATACGGAGAGGAAAAGCTTGGAGAAGAGGCCCCTCTATTTCTTACTGTGCGTCTTTAAGGATAGGTAATTGTGAGGTCCCAGTCGGACCTGACTCCCCAGCCCCTGCACGCTTGCCAGCAGGGAACTTGGCTCAGCAGCAAAGCTGAAGCCGTCTTGGGCATGCACAGGGAAGAAGATGAGATAGGAGGAGGGATTTTGCAGGTTCTGGGATATCTGGAGACACCTGAAAATTCATACCGGATGCCTCAAGGACTCTGCCAACTGAGGTGCAAGACAGCCAGAGATGTTTATTAAAATCTCCCCTCCTAATGCCCCCTGCCTTCTTTCCACCCCTATAAAAGCTGCACAATTCTCTTTGTTCCCTGCAGACAGCCTTGTTGCTCTCTGCCCATCTACACCCAGGCAAAACAAATTCCATACCGTGTTGCCTTTACACAAGCCTGGTGGTCTTTGCTGGTCCTTGCCCCATATGTTTCAGTACCGGATTAACAAGCTTTCCAAAACCGGACTGTGGTCTGTTCCCAAGCTACGGAGCCTGCTCCTCAAGACACCAGCATTTTCTCTGAAAACCCTGCCTGCCTCTGGAAAGCTGTCCTTTGTTACCTGACTGCCTTCTGGAAACATGTCCTTGTCAGCAGATCTGATCTTTGTGCACTGAGCAAAGAGGCCAACAAATTCAGGAGATCTTAAATATAGCCAGTAAACATTTCCAAAAGGATGAAGACTTCTGACACCAAAGCTGTCCGCTTCTTGGTCCTCAAACTCTGGAGCAGGTTTTACACAGGCAGTGTACGACTCTTTGCACTCCAGATTTCTTTGTTTTTTAATTGAAGACCGTGTCCTTCAGTGGGCAAGCTGAGGCGCTAGGTGTCTGGGAGCCAGCAGAGCACAGGCTTTGGCTCTGCTTGGAAACCCAGGTCCTCTCTGTTGGTGTCGGCAAATTTCCTCACTGGTTCCTCCTTTAATTTGTCAGAGCCCTAAGAAGCCAAAACTCACACAGCCGCAGGTGGGACCCAAGGCCTTCTGGCTCAGCAGTGCCACTGTCATGGACACCATGGATTCTGTGATTGACTGCATCTGCTTATTTCATTCACCTCCTCTTCTTGGTGGAAGTCCACAAAAGGTTGTGCTTTTGTTTTCAGGACTGAGATACCCCTCTTTCCCCCTCCTTGGCTTCCACTTTGGCCCCTGGAGATCAACTGAGTCCCTCTTTCCCGACATCCTCTGGACTGCAGCAACAGCGGCTTCAGGGGAGTGGGGACGAAGGGACATGAAAGATTTTTCCAAATGCTGGCTGGACACCTGCATGATGTCCACTCACTCTACCTGCCCTGGGTGGGGACTTTCAAGGGCAGGATGATGCTGTCCTTGCCAGCCTGCATTGGGCGGTCAGACTGAACAGGAACAGACTCAGGCCTGGGGATGCAGCTCGGTGGCGGAGCCTTGGTGTGATAGGCTCTGGCTTAAGCTTTGGGATAATCATCAGTCAGTCAATCAATCAACCAATCAATTAATCTTATAAAGTAAAGAAAACTGGACAAGTTTCAATCTGCCCTGACCACTGGGTGTGCCCCTGGTCAGCCTACATCGTCATTAGAGTCCAGTTTTCCCAGACTAGGAGGAGAAGAAATATAACCAGTGTTCCGTATGATGAGAGGCATTGTGCATGGCCGCCTGTCATGGCCATCACTACTCTTTATCATAGTGTCTCGAAAAACACAGAAAAACCTTCACAGAGAAACTCGGGCTTTAAAAATCAGCTGAGTCCTTCCCTGTGACAGCTTTACTGAGCTGTATTCATACAGAGGAAAGGAACTGTGGGATGCCTGCATTTTCTAAAATTATATTAAGGCGGCCTGCAGTCTGTGTTCCTCGCCACTACTCCAAGGTCCCCTCCCACTGTCGTGAGACCAAGGATCCTTTCTTTTTGCTGAGTTGTATTCCAGGGTAGGCACATCCTAAAATGTGCTGGGCTGCTCGCCTCTCTGTGGACACTGACTTCCTTCCTGTTAGGGATTATCGCATAAAGCTACCGTGAACCTCGATGCGCACGCCGGTGTGGGGGCACAGGCTTGTATTGCCACACACACAACAGCCGGGTCACTTGGGAGGTGAGCAGAAACCCTCAGGAGATGACCAGATGCCTTCCACAGCTGCCCCGGCCTGCGGCCTCTCTCAGGGGCAGCCCCAGGGAAGGTGAAGGTCTCATGGTTTGAAGTGAAAGGAGCGATACTGTCAGTGATGTGCTGGCAGACATGACAGAAGGCTGGCTGGTCCTCTACATCTTGCTAAACACTCCAAAATAAGGCCCAGGCGAGCTGGGGCAGTGGGGATGGTGTCAGGTGAGGCTGCAGGGTAACACTGATGGAGACAGAGACCTCTGTGGCTGGAGTGGGGAACTCATCACACAGCGGCCGCCCCAGGGTGGGGCCTACTCGCGTGGGTGGGGCGCCTGCTCCACCTGCTGTCCTGCCCTGGACAGTGAAGGGAAACCACTAAACCAGGAGTGACTGGAAGCACCATGTTTCTGCATTCAGCCATCAACACGTGTGTGCCACCCATCCACTCCAGACTAGGTGAGTGCTTCTGGAAGTCTCAGTAAAGGGCAGGTTATTTTCTCTATTTAAAATTTTTTTTCTAACTGTGTTAAACCAAAAGTTTTATAAAACATAAAAAGCATGATCCTTAGAAAATAAAGACACAGAAAAGACCATCACACTTTAAGCTATCAGATTCAAAAGACAAAAAATTTAGTGTATCTGTTGAAAGTTGCCATCAAAGTTTCTGGGACAGTGGTGGCGAACCTATGACAGGTACCCTGCAGCCAACTGTTCATTATCACTGAACGTTCCAGAAGGTTTGCCATCACTGTTCTAGGAACTTACTGTCAATCCCTGAATGTCTTTCATTACACACTCATCACAAGCATTTCACGAGCTGGCACTTGTCTAGGGCCACGCCCAGACTGGCCCTGTGGAGAAATCTGCTAGATGCTAGGAAGAGATGAGAAGCAGCCTGCTACAGTTTAGGTCCACAATGGATCCTAACTGTGGCACCTCAGGAGGCAGGCTCTGCAAACAGGAAGTGAAGTCCTGGGGTGTGTCCTTGGGGGGTTAGGGCCTGCCCCTTCCTGCCTCCCTGCTTCCCAAACACCATGAGGTGAGCAGCGTTGTTCTGCGACATGCCCTGGCTATAATGTTCTGCTCAGAACAATGGGGCCAGAGCCCATGCACCAACACTTCTGAAGCCATTAGCTAAAATTCATTTTTCCTCTTTAGAAGCTGATTACCTCAGTATTTTGTCACCATGACAGAAAGCTGACAAGCACACCATACCTTGGTCTCCAGTTGTCTAGAGTTTATTATGAGAGATAATGAAGCTGGCAATCACAATAGAGTTACTAGATGGAGAGCACATCTAGAACACAGAGGAAGGGATCCTTGCTTAGACTGTGCTGCCAAGGTGGCTCAGAGGACTTCACAGTGCAGGTCACCAGAGTCAGCCACATGGAGCGGGAAGGCAGATACTGCTGGCAAAATTCCGAGATGTGGAAGAAAACAGCTCAAGGGGATACTGCAAGTGTTAAATGGTTCGGCGCCAGCCAGCTTCGAAGAGGATAAAGATCTGGTTTGTGCCACGTGGTATGATTTAGTCTGTGGTCACGTGGGGGCGGTTGTTTTTCAGGTTGGGTAAGGAAGCGGCTGAGTGAAAACACCCAGAAGAGCGCGTGGGGCTGCTGCGGAGGACCCCGGTCCACGTTGCACTGCACCAAGCATTCTGTCCTGTTCTGACCACAAGGCACTGCTGCTCTATGGTTACTTCTAAGTGCCTGGTAGAGAAATGTCACAGGCCCCCAAGCACATGCATGTCCCAATATCTGTGCCTGGCTAAAAGGATTCTGAGGATGTGATCAAAGTTAAGGATCTGGAGATGGAGAGATTATCCTGGGTTTTCCCCATGGGCCCAAGTCAATCCCGGAGTCCTGAACGGGAGACCTGAGGATACAGAAGTGGTCAGAGAGAAAGCACCAGACCAGGACAAGAGCACCATCACTGGCTTTGGAGGTGATGAAGGGGCCACAAGCTGAGGGAAGCGGGAAGCCTGTAGGAGATGCGGAAGGCCAGTCCTGTCCCTGAACCAGCAGAAGAAAGGCTGTTCTGCCACTACCTTGACTCATCCCACTGAGCCCCCATCAGAATGTTGATCGCAGAACCCTAAGACGGTACATTTGTGTTGGTTTAAGTCACTGGGTTTGCAACAATTCGCCGAGACAGTAATAAGACACTAACACCAGCAGGACGACTGAGCTGTCTGGCCATCATGTGATCCTGCTGGGGTGACCTCGATGACCACACCTCAGGTGAAAGCCAGCCAGGATGCTCTGGAGGAGCCTGCCTCTGCTTTGCATCTGCTCTGACTTAGCTTGGATTCCAGCCCCTGCCTGCAGCCAGCCTGTTCCCACGTGTGCAGCAAGGACCTTGGGAATCAGCCTGCAGGGGGTGCCGTGCCCCCAGGCCCCTGAGATGCTCACCTCTCTGTGACAACAGGGAGGATGAAGAACATCCAGAAGTGAATTCCAAACACGAGGATGACCTGGAAGATGACCTTGCCCAGCACCGTCTTCCTGAGGTAGAGCGCGCGGTCCACCACCATGGTGCCAAACTGGATGAGGACCATGACCAGGAACGGCCCAGGCACCTGGTCCTCGGACAGCGAGGAGGTGATGTCTGCTGCCGCTGAGTGTTTCTGGGGAAAAGAGTGTGGGTTGGTGCCGAGCCACCTTTCCCAGGGTAGAAGTCTTGGTCAGTGGACCAACCTACCCCGAAGGCCCAGAAGCCAAAGACAATGATGACAAAGTCCACGGTGTCGGCCAGGAACATGAGCACGTACACGTCGGTCACAGCGCTGTAGTCGGGGTGGATGAGGTTGTAGAAGAACTGCCGGATGGGCACGTAGATTTGCAGAGTCCTGGGAGACAAGAGAACCATGCGCGTGCTTCGAGAGGGCAGGTTGGGGGAGTGACCGCTCTGTCCTCATCCCTGCTCTGTGTCCCTCTCCCAGCCCAGCTCTGCTACATAGGGTGGGGCTGCTACATGGCCTGACGATGCTGCCATACTGTCCCCAGGACCTCCAGGCTGCTGCAGGTTCTGCAAACCTGGGTGCCAACAGGACCCGGGCCACAGGGGAATGGGGCAGGGTGAGGATGGCTCTAGGGAACATGGGGTACAGACTGGAGGGACTAAGGCACCATCCTTTTGTCTCCTTCCTGTCCCGTCCTTCTGCATGGAGCCAACTGGCCCTGATCTATCTCTCCAGCCCACTCTGCCTTTCCTCTGAGCTGGGCTCTGAGCACCACCAGCTTGGCTGGCAGCCCTCACCTGGCTCCTCAGAACCTCACATTTGCCATCTGGGTGGCCCTAGCAGGTGGGTGGGGACCCTGCAGGTGCTGGGGGCACGGGTGACCAGCGGTGTGAGTGCACCTGAGGCCTGTCTGGCTCTGTCCTTTTGGCTCTACCTGTCCACTGGGCTGGGTGGTAACCATGCCTGGGCTGTGCCCCGAAAACCCCGAAATCATTCATGTGCTTTGTTCTGGGAAGAAGAATGTGTATGTGAAAGCTACTGCATTTGCTGAAAAATGACTTTTAAGAACAGTGCAAACACAGATGGTTTTAACCCTTGGCAAACAGATGGTGTCTGTAGTCCTGACCTCTGGTGCGGAGGAGAGGGCACAGCCCAGCTGGGAAGCTGCACTCACTTTCGGATGGTGAAGTTTTTGGCCTGGACCAAGTGTTCCTGTAGCTTCTTCACATACAGCTCCCTCCTGCTCCTCTGCTTCACGCCCAGGATGCTGCTGCCCTTCTGGCTGCTGTTGCGGGTGCTCGTGCTGCCTGGGGGAGCCAGGACGGGAAGATGCTCAGGATGGGAGCCAGGTTTGCCACTCAGGGAGGCCGGGTCTGACTGCTGGGATGTGGGCACAGATGTGCCTAGCACTGAGGGACCTATGTGCTGGGCCTTCACCCGAGGTGTGGCTCTGCCCTGATTGTTCCCTAATGTTGTCCCAGGAGGGAGCACTTCAAAGAGTGGCTTCTATTGCACCAGGTAGGGTGTGTGGCCCCTGCCTTTTATCGCATCCCGATTTCTCCCACCCATAAGGAGTGTGACCTGGCCTCCCTGTGTCTGTCCCCAAACTGGCCCTGAAGATGGACACACAAAGGTGTCTGGAGAGCTCCAGACCTTGTACCCCAAAACACACAGCAGAGCATGTCACTTCCTGTTTATGTGAGGTCCACCAAAAAATCAACAACCAGCTTTGAAAGTGACTGATGATCTGGCTGACACTTCCCATGACTACACCGAAATCCATTTGCAAACTGAGCTGTGACGGGGGCATCCTGGATGCACCAAGGAGGACGTCCACCTGCAACATGCAGACTTTCCTGTGCCTAGCGTTCATACAGACCTCAGGGGTATGGTGGCCCTGCCCATAGTGACCTCAGATCCTTATCCTGGGACGGAATTTCCAGCAGAGGCAGAACATGAACCTGTTCAGCACTCTTCTCCCGTGCAGTCTCGGTCTCCTGCCAGCTCCCAGTGATTCAGGTCCCCAGGCCCCCAGCATCAGCAGAGCTGCTGTGGGACACCCACCTCTTTTTTTTTTTTTTTTTTTTTTTGTCTTTTTTTCATTTTTATCGGTACCGGGGATCAAACTCAGGACCGCCTGCTTGCAAGGCAGGTGCTTATGCTGCTGAGCTAAATCCCCAGCCCCTGGACACCCACCTCTTTTGGACCTGTTTGAGGAGAAGCTGGATCCTGGGGAGACTGGGGAGCTGCAGCTTGAGCGCTTCCTGCGCACAGCCGTGGGGGGCTCAGGGAAGGTCACGTGCACTGATTCCACCGAGGCAGCCAGGTTGATGGATTTGAGCGAGTCGGCGGAATCTCTCCGGCTGTGGCCAAGGGACAGCTCAGCATCCGAGTCCTCCTTGTCGGTACCACTGTCCACGACGTCATCCTCATCCCACAAGCCATGGCACTGGATAGGAAGAAAGGGACAATGAGATCACCGTTTTGGAGGAACAGCTAGAAGGCGGCAGCAGTTACCCCAGTGAGTGTGAGGGTCGGAACCCAGCCTGGCGCCCCCGGTGTCCAGCCACCCCCACTGCCTGCAGCCCGAGGTACCTTCAGGATGGAGCGGTGAAAGAAGAGGGCTAGGAGCTGGATGAGGTCGTAGAGCACGTAGCCCTCCTTCTTCTCCACCCCGATGATGTTCGGGGGGTGGTAGGGCTTGTCCTTGTGAACTTCCACGTTCTTGTTCCAGGGGAAGAACCCAAACTGGAAGAAATACTTCACCACGATTGCCACCTGCAGAGGGGTGACGGGAATTAGACCTATTTCGTTCTCCCTCCAGGAACAGGGTGACATGTGACATGGTGACACAGACATTCAGGAGCCCTCCGGCTCGGGCTGTCATGGGCAGGGCTGGACTCTGAGCACCTCGCAGGCAAGGTAGGGTGCCAGAGGCTCAGCCCACCCAACCCACACTGCGTCTTCTGCTTCAGAGAATGTGGATTTTGTATTGACTTAACTGAATGTTTACAGAATCATTCTGCTATGAAAACCTAGTAGCCAGGAGCAGCCAAGCCAAAGGGGGGCCTTGTCTCCATATTGCGCCAGGCATGGATTGGGCTCCTGCTGGGGCAGCACACAGGTCCAGAGCAGAATGCAGGGCGTCCACCTCCTTCCTCAGAGCAATAGAAAGAGCTCCTTTTCCCGTCTGTCTTTGAGCTCTCCTACCCACACAGCTCTCAGTGGTGGGCAACAGTTCCAACTGCGGTGACTTAGTTTCAGCTTAATTTCCTGCTTGCTTCATTCCTCGATGCTGGAGCGCCCCGTGTAACAAAGGGCTATTTTGGTTTGTCCTCTTAGACACTTGGAGAGATTGAATCCTTCACAGTGAGCTACATCTCCAGACCAGTTTTTATTTACTTTTGGAAGAGTCCTGCTGAATTGCTGAGTCACCGCGGCTGGGTTTGGACCTTCCTGCCTTAGCCTCCAGAGTGCTGGGATCACAGGCTAAGATGAAAGCTGTGCAAGCAACTCGTTCCCTTTTGTGTTCCTGGTGCCTCCTCCTCCTTGCCCCAGGTGGGGAAGGGCATTTGAGGGTGCCCTGCCCGACAGGGCCTGGAGTGCTGTTCACCCCAGCCCCGAGTTAGCTGTGACCAGCTCAGCCTCAAGAACACCAGCGGTCTTCCTACCCTTTCTTACCTGCTCCAACTGACATCCTGGGCATCTTGCTCTCCTTGGCTGCCGAGCTACTTGAAAGCCCTCTGCCCTTCCAGGCTCTTACCCTAACCTGAGCCCCTGGATGTCATGGCAGTGCCTGTTACCCCGATGTCAGCTCCAGGCAGGGTGGGTGCTCTGGACCTGAGCACCCAGGACTCTGGGGACCAAGCCTGTGAGCCTCCCTCTCTGGGGTCATGGGGCTGATTCTGAATTAAGAGGGCAGAGTGGGAAACACAGCTTCTTTGTCCGTCCAGGTGGTACTGGGAGAGATGTCACCTTTTTGGTCCCTCAGATTTTCTGTATCCAGGTAGGTCTGGATCTGCCTGTGGGTCCCAAGATGGACAGTGCCCCAGGCTCCAGGTCCCCACTCTGCTCAGCAAGGACAGCCCCCACCCCGGAGCTGATTCTTTGGGGCTTGTGGTGGGCTCCGGACGTCTCCCACCCCTGGCCAGGTGGGTCCTCTGGCTGGTCCTTGCGCCCTTGCCTCCCTTGGGAGCGATGCTGCCTCCCCCACCCCGTGTGGTGCTGGAAGGTGCCGGCTCAGTGGTGCCGGGCCTGCCTAACACACCTCGGTGTAGACGATGGCCATCATCCAGAAGCGCCGGCTGGGCCTGGGCACCGACAGCATGGCCCACAGGAAGATGAGGATGGGCAGCAGCAGGGTGATCATGGAGGCCGAGACCATGTGGTTGAGGATGATCACGAAGTAGCACACCATCTCAGAGCGGGCCACCAGTGTGTTGTACATGGCATAGAACAGCAGCAGGAAGCGCGGCTGGCCCACGTAGAACCGCTCTGACTCTTCCAGCTCGTCGTCATGGAACATCCTGCAGACACAGTGGACCGGTGAGGCGCCCGTCCCAGGCCCTTGGTGCAGTCCCTCCCACAGTGCCCGGCCCTCCTGCCTGGACCAAGGAGCCCTTGTCTTAAACGCGTGGGGCAGGACGAGCTCTGGGGGTGGGGAGTTTACAGACTGCAGAGCAAGGTGTCCAGAGTTTGGAGCCCGTGCACTTTATCCACGCAGCCTGAAGGTGATTTCATCAACTATCAGCACAGTTCGTTTCCTGACATGACATCACCCATGTCTGGCACTAGGTCTGCACTCAAAAAATGTCAGATCTGGGACCACTTTGGAGGGTCACTGTTTGATTCGAGGTTTGGGGACCGGGGGCGTGACTGCAGAAGACACTGTGAGAGCGGGGGTCACTCAGGGCCTCTGATGTTATTGCTGGGTCTGGAACTCAGTCACACAGGGGCCCCAGTGTGCCTTGGATGCACCGGGCCATCCCAGCCTGCGCGTGAGTGGGGCCGGGCTCTTACTTGTTAAGCAGCAGCTCACTGGCCGTCAGTTCGTGGGTCAGGGGTGGCAGCAGGCTGGACCCAAGCTTGTCGGTGCGGCTGTCATCTGGGCTGACCACCATTTGGTTCTTGGCCCCAATGCCATCCTGTGAGCCGAAGGACAAGTGCTCGCAGGTGACTGCCTTGCTGTAGGAGGGTGGCGCCTCCACCTCCCCGTCGTCTGTGGAGACCTGCGGCAGCTCGTCGTCATCATCTTCCTCCTCGTCCTCGTCCTCAGGAGTGAGGCTGGCGTCCTCAGCCTCTACCCCGTAGCCCACCCCGTACTCTTCCTTCTCCTCCTCCTCCACCTCCTCTTCCTTTGCCTCCTCCATCTGGGTGCCCACTGCCTCCTCCTCCACCTCGGCCTCCACCTCCTCGATGGTCTCTGTGGTCCCCTGGCGGGAGTACAGCATGGTACACTGGGTGGGCTCGCTGCAGGGACAGAGGAAGGCCAGGCCCTGGCTCAGCATCAACGTGGCCCAGACTCTCCAGGCCACAAGACACTACTCCAGACAGAACCCCACCTACCAACTTCCAGGCAGTGTGGCCACACTGCATTTGTCCTGAGCCTTCAGGATTTTCAGCTCTGAGCTGCAGAAACTGCAGCCAGAGGCCTGGAATGCAACATCACCACCAGGCCCAGGGCAAAGAGCAAACCCATCTCCTCCGAGGCTCCCAGCAGAGCCAGTGAGCCTCCGCATGTGCACAGGGCAGGAGGACACATGTCCTGCAGGACCAAGGCTCATGCACAGAAGCAGGCCTCAGCTTGGTCCTCAGCCCTGAGACTCATGGGGATGCAGTCTACCAGCAATCCTACCTCGCTGGGGGTGAACTCTGGCTGAACCAAGCAATGCACCCTTAAGAATCACCCTCTTCGACTTTTGCCTCCCCTTTGCTTTCCAGGTTTTGCCTTTTTCTTACTGGTGTGCAACACACTTGACTGAATCTCCTGCACCCCTAGGGGGCAGCCTTTCGGACTTCTTCACTTTTTTAGGGGGTGCTGCTCCTCCCCAAGGTCACTTTCCGCTCCCAAGGCCATCTTGTTGGGCTGCACTCCGGGGCTCCTGTCCCACACCCCCCATCAGCTTCAGCCTCTCCTCTACAGTTTCTCTACCCCACCACCACTCCCTGAGCTGGTTTTCTCCCCAGATCGAATCCGTTTCTCTCACCACTGCCCGCAGTGTAGACAGTGAGTAAGTGACAGTGGACCAGCCTCCACAGAGCCCTCGGGGCATTGTGAGCCTGAGGAGTTGGGTCTGCAAGATCCCTGGAGCCTTCTGGGGTCTGAATCCCCAGGACGTGGTCCTCAGAGTGGAGGGAGCCAGCTCTGACCAGCTTTGCTGAGGCTGACCTCAAGGGACAGGGCCTCCTGGGAAGCTGCAGAACCAGTCCCAGCCACAGGGGCTTCCAGACAGACTATCTCAGTGCTGCCGGACGGACAGACAGACGCAGCTTCCAGAAGTCTGGAAACCCAAGCTCCGTCCCTGTGACTGGGGCTGTCGGGGCCTGCGTGGCCATGTACCAACCTCATGCCCACCAGAGGACACCCAGGTGGCACATGCCTGCTCAACAGGCCTGCTGCAGTGCCTGCCCACAGAAGCGGGCCTCTGATGGTCACCGTGCCCGCCCTGGGGCTCTGTTCACATAGCTGAGGCCCTGGCCTTTGTTCTTGGGGGACTAAGAAGCAGTTTGGGCTCAAATGCAGATAATTGCATTTCTAAGTCATTTTACGATAGGATTTAATGAGGAGACTAATCCTAGAATATACATATATATATATATATATATATATATATATATATATATATATTTTTTTTTTTTACAAATAAAACAAGTGATAGTCTACAAAGGTGACATAGTCTACTGTATAATATTAATTCTTTTCAAAAGCCAGTGCTAAGGGGCTAGGGCTCAGAAGCACAGCACCTGCCTGGCAAGTGTGAGGCTTTGAGCTCAGTTACTGGTATCAAAAAAAAAAAAGCTAGTGGTAAACACACACTTTTAGGTTAGGTAAGTGCATGTGCTCTCTGCAGAGTTACTTTTTAGCAAACAGTGAAGTAAGGCAGAGTTTCACTTTTTACCACTGTATATATTTTTTTGTCATGAAACCTTTTCCCGTCTGAGGCTGCAGGAAGCCTGCTTAGGTCTTAGCAAATGGGAAGTGTGAACACTTAAAGGACCAGGTTTATGATAAGGATTTTTTTCTTTTTGTACCAAGGATCAAACTCACGACCTCGCACTTGCCAGGTAGGCGCTTGTGCCGCTGAGCTATATGCCTGGCCCTATGATAAGGACTTTGAATAGATAAAACTAAGGAGTGGTCAGGTCTCAGAGAGCTATCCAGGGCCACTGTGTCTCTGAAGGGCCAGTGGCAATGCTGTGGTTAATCATGCAAACTCTAAAACAAAGATGGAGAACGGGACAGACAGCATTACAGGACCCACACGGGCCGTGACGTCAGGAGGTGAGGTGAGGAACAACGCATGCACGAGGTAAGCACCTTGACACTAAGCTGCCACTGTCAGCAGATGAGGAGGACATGTCCATGCTGAGCATTTTACGGAGCCGAGGCCGCGAGCGCTCGCTCGTTTTGGGCACAGGGTCTGGTCCGTCTAAGTCATCAAGCGTGGACTGCCTCGAGAACAGCATGGTGGCTTCGGTGTAGCAGCTAGCAGCGCAAACAGTCACAGAGACACAGAGTTAGCGGTGGCGGTAGAATCCCACACGGATCGTGGACCAACACACAGCCATGCAGAAACCACACACAACGCCACCAACACCACTGACAGCGCCTGGGGACAGGACAGCGAGACACAGGGAGACTGTAGCTTAAATAACGCATCGGCTGTAATACATCATCACACGGCCCTCTCTGAATGGATGGGGACACAGACCAGCGATGAGGGCCATGAGATCTCTTGAGAAGCTCAGTGTACTTAACTTTGCAATGAGATTTTGTAGTTGAAGAAATATGCTTTCTTTAGAATTGCAATCCTGAGCCCATCAAGAGCATTTTAAAACCCAATTGCATAAGCAGAGATAACTGCTCATAGAATTTGCATAAAATTTTTTCTTTCTTTTTTTAACCACTGTCTTGCAAATGCAAGAGGAGAAGCTCAGGAGTGAGCCAACTAATAGATCTCCCATCCTCCTTCTCAGTGAGGCTCAGCTCCGTCAAACCAGAGGCCTTGGACAGGAGTGATGCTGGCTTGATATGCAGCTGGATATCAACCAACATCAAAGAACAAAAGGAATGCTACAGAGAAAATAACTAACAATGGAATTCTAGCAATGCCAGATCCTTGTGTCCATTAATGTTTCTTTTTAACTAATGTTTGTTCCAGATGCTGGGTTAGGTCTCAGACCTGCCTTTGGGGAGAGAACCTGTGGGCCCTGACCTTGGCAGGCTCCCGGCCAGGGAGGGCAGGGCCCGAGGCACAGGGTGCCCTGCAGTATACAGGGGCACCTCTAGGTGGCCTATTTTCTAAACAATGAGTATCCCTTTCAGATCTGGGAAAGTGTCTCAAAAATGTAACCGCAGCAATTTCAGCTGCTGTGGCTGCTTCAGGAAAGTGATGCTGTCTGATTCTGTAAGTCAATCACTAGAAATCAAGTTTGTCATTTTACATCTGGATCCGAAGGAAGTCAGGACCATTCTGTCCAGGAAATACAGATCCACTTGTCAGCTTCCCGACCCAAGCCTCATCACTGCCTGCTGGACAGTTGAGATGCAGGACTTGGACATCACAGCCATCGGTACACCTAGTAGATACCTCCAGCCAAGTCCTCATCCCTGCTGGGGGAGGGGGCTTTAAGGTGTCCAGGTCCAGCCTCCACAGAAGGACTCCCTCTGGGGAAGCCCACTGCCTCTCTGGCAATCATCTGCTTTCCCAAAGGCCCAAGAAGGAGCAATTATTATCTGGAAACCAGAACCTACCTACTTTTCTTCCTTCTTTCCTTCCTTCCTTCTTTTTTTTTTTTTTTTTTTTTTTGGTCTTTTTGAGACAGGGTCTTGCTATGCAGTTCAGGCTGGCCTTGGGCTCACTTTGTAGCCCAGGCTGGTCTTGAATTTGCAAACAATTCTCCTGCCTCAGCCTCCCAAGTGCTGGGATTACAGGAGCGTGTCACCACGCCTAGATGACCAGAACATTTCTGAAGTAGAGAAGCTGGGAATGTATAAAGGGTCGTGATGTAAAGGGAGAGATGCTTAACTCACTAAGCTCAGCAAAACACATCTAACTGAGGCTTCCCTTCCTTCAGGTTAAAAATCAAAGCCAAAATAGACTAAAAACAAATCTGAAAAGGTCTGGTTTTCTAGTAAATTTACTTATTGATTGGCCATTTTGTAACTTGAGGAATATTTTGACAGCATTTGCTAAAAAAGCAACCAGTGAATTTAAATATCTAATTTAAGGATCTCGTAACTCAATTTTCTTCCTAATTCTAACCCATAATTCTTGGTTGTGGATGTTATTTTACATTTATAATCTTGGGTCAGATTTTACTATAGGCAGTCTTTTTTATTCATTTTCTCCTAAGTTTTGATTCGTTGTATTTAGTTAACTCTTAACTGGAAACATTGTAACTTGTTATGCAGTGAATGATCACTGTTACAGTACTGTGTGCTATCTTGCAGGCAGTTTCTTTTCAATGCACTTTCTAATCTTTTCTATTCCTTCAATTCAGCTTCATTCTGAAGTAGCTGCTCTCAAGCCAGGCTCACGATGATGTTCAGTATACCCAGGATACCTTTTAAATTTAAGGAAATTTTTTGCATTTATGTGCACTTTATCCCTTTGGGAGTTAGCGCAACATTTCATGAAATTCCAAAAGGCTTGTGTTACCAATCACTGTTAATGTTATAACAAATGATGGTCTATTTCATTTATTTTCCTTTTTACTTGCCAAGTTCCAGGAACCAGGTAACAAAAAATCTTTAATTTATGATACAAGATAAGGAGGAAAGTTTTATAAGGGCATTTGAGAAAAGATTACAAGTCACTTTATGGGGCAGGCTGTATACTTTCTTGAAGAAAAGATGCAAAGGAACAATAGTGGAGTGGCAGACTCTGCCCAGGGGCATCAAATCCTTCACTGCGGAGGAGGAAGTCTTTCCAGATGAATACGAGCGTGACTTGCAGGTAAGTTCTCGAGAGCTGTCTGGAACTTTGTATTTTGGATTTTAAAAATATAGCTTGGATCTATGCAATTCCATACACATGGAGCCGACCTGGGCAGAGCTGGAGGCAGCTGAATATTGGTAAAAGTTAAACAAACAAACAAAAAAGAATGAATGGACAAATGAGCAAATTCATGGGTGGATGGGTGGGTGGAAGCTTAGCACATCCATCTCTCCGCCATTCCCGCTTTCTGGAAAATGGTTGTTGGTCATGAGTAAGTTCTATGTATCCTTGTTTTGTGGAGCTGGGAATGGAACCCAGCATCCCATCATCCACTCCACAGCAGGCAGATATGGAAAGTCTCCTCTGTCCCTTCACCCTTCCTGGAACAGGAAGCAGCCCTGGTCAGCACGAGAGCCAGAACAGAGACACGCCTGCCCTCACCCTGCGGCACACATCTGTACACCATGCACACCTACTTGGTGTCTTCACTGGTTATATTATCACTGCCATTTGGCACTAGGATCTGGTCCAGGATCACTGAGACACACTCCAGCCCGCATGAAAGCAGAGCTGGGAGTGATCCCGGACGCTAAGCCTCAGAAGAAGCGGGGAAGGCGGGCTCTAGGTTTTGGCACTAAAGCAAAGGGAGAACAATTTCATTTAAATCCTGGTGCCCAGATATAGCTAGAGTTTACTAGAATAAGAACACACTTAGGAAGACTGGCAGCTTTAAAACAGTCATTAGGCTCACAGGAAATAAAAATCAGCCACAGAATTAGCAAGGGCAAGGCTTCCCTAAGAAGCCTGTCTGGAGAAAATTAAGCTCGACTTTCAGTAGGTTGAATTGCAGGCTGCTTTCTGGAGGATGCAGTGAGGTGCCACAGGCGCTCACCAACTGAATGACAGGAAGTAAAACCTTCTTAGACAGAGAGTCCTCGCTGATGAGGAAATCAATGGTTTGACCTCAAAATTTGAAAGGCTCCTGCCTTAAGCATTTCCTCTTCTCACAAAAATACAGCAGGGACCCCGGAGCGGCTAGGGGTCCCTGGAGTGGAGTGGATGGCAGTGGTACCTCCATGCGGTGGCCACCACTGGGTTCCTGGGCTCGGGTCCCAGTGGAACCACGCACCTGTGGGGCATGGTGTGGCTTTCATAGGCTCCCAGCACTTGGTTTCAGGATGTCTTAAGCTCCCTGTAACCAAGCTCTGTGACTGGAAGGTATTAGCAACAATTGTTCACACCTAGAAGGATCTTCAAGGGTGGAGAAGGCAGCCCCTAGGCTCAGCCACTCTCTCCAGATCGCAAGGGAAGGAGTCAGTGGAATCAGCTCCATGGTGTTTATTCTAAAATTCTTAAAGCAATCAATCGGGACGGGAAAGATGAAACAGGTGGAAGGCCCTGTAAAACAGCCTGCATGGAGCAGCTACTTGGAAGGTGGGATGGGCTGGGGAGGGAAGAGACCGTGTCATTTGCTTCCAGCTCGGGAATCTGTCCTGGGCCCGAGAAGCAGAAGGGTTTCCACCGCTCACCGGCAATTTCCGCTTTTGGTTGCTCTGTCTGGGTGGAAACACTCTGCAAGCACCTGACCAGAGCTGAGCCCAGCCCACTCACTTCACCTCAGTGGCGTCCATCTCATTCACCCTGAGCAGGCACCAGCCTGTGCAGAAGGAGGGAGTACCTGGAGATGCTGTCGTGGGAATCTAAGCTGTCCATTCTGTGGGCTGCCGGGGCCCTGGGACCGGCTCTGGGCCCCTCCTCGATGGTGTCCAGGCCCGACTCCCGGGACAGGTTCATGATGTGGTTCTGATAGTACATGTGGATGCTCTCGCGGGTCGGGACGTTGCCCTGAGGAGAAGGGGACAAGCATGCCAGGGTTCTTACTCGAGCTCACCCAGCCCCGGGGCCCTGGCCTGTCAGGAAGACCATGCCAGGCTGGCCAGGCTGGAACGGAATCTGCTTGAACATGGTGTTAGTCAGAAGCAGCATCAGGGGATCTAATAAGAAGCCCATTCTCAAGGGCAGGTAACTTCTAGAAACAGACTACTAGTTATAAAAGCAATCTGTAAATTGTGTGTGACTGTTGCATGTTTTGCTGCTCTTCACGTAGCTTAACGTTTCCTGTGAGCAGTTTCAGGTCAGCTATCATCCTTCACGGGGCTCGTCTAAGTCCTTCACTGTAAACTCAGGAGAGCGGGGGAGGGGGACTCAGAATGAACCAAGCAGCGGTTCACTAGGATCCTGCAGGCCTGCGCAAACGTGTGGTCAATGTCTGATTACTTAATTCTGGGGCTGGAGTAACCCTCAACCTCCAGAAAAGCCAAAGGGCTTAAGCAACAACTCCCTGAAAAGAAAATGTTCTGTCTTATTTTACTTGGAGTTTTGGATCCAGCCTAGCTGTTCTGAACTATTCCAAACTATTCCGGGATCAGAAACTGCTCATGGGCTGACGGGATTTCTACACCTGACCTTGAGCACAGCTGCAGGCAGACTGAACCTGTCATGTGGAATTGGCTCTGGCTGTAGGATAAAGTGTGTGTGACTTTTTAGACTTAGGTCCCCTCCCCTAGGGCATTTCATGATGTATATAAATATTCTAAAATAAAACAATTCCACAGATGTGAAACATTTCTGGACTCAAACATTCTGGATGAGGGCTACAAAATCTGTATAATAGATTTGAAATTCCTTGTCTTGGCTTACACCGAGCTGCCTGTCTCTCTATTTTCTGATAGGAGTCTTGCTAAGCTGGTAAGTTGCCCAGGTTGGGCTTGAATCTGAGATCCTCCTGCCTCAGCCTCCCAGAGTATGGATCAGAGGTGGATACCACCTGGCCCGGTGTGGCAGTCTTTTGAGTGTGGAAGGATGTGAGGAGAATAATGCTACCTTCTTGATCTCTCGGGTCAGCATGCACCTCTCAATCCTCAGCACCGTGGAGATGTCGATGTGCTCCCTGGAGATGGAGTTGAGCCATGTGGTGAAGCTGTCCACGGTGGCCAGGAACAGGACCCAAGTGAACTTCACGATGTTAAAGATCCGCTTGATGATGTTGTCTAGGAGGAAAGGACACAGCGCCACTTCAGAGGAGGGAACACTGCCCGATGTGGCCGTCCGGACCTGCGGTGAGCTTTCACCAGAGCCACGCCCTGGCTGGGACTGCGGGATGGGACACTACCCGTGGCAGTGGTGGAACTGAAAGGAAACTGACATCAGCTTTGTCACATTTGACCCCAGGGATCAAAAGCAGCGGCTCTCACACCCCCAGGAGGTCAGTCCTCACAGAGCGCTGGGACACACAAGGCCCCATGAGAAGGTCCAGGTTTCCAAAAGCACTTGACAAACATCGCAGGAACATTGGTCAGTCCAGGGGCCTGGCCTGCTCCTATAAGGTCACTATGAATCACCGTCACACCATCACCAAGACAGCAATGACAGGGGCCTCTGTGCATATCCCTCAGAGGCCCGGTTCTCCTCCACGGGCTCGATGTGAGGCTTCGCAGCCTGCAGTGCAGCGGGCCGGCTGTGATCAGGCCCCCAGTCAGCAGGGCACGGCAGCAGCAGCACGTGTCTGCTCCTGGGGCCCGCAGTCCATCACTGTATTCTGTTCTTAAGAGTTGCTGGGGAAATAGTCTGCTCATTCATTCAGACTTCAGTGCTTCTTGCTGCCTTTGTGTTTTCAAACACCTGAAAGCTGTTTCTCAAAGAGCTCTACACACTGAGTAAGCGCGTGTGCCAGAAAACTGTTTCCTTCCTTCTTACCAGACTGAGCTGTGGCCCTCGCCACCACCATCCCCGGCCTGAGACCCCTTCCTCAGTGGCCTGGGTATGGCTGTGGCCCTGGACAGCTGTCACATAGCAGCTCAACCCAGGACCCCATTGTGTGCCCAGCAAGTGCAGCGTGTGGCTCTCTGGGGCCCCCGAGGTTTAAATGTGAAATGCTGAGAAATGCCTGAGGAGGTCTCATGGCTGTGACCTCAGTTTTAGGAATAGTATACAGCTGTAAAAATTGAGATCCTGTCATTTGCAACAGTTGGGTGAGTGTAGAAGACAGCACGTTGAAAGAAATAAGCCTGGATGCTCTCACTGGCTGGGGAGCCAAACTGCCCAGCTTTGAGAAGCAGAGTTCGGGGCTCCCAGGCTGGGAGGTGGGGTGGGTGAGGAGTGGGGCCAAGGGTTCAAGTGTGTGGCCTAGAGAGTGACTCGTGATTTGTGCGAACAGCATGAGGACCGCAGTCCCCGCTCCTGTACTGCAGACACACACCAGAGTCTGGGCGCTCTCCGCACAGCATGCACACACGACAGTGACTATGCGAGAGCTGATTTCCCGGGGAGTGTGATCTCCCACCTGGCACGGGACAGCTCCCTGGGCTTGGGCCCCCACAGTAGGAACCCCTGGAAGGACACGAGCCTTCACACCAGCACCACTAGCAATCCCTCCTTTCCGGCCTCTAGCCGTGCACGGCCCTCGCCTGGGGACATCAGACAGTGCCTTGGGGGAGCACATGGGAACTAAAGTCCACTCAGTTACGGGAACATAACTCGCGCTGGGCCTCGGTGGCTGGCTTTGGAGAGAAAAGCAGGGTGGGTGCTCAGCTGTGAATGGCACAGCCACCGGGCAGTTCTGTTGGGCCAGGCGGGATGGACACATCCTGTGTCCTGTCAGTGTTAAGCCAGTGACACATTGGCAGTCATTTTGCGATTTCAGGGGACCCAAAGAACTAACCCCAGCCCAAACACAGTGCTGGGTCAGTACTGCCCAGACAACTTCCACTCTGCACCAGATGGTGAAGGGTCACTTAGCTTCCACACTGCGCGCGTCTAAGGTTACCTGGCCCGTCAGACTTCTTTTTCACTGGTTCCTCCTCCCGGTCTTCCCATTCCACTGGACCTGCCACATGTGTTTAACAGAGATGAGTTACATTCCATGCAGGGTAATGAAATGCCAACAGTACTCCTCTGGGTGGAAAGGAATCTATAATCCAGTCTAGGACATTCTGCCTATTGCAAGAGGTCCTGGGGGAAAGGTGTGACAATTCGTTTCTGTGCATTCCAGAATAAAGATTATGTCTACAAGTAGCTGACTGCGACCTACAGCCAGGTACAGCCACAGGCTGCTGTTGGATGGCCTGAGTCCTAAAGGCTTTCATCTGTTTAATAGCTGAAGAGACATAAAAGAAGAATAGCTATGCATGGGAAAACCGTTTTTCAGTCAAATTTTAATGGCACTCAGCCATGCCCATTTCCTCCTGGGTCATCTCTGCCTGTGCCCAGGACGGCAGACCTTGAAACGCTCCTTGTTCATCCCGTCACAGAAAAAGTGCCACCTTCTGAGACATTCCATGAAATTTTAATTTTGCATACATTGGGATGGTGTTACAAATTTTAGTTTTAGTTTGCCATGTCTTAAGGTGACATCAGAGGATTCTGCTGGGTTCTTTACCCCTCACTTAAAATCAAGATAGAAAGAGCCGTAAATAAAAATACAGGTGGCCCGTCACACTTCAATTTCAGATAAAAAGGAACCTGGTTATGTTCCATTAAGTTACGTTCAGGTTGTACATAAGCTAAATATTACCGTTTTTTTTTTTTTATTTAGAAAACTCAAGCTTACTGGTTGTTACACTGGAGCCCTTGTGTTTCATTTGGTAACCCTAATGGAGACTATTCTGTTCCTGAGCTGACCTCACAGCTCACGTCTGCAAGCTGAGGTCCAGATAAATCTTTTCTACCACTGACTCGTTCAGTAGCCAAGCCGACCTGCTTGCTAGCGTTTGTGCAGGGCTCTGCTTTTGTTTCCGAAACGTCCATCTACGCAAAAACTGCCGTTCTGAGGAAGCCTAGAATCCCTCCTCCCTTGGGCCGTACCCTATTTTACTCTTTAGTCTCTTAGGAGAATTTGCAGTTTGCATGTCTTTAGGTTTCTTTCCTACACTCCTCTCTGGGGGGTTTGGAGCTGCCGGAAGTGGAGAACAGCGACACAGAATAGCCTGGTTCTGTGACCTTGGGCAGGCTCTTCCTGCTGGGGGCTGAGGTTCCTGCCTGTGCACAGAAGGTGCTGGCAGAAGGGCCTGCATGTGACCGTGCCCAAGGCACTGACCAAGGCTCTGGCCACCCAAGGACAGACAGTGAAGCGGAGGAGAGCTGGAAGAAGTGGCGCCTTCCACTGAGATGGCGCTGAGTGAGGGTTTACTAAAGGAAGGCACAAGCTGGTTTCAGCACTCCACAGCCCCAGGGTTGGTGCCTGCGCTGTGCTGTAACTGGTGGTTCTGCTTCAAGGTACAGAGCCAGCTTCAAGGTGATGCAACGACACGTGTCTAGGACTGACCACAGATCCTGAGAGAATCAACAGCCAAAGAACAAATGCAATCTTAAAAGAAGGGATGCCTGCCTTCCTAAGTGTCACAGCTGGCTACATGGCCACAGCTCAGGAGTACAGGGTGCAGGGCCAGAGTTCTGGACTAGGGAGAGGACCAGAGCAGAGTCCGGAATCAGACTGGGTGAGGGAGCCTGCCCTGACGGAAGAGGCAGTCAAATCCAATCAACAAGGAAGCACCATCTAACAAGCAGGGACAGGACAGTGTAGTTACCTATCCATTTAGGAATCCATATAACGAAAGACTTAAGGTGTCAATAAGATTAGTGGGAAAAACAACATTTGTTTATTATTTGAGGGATAAGCTTTATAAACCGGATGATGATTATGGAACCACCTGAGCAATACACATGTCACATAAATACATTAAAAACCCATTTACATAACACATACCTTAAAGTAAATCCAAATATCAACAATATGCCTAATATGTAAAGAAAGTCAATTAAGAAGAAAAAAAAAAAACCAAATAAGACCGCAACATGAACAAAAGGTGAAAGAGTTTAAATCTTAGAATCAGAAATACAAGTTAGCTAGAAAATGTGAAATCAATGTTTGGTCTCACTAGTTCAATGGCATTCAGAGGAGACTAAAGGCCACCTGTCATCTCTCGGGTACAAGTTACAAAATGGCAGGACTACCCGAGGTGTGGGAGGAGCCCCTGGCACCTGCCATGAAGTGGTGTACGTTACAGAAACCTTTGGAAAAATAGCTATTAAAATTAAAATGTCACATCCTTTAATCTAGTTAATCCATTTTAGAGAATCCAGTCTGTGACAAATGTGTTCTTCTGTACCTTTAAGTACACAGACAAACGCCTCGTTACTGAGGAAAGTTTTGCAAGAGCCTAAGAGCACTGCTTACTGTGGCAAGAGTCCGGAAGCAGCCTTTCTGTCCATTAAGATGAAATGAATGAATAAATTATGCACATCTGTATTGTGGAATTTTTGTAGCTGTTAAAAATGATACAGTTTCATGCATTTTTAATTGGAGAAATGTTCATGATATATTGTTAATGCAAGTACAAGAGTAATTCATAAGCATGAACTCATTTTGAAAAATAAACGAACAAATGACACACTCACAGACAAGGCTGAAATAAACAGAAAAGGGTGACAGCCATTATCAGCCTGCTCCCTTCAAGGCCAGTGCTGAGGCGCCCCTGGGGGGGCAGAGCTTCCATCCGGGTCTCTTCTCCAAGGCTTCCTACACTGGAGTATGAATGTATTTTGTTTCTTCACACAAATAAAAATCTAATTAAAGTCACCAAGAGATGTCAGGGGGAAAGGAAGTAAAAAAGAAGAGAGTTTTTCCCATTAAAATTACATTAGAAATTAAATTTTCCTTTTATTTTTTGGCTGCCTTTTGAATTTCACAGGGAATCTATGATGAGTTTTCTTTGTTAAAAAAAAAAAAAAAATATGGAAGACAGGACTCAAGTTCCCTGCAGTCAAACCACTTAATCTCCACCCTACTACTGTGGTTAATATGCTGAGTATTCTTCTAGATCTTTCTCTTGCATTTAATCACCATCATATTCACCCATTAACAATGCATATTACCTCAGGGGACCCAGGTCTCCTTTGTTTCATTAATGACTTCATTCTCTGCAGCCATTTTAGAAAGTGTTTTCAATAATCTGCTGGGAATCATTCTCCATGCCTATTCAGAGCCATCTACACCACTTTTAAGCTACCGAACAGCATTCCATAATATGCTGGAGATGATTCATTCATTACCCTCCTTTATACAGACATTTCGGGTGTTTCCAGAGTTGTGTTATTAACAAAAGAGGTCTGAGGAACATCCCTATATGTGGGTGTGTGCATGCTGTGAGGATGAGGACTACTTCCGGCTACGACGCACACCTAGGAGTGGGTTGGTCTCCCACAGGACGCATGCATGTGAGCAGGCCTGCTGTACACACCTCTTTGTGATGTGTGCAAGCACCTTGCTTTTAGCAGCTCTCAGGAAATACTTAGGCTCTTGCCAACCCACCAGATAAAAATTTAGTTTGTGCTTCTTGGATTACTAGTGAGACTGAACATTTTTGCTTCCTGGTCTGTGAATTACTTTTCATATCCTTTCATTTATTGGGTTGACTTTTTCTCTTGATTTGCAGGAATCCTTAGCAGACTCTGAATACTAAACCTTAGTGTAACAGCGTGAAAACACCGCGCACTGCTCCTGGGGATCACTCCTGTCGTCTGTGCACCTCTTCCCTGGGAAATGTGTCTATTCCTACACGGCACAGTGTTGAATTTGCTGCTGGTTTGAGACTAGGAGACAGACAATGTGCAGACTAGGGCAAGGCCTAGTCACCTAAAGGCCTGAGCTGGGGTAACCGGGATAAACCTCAGCAGGAATAAAACCTGCTGAGGACAGGAACATACGGGTGCATATGTTCATTTTTCGCACATCTGCCATGCTTGGTAGCAGCAGCAGAGGACACTCAACAACAAAGTGGTCTGTTTGCACACTCAGAAATGAGCATGTGCCCCTAGGTAGGGTTCCTGGGGTCCTCCCTGGGAACCTCCTCAGGAGGGAGGCTGTTCTTTGTTCTTTTGAAATGGGAAGGCGCCCATTTCACTCTCCTGCTGCTGGCCCCGCCTTGCACTATGCCCCCCCCCCCCCCCCCGTGCACTTTCTCTTTTTTTCCTGGATTAACCTCGTTGATTTTCTCCCCCAAGTCTAGCTTTCAGCTTAATGACTAAAGGCTTTCTCTTGTATTCCTTTTTTTTATTACTTAATATTAATTAAAAATTACTTTTCTGCCCCTTCTATTTTCTTTGGGTTGCTCCTCTTTTTTGCCACTTTATAGTATTTATCTTGAGTTAAATTTTTGCATTCATCTATCCCAAGTGCCAGCCGTGAGCAAGGAAGGACAAGTGGAGCTCTGGGCACCCTGGAATCTAAAACATCAGCCCTGGAAGCTGCTGTCCCTTCCATGCTGCGGTGCCCCCAGCAGGAGGTGCGGACACTCACCCTGCCCAGACCCTCTCCTCTTGCGTTTCTGCTCCTCTCTTGCAGACTTTTTCTTCTCCTTGCGCCGCTGTCTGAGTGCTGTCTTAGGGTCAGTAATCCAGGCTTGATACACAAACTGTAGGAAGAAAGTTCAATTACTTTCTGGTTTTTTAATAATTTGCAATGAAAGGGAGAGGGACCAATTGGAGTTTTCTAAGTTTAGGGAATCTTGTTTTTTTGCTCCCACCCCAAACCCTCCTTCATCTCCAGATGCTGGGCTGACCCATGCTGTTTTCATCATCTTAAGATTTAATGTGAAAACAGATGCTGTGAGAATCTGGTATCACAGCAGATTCCACTGTCATTTGGTATCACAGATGATCATGATAGGAACTTTGGGAATACACTAATCCCCTCCCCCTAAATCCTAAATCCCACCACCTCTGCCAGACTCCATGGTTGATTCTTTTATTCTACGCCGCCCAACAGGAATAGATGGAAGCCCCATCAGGGTGGTTAGAATGGTTTCTCCCATCACATCAGACTGAGCCCCGAACAAGACAATAGCTTTCACATTCACTTTGGGAAGTAGTTTTGCACATTTGATGCTCTCCTGTGTGGATAACAGCTATACCAGCAACTTGAGAAAGGCCTTGCAAGTGAGTAGTGTTTTGAGAGGAGAAATGGTATGGAGTCCGGACAGTGTGGAAGGAAACCGTGGTGTTTTGTTTGCCTTTCGTCATTTGAGTTTCAAAGCTGAAAATAGTTGCAGTAACGTATTGCGACCGATGACCAGAGATGACAGTCCCACACAGCATCCCCATCTTCAGAGTCATGCAGAAGGAAGGAGGGAGTCCCAAAGCCAGGCAGGCATGCCCCCATGCACCCCACACACTGGGTCTCAGGGAAGCTGGCTTTCACGCTAAGGTGAAGTGAAATGAGCGCTCTCCGGGCACTCCTGTGAGCCCAGCTATTTTCACTTTGTCCTACATTAGCTTCAGATTTTTGAAATCTTTGTAGAATGCAGCATGAACAAACCATTGACCTTGTGGCACCAGTGGGAGACAGAGGGGTCAGCGTTTCCACGTGTGCAATGTGAGGACCAAGGGCACCAGAAACACTGTTTTCCTCAGTGGTGGAATCTGAATTGCTTGGGCAGTAGAGACAAATATGAAATCTGTGGTTTTTTGGATAACAGATCCAATAGGCAGTGAATGTCAAATACAGGAAAAGGTATTTAACAGACTGAGAAAATGGACTGGATTTGAGCAAGGCTCACATAGACGGGAATTCTACCAGCTCGAAGGTTTAGCACCTCACAAAGCAAACTTTCTTCAGTTTAGTGTGGTTGTTTTAAGAGTTTGCACTTCTAAATGTGAAAAATGTCAGGTTTCAAGGGGAACATATGACAAATTTCCTTTAAAAAATTGTTACTATGTCGTCTTAGGTAATACAAGACTCCGCAAAATAAAAAATTAGAAGGCCATTAGAATTTATGAACATCATGTATGTAGAATTGGAGGGATTCTTTTGCTCTGAAGAAAAAGCAAACTGAGAAGGGAGGTAGGGAGCGGGAGGCTGCAGACAGCAGAACCACCAACGCTAGGCCGGGAGGCCAGACGCTGGCCCTCTCTGAGGACACTCCTGCTCCCCACTGGCTGTGGGGCTGAGATTGGGCAAATGGCGGGGGGAGTGAAGCAGGGAAGAACTGGAACCTGCGGCAATTCCATATTTGTGGGTAAACTGTCTTAACATTGAGGTTTGCAAACACAAACGCTTGAAGACTTGGGACAGGAAAGATCCCTCCAGGATGCCCTTGCTGTTCTGGGGCAGCTCTCACTGCCGCCCAAGTGGACAGGCCCACCAGGGAACTCGGGCACTGAAGCTGCCCACCATGGTAGAAAATAATCAGAAACGTATGTAGAAGACTTTGGGGGTCTCCTGAACCCCAGTAGTAGTGTACCTAAATTTATCTTAACTTTTATTCAAATTAATTTACCATCAATTTTATCATGCATATTAGAGGAAAATGGGATTTATTTTCACTGAGCTCTTACTATGCAAAAGTGCATGTATTTTCTAAAACAGGGAGAGCTCTGCTGAAGTGGAGATCTCTCCCCCAAATAGGGGAGGGTTTGCAGCCTCTGCTTTATTTCCAGCATGTCCACCGCCTTCTTCATGCTGTGTATGTTAGATTAACTAATGGTTTAGAGGTAAAGCGGAGGATTGTAATCTTTCACCTGCATAAAATTTTAAGTAGGAACTGGGTCTTGTGGTCGCCACCCAAGAGAAAAGGATTTCTTGGGAATCAGGGCAGTAACTAATAGCTAAGAGTCACTTCCTGGTATCTGACAAACTGAAGGGGGCCAGAGGGCTGGACTTGGCGACTTCGGGTGGAGCTGGGGATGGGCAACACTAGGGCCTGAGCTGTGAGGTCAGAGCCTGTGCCTCAGTGGGTGTCAGAGGCCCTGGTCTCTGTTGCACCTCACCACAGCGTTTCAGCACTAAGTGTGGTAGAAAGGGCTTTTGTGAAACACAAGGGCTTTCATTTGCTGTCTGCTGTGTTCAGTGATGATGGTGACTTCCCATGGGCATGAGATGGCTCAACTGGTAACCATTCAACAGCATGCCTCAGAGTCCGGGGGACAGGACACCGGGAAGGAGGCGACTGAGGGGGAACCAGAGGGCATGGAGCCTAAGGAGTTGGTCTTTTACAAGTTCACCTGGAATTTCACCAGCTTTCTGAGAAGAATTACCACGTGTTTTACTCATCATTACTGAGCATGCAGCTAGACGTGACCCTTGTGACATGAGATGTGACGTAAACAGCTATGCGGAGGACAGAGAGTACACACGTATCTGCATGTTCCTGTCCTACTCCCCATGGCCTCTGGTGTCAGCTTAACAGTGAGGATCAAATCATAGTACTCTGGCTTATAAAATCTCACTTTGCAGACTTTCCTTTAGATTTTGCACCTTTAGCTCTGCCATGGCAGGACCATAGAACAGTGAAAATGCAGATGTGAGGATGTGTTTGTCTAAACTTCTATGGAGCAGAGTCACGCACTACACGTCAGGAAAACATGAAATACCTTGGCAGCTCTGATTAAATACTGGAGAAGAGTTTTGGGAAGTTTAATGATAGACTTTGGCAAGGCTAAAATGGCTGACGCAAACTTCCCAATAGCTCTCTACAAAGAAGGACAAAGCAAGAGTAATTAGTAGAAAAAAACAAACATTGATCATGTCATACACGATGTCACATGAATTTGTACAGTTAACATCAACGCAGTTAAAATATGCCAAGCACTGCAGCCAGGAGAGGCTGTGCTCCACCTGTGAGGAACAAGGTCGTCCGTGAATGCAGGAGAGAAGGTGGCGCCCAAGGTGGTTAGAGTCACACTCACGAGAAGAAAATCAAGTCATTAGTATCTGCAGGCTGGCCGCACACATGCACATGGACGCAGTCACCAAGACACACACAAGAGCAAGAGAGCGGCAGAGATCAGGGGATCCCCATGGGGGATTTAGCTCTTCCACATCAGCAGGAAGACGTGGGTGGCTGGAACCTGCCTGCCAAAGAAGATCTGGCCAGCAGCCTGATGGTGACCTTATTGAGGGCACATGTGGCATGAGCCAGAAGGAACCATCCCTGCATGTGGTCACTGGGAAAGGAAGCAGACATTAAGCTGTAATCTCAGGTGCCATTAGTGGCAAGGCCTCATCCCTGAAGGCAAGACACCCCTCACCCAGCCCCCACATGGACGTGGGGATGCAGGTTCTGGACAGGCAGGTAGCAAAGCTGAAAAGAACAGAACTGGCCAGACGTCATCATCGTTATTCTGATTCCTTCTCCAGTCTTAAGCAGTACAGCGTAGACCGATCCCTGGAACCCGAAGCAGTGGTTAAACGTCCTTTTGTATCAACGCAGAGCAAGTACCACATTGTCATTGTCAGCGGTTCCACACACTGACCCCTAGGTTCACTCAAGCAGCCCAAAGCAACACCAGAGACGTTTTCTTCATCTACTTGCAACAAAAATAAAGTTCACTCAATGAAGCTTTATTTTTTTAGAAAGCATTAGCAAGTGTTTCAATGCAAGGGAATGAAGACCTGACCTGGACACAGTCCCAGATGGCAGCAGTGGTGGCGCTGTGGCCCCAGCACTCCGCAGTTTCACAGGAAACCCTGAGGGCTGTGACACCCCTGTGGCCTGCGTGGAGGTCTGCAGATGGGGAAACAGCTGGTGCAGGCATGACTCTCCTGTTCCTGCCTACCTGGAATGCTGACTTTCTTGGGGGCTCCTCGTCCTCCTTCTTCAGCTCTTCCTCTTCCTCTTCTTCGCTATCCGTTTCAAACAAATAATAATCTCCACTCCTGACCACTAAGCAAAACAAAATATTTACTTATTTTTTGAAAGGGAGATGAAATAACTGGGGAATCTTCATGAAATTCCCCCTACAGCTACACAAATGGACCATAAAAGGATCACAGCAAGAAACGTCAGCAGGGCGGAAAACAGGAGATGAAGAGACCTTCAGTGCGCCTGCGCCGTGTGGCGTTGGTGTGGCTGGGTCCACACAGACAGAGCGGCCACTGTAGGGCTGAGTTGACGACCCCACCCTTCTTTGTGGTAAATCAGCTCTACTGGGTCAGCTCAGCTCTGCAGCGGCCGGTTTCCCACAGGATGGACAGCCACCATTTCGCCATCAGCTAGGGCACATAAAGTTTAGACGAGGCCAGAGTGAAGTGGAGGAGCTGGCATCATCTGCCACAGAAGAGCCAATCAGGATGATTTGGGACCGAGATCGGTGCCACCAACCGTCCACTTCACTCGGTACCGTGCAGACCTGGCTTCTCCACATGGACACGCGACAGCACACAGAGGACAGGACATTCGGAAGAGTGAAAAAAGAAAAGAAAGGAAAAGAAAAGTCACACACACATTACCACGAGGAGGAAACATGTAGACGACTGAACACTGAAGACAAAAGGAAACATAACAACACCTCTAGGACCACTGCTCTGGCTGCTTCTGCACACGACCGTGACAGAGGGGACCACACAGTTGGCCCAGGCAGCTCAGTGCTGCAGGCTCCCAGCAGCATGTCCCTCCCGAGCTCAGCAGTAGGGAGTACTCTGCTGGCCAGGCAGGAAGCACACAGAGCGGGGTCTCTCCCTGGCCTGACCCTGTCCCTGCAGGAACGCGTGCCTGCGTTGAGAGAGGCAACGGGAGCGCCCAGAGGCGGAAAGAAACATAAGAGTCACTCTCTGTCAGCTTGGTGAGCATCTTAGGTTTATCAGGAAGAGAGACCCAACACAGACATTTCTGATGCTACAAGAGCTGCCCCATCACTTGGGAAAACACATTTGTACTTTCCAGTTCTGCCTGGGTTTGCATATGCCGAGGCATCTTTGGGGTGACATCATGGGACATCTCATGAGGTCTTTTGCGATCAGACTTCACAAGGTAATGGAAAACCTTGGCTTGTTTAAATTAGTTGTTTGCATATCACTGAACATAGTCAGAAGTCAAGTAATTTTGCCCATGGTTTCATATGAGTCTGAAGCCTCTTTTCTTGGTCTGCAGAGGGAATGAATTGGGCCTTATATCCTTGAACAGAGAAGCACTGTACTTTGATATTTTGACTTTGGAGAAAAAAACAGACCCGGAGTACCGGGTCCAGGCCTTTGGAAATAAATGCAATACAACATAAGAATAAGCAAGAACAAACCAAAGTTACAGCATTACGCTGGATAGTGAGGACAGTGAAGGCAATGCCCACACAGAAGCTGAGAGATGGCAGGGAGGTCTGGAGACTACTTCATGTGGTCATTTAGGAAACACATAGGGCTTTGTAAGTGGAGCATTTGACCCTCATTATAGGCACTGAACTCAACAACAGCTAATGCTGTGTTCAATCACACCTTCTGGAACGTTCACTCACGCGGGTGAGCCAGGGCACTATCCACAGGAAACACTGACAGCATGGATTGGATCACGAGCAACGACTCTAATTTGTTACGTGCACATTGGCACATTAATCAAAGAAGGGAGTGTTTAAAATATCCTCTTATACTTTATAAAGTGCTATTGGAACACTGAGAAATAACAGTGCCATCTGCTAATAGCGAGGAGGAAATCCTTTCCAGGTACATATGCTGTCTGCAGCCCCTGTGCACCCACAGCGTGGTATTCATGGGGTTGCCGAGCCCCTTGGAGTAGAACCACCCCACCCCTGGCATCGTCAGACCTTCGGCCTGTTATTTCAGACACCTGCCAGCGGAGGGGGCTCAGCACTGATGCAAGCAGCACTAAGTCGGTGTGAGATGTCCACTTTGGGAGGAAGGCATCATTGAACAGCAATAATGCAAGCCATGTGTGCATACAGGTGTGGATGGAGGAAACGAGGCCACAGGCCTCATGGGGGACATCTCTAACACGGCAGCTGCAGGAGGTCGTGCACAGATTTGCACGCTGGTACTCTAACCACACTTACACTCTCATCTCTGAGAAATCCATCTTTGAAGGCCTAATTACTCAACAGGGTAGAAGAAGGGCTTTAAATAAAATTCTTCCAGATCTACAGACAAGTTCTGGAACTCATCAAAGACTAAAATATAAATGACATGCTTGTTCTCTTTTGTTCCTCTCAAGCTTGAAACAGAAAATAAGCTTTGTAGAAAAATTTAACATTGCAGTCAAAATAGGATTCCAGACCATGAACCACACATATGCCTGCATTATTGCCCCACAATAACAGGCACATTTAGTTTAACTCCAGTTATCAGGAAATTGATTATAATGAGGGTGAAATGAATGTGAACACTCTAACACCAATAACCTTCACAGGAAGCTCTTTAAATTATTACAGCTGGTAAGATGATTACCAAAGACCATATCCATTTCCTTCAAAAACGCAATGCATGGATGAGAGGGGAGAGACAACTGCGTGGCCACCGTGGGGCTTCCCCCCAGCAGATGGGACGGAACATTCAGTTACGACAAGGTTCTGAAGTGGATAGGTCTCTCTAATGAGCAGGCCCTTTAACAAAAGAAGGTAGGCACAGTTTACTTGTGACTTGATAGAAACCGCACTGGCACTCCGCCTGGTCAAATGGTCAGCAAGACTCACCTGCCCACCACGGACAGGCGAGCTCAGGCTCCCACTCTGAATGAAACAGGACTCTTCATACCTCACTGTAATTTTCACACTATCAAATTCAACCCTGAGGGTCCAGTGTGTTTCTAGAAATAGTGAGCAAATTTCTAGTACCGCTTTGTTAAAGTAGCTTGCAGAGTTTTAGAACATGACTTCTGGGTTGAGAGAGGCCAATGCAAGATGCACGGGGCACTAACAGGTGCAGGAGAAAATACAGAATTAAGGCTTGATTTTCTTCTGATTCTGAAGCTCCTACCAATTGAGTCCTTCCTGGTGCCACTCCTCACCTGAGTAGGTGAACCACAGTGCAATCCACGTGGTGTGGACAGAAAAGGCTGAAGGCATGTTGAGCTGCCTGACAGCAATGATTCTTCAGGCTTCTAACACACTCTGGGACGGCCAAGTGGTGACTGGTCATCTCCTGTAAGACTACTGGCCAAGAGGAATCGAGTCTTGGTTAGCTCAACAAAAACAGCCACGATTCCTCACCCATGTTTTAGGATCTGGGCAGAAATGCACTACATTCCGTGTGGCTAAGATGCCCTGCGTTTCTGGTTTTTCCATTTATCACTGCTCAGCACATGCTAGGCATGGGTGTATGGAGTGTGGCTTTGGAGCCACTTGAGATGGCACAGGAGGTTCACTGAGAAGATATAGGCATCTTTGGACTTTAGATAGTGCCATAACCCCTCAAATACAAATAACATCAAAGCCCTGGGAAGGAGAGTTAAGGCCTTCCCGAGAGTTACAGAGGCTTGAACATAACAGACACCCTTGAACTGTAGTTTGAGGGGAGCCCAGAGTCATTTTTAATAAGGAGTTTTAGCCATATAACAAATGCAAGTGGAGTTCTGGACCTCAGAGTGGATCATGTCAGAGCCAATTGTTCTTTGCTTTGTGAGTTCAGGAGTCTGTCGGCCACATGATTGGCTTCCCTGCAGGAGCCGCCCCCAGGCCAGGGACCCATTGGTTGGCAATTTTCCTACATATCAACCCCTATCAAGTCACAAGACTCAAACCATGCATGGTACACACAGGTTACGGGCGCCTGAATTCTGGTCAAGGATATAAGGGTTAGTTGGTGAGATTGGAGAGGATCGAGAGAACCTACTGGAAGCATGATCGACCCAAGGCCGCCACCACTGCTTTTTTTTGCCCTTGGCTTTCTGTTTGTCTGCTTCTCCTAAAATGAAATATGTCCAAATATTAATTCTCATAAAGTGAGCAAACATGTCCTGAAAACTACACTTTAACAACTCAATCGTCAAATCTAGGTAAATCGCAAAAGTCTATCAGAGGTCAGGAAAAGGAATTCTATGAAATCTGAAAGCATACCTGGACTAAAACTGGCTCATGAGACAAACACGACTATTCTTTAACAGTATGCTACCTTTTCCCTTTCTTCCTAGGAACTGAGGGCATATAAAGAAATACAAGAAAAAGGAAGTCGAAATGCACCTCACGCTGAAGTTTCCTTAAATTTACAGAAAAGCCTGCTTAAACATAATAAAACTACTTAGTGCCAAATAATTTGTAAAAATATATAAATTACAGTAACCAGAAATTTTTCTTGTGATTGATTTAACGAATGATTGAAAAGTGTAACTTTACTGGTGATAACAATTACTATGCACTGAAAGTTACCATGTGTTGTATCCCCTCAAACAGGAGAGCATGTACACTTCTATAAAAAGGCTTTTAAAACTGTAGTAAGTCTATAATTACATATAACATACATATTGAACACTGAATTTCATCGAAACAGGCAATAACTGATATTTTAACTATTAATATTCAGGTGCTACATAATGCATGAATATCTATTTTTCATATAAAAGTTACAAAAATCGAAGGTGGCATATTGGAAATATCCTCCTTAAAAGAACAAAGTAAGCAAATCAAGCTAATTTTCTGCATAAGCACATGTTTACGAGGTACAGGAGGCTGTGTGGCCTTAGGGGCATCTTGCCAAACAGTTGATACTTATAAACCCATTCACTCGTCCAACATGCACCTTATGGGACAAATTCACCTCATTCAAAGTGGAAAGGGGCAACTGCCTGTGTTAAACGATAACATCGGCGACACCGGCAGAATGAGAAGGGTCGCTATTCTACAGCCCTAGCGAGCATCATGCTACCGTTCAGCGGCAAGGTGCTGGGAGAGGAAGAAATGTCTTGACGTACTCTCGTCATCCTCTTCGGAGAGCTTCTGGGCGTCCTGGCCTTCCCCTGACTCCTGGGTCAGGCTCAGCATCCTCTCCTTACCCTTTTTGTACTTCTGCTGCCTCGCCTTGATGCGATCCATCCTGTAATACAAAGCAGTGGGAGTAAAGCCAGGTGAGCACGTACGGCCTCCTGATGCTGGGACCTGGACCTCATGCCTGTATGTGAGCACTTAAAATCCTGGATGGAGTTTTCAACATCTGTGAAGCAGCTGCCTACTAGCAACAGTGTCTCCTCACGTTGCACAGGTTACCCTGCATCCATTCAAGGTGCTAGAGTGGTAACGGTGTCTGCAGCCACGGGGCTGGGGGTCGGTGTGCACCCCTGAGGCACGACCGTGCCGAGCCTAACACAGCATGCTCCAAAACACAAGTCCTTTACTCTCCCGAGCTTTGCATTCTTAAATAAATGGAAAATCAGCAAGGTGAGTTACAATACAGGCGTCACGAGAGAAATGAGAAACTCTTCATTCTTAACATAGGCTCAGACTTGCTATTGCTGTAGCCCTGCTTTAAACAGCAACCTACAAATAAGGACAGTTGTGCCACACTGCGTTTGCACTATGTATACACATTTACATATAATTTGTTGGAAAAAACAACTATGCCACGGAAGGGTCTAATGTACAAGAAGAAATGTTTCTGCTTGGAAGGAAGAGGGCAGTAAAGGAGGTCGAGACCCAGTGAAGCTTTCTCCCAAACTCAGGGACGCTACCTGGGGGCCCTGGGCGCCCAGACACCCAAGTCTTTAGAAATTGCCCTTTCTCTAGGAGGAGCCTCCTCAGTGCTCTGTGCGACTCTCCTAAGTGAAGTCCCTCTGTCCCTTGACCCGTACAGACTGGTGTGGTGGGCAGAACTCTGTGGTGACCACTGGAAGGAGGCCATTGGCGTAGGGCTCTAGGCCTCTAGCACTGGAAGGGAGCTGCTTCCTCCAGGGGACTGGATTATATTTCTTCAAAAGATGTTTGCCAGTGGCCCTCGGTCAGCTCCCTAACCCACACACCCCATGACTATTTGCTCCCAGCGCTTGGATGTAGGGATACCATCCTGCTCTTAGCTGGGTTCATCTTAACAATAATCCCACGGGAGACACGCAAGGCCTAATTTCAGCACAGAAACCTGATGTCCAGAGCCCTGGAATGACTGCTGATGGCTCTCGAGTTGGTCTGAGGGAGGACTCGCTACACCTGGAACTGCCCTGCTAAGCTGCCTCTCGGCTCAGGGTGAGGCCTGGCAGCCCCAGCACCAGGGCGAATGCCAGGCTTCGGGCACTGATACACACAGACCCTGTAGGGGCTGAGGCTCCTCGCAAGTAGAGAGCCCGCTATCTGGCCCAGAAGCCAGAACAGGAAGGAGGACAGGAGAACAAAGCATCCTTACTGTCTCTTCAGCTGGTCCATGGACTTTTTCTCCTCCTCGATTCTTGCTTTTACAGCTTTTACAATGGTGGCCTGGAAAAGTTCTGCCCCTCTACAAGGAAATGGGAAGCACAGAACAAATTAGTGTCCTGGTCACTCTTGCCTTCCAGACACAGGAAGGGCAGTGCAGTCAGGGGTCCCGACCACCCTTCCGATGCAATTCCTGTGCATGCCAGGGTGGGGGGCATGTGAGGCCATGAGTCTCCTCGAATGTGTCCCCCAAAAGTCCCACTTCATGTGCACTTGGAGTCACTCACCTGACCTCCCTAGAGCCGTAAAACTGGGGAGGGCTGAGCGCTTACACAGAAAGGGGGTGTGCGGCCTGGCTCCTTCATGGGATTGGGGGCCCAGGTCTGTTCCATCTCAGTTCTGTCTCTTCTCTCTCTGGTCCTTGTCCTTGGGTCATTCCACTTCCCTGTCCATCTCCCTTCTTAACCAGCCAGAGGTGTCTGCCTGAGCTCCTGTGCCTGGATCACATCCTCAAGGCTGTCCTGGCTGCCGCAACCACACTCTACTGCCCCGGCCCTGCCTGAGGGGTGCCCTCTGTGCTGCAGGGGAGTGTGTCCTGAGTGCCGCCCCAGACCCTTCAGCTTTCTCACAGCACGGCTGAGTGCACCACTGTGTGCTAAAGTCTCGGGCTCTGCTGCATGAGTGAGCTTTTCAATCCTCCCAAGGCCAGGCAGACCAGGACTGTCTGTCAGGAGGCCAAGTCCTGCGCTTTGGTCTGCTCTTCTCCGGCCAAGATCCCTTTCCCTGGGGACAGCGGGCGGACTGTTCTCCCACTGGGCCTGCTGGGTCCTTTCCCACCCGCGGCCTTCCTCTGCCTCTCACACCCTTCCCAGGCCTGGGTCCTGACCCACGCGTGTGAACACACTCAATTGTCACAGATCTTGGTGCTGGCAGAACTCAGGCAACATGCAATTCCTGGGTGCAGCTTGAGCTCCCACCGCATGGTGGAAGGGGGCGCCCTGGCTTTGCCTCCCTGCCTGCTGGCTGTGTGGTTCTGGAAGGCTGGGCCTGTGCTTCTCCCCCTTGATGACCTCATGGCTGGCCCCTGGAGCTCCTACTGCCACACTGCTGTTATTGAAGTAGGCTCTTGGGATTTGTATGTTGAAACCCTCATGCCCAAGGCAGTGGGGCCAGCATCGGCAAGGGGTGGGTAAGGCATGAGTACCCTGATAGAAATGGCCCACGAACTGGCTGTGGTGGCATAAGCCTATGATCCCAAGCCATCTGGGAGGCAGAGGCAGGAAGACTGCAACTTCGAGCCCAGCATGGGTAATTTAAGTGACTCAGAAAAACCCTGTTTAAAAATAGAAAGTCAAAAAGAGGTTGCAGCTCAATAGAAAGGCCCTGTACTCAATATGAAAAGAGAAAAGCACTAACAATGGCCTAAGAGGTCTCTTGCTGCTTCAGGCAGAAGGGGACAAGGTGAGAGGAGCAGTTTGTAGGCCAGGTGCCCCATGTGCCCTGTGACCGCATTGGGAAGCATGCTGGAGAAGGGCAACTGGGCCCTTCGGGGCTCCCCCTGGCTTGGCATCCTTTACCAAGGACATGCCTGCTCCCTGTCAAGCCCAAGCTCATCTCTAAACCAAAGCCATCATCCTGCCGCGACAGGAAGGGTATACTTTCTGAACAGTTCAGACCCCTCTAGGGAAAGACTCTTCCTCCCACCATGGCTAGGACCCTAAGGGCCTAACATTTTGGAGAGAGTGGTACAAAAAAGAGAGGCCTCACTGGCCGATAAGGTCACTGCTGGCCTGAGACACTAAGCCCTGCTCTGCAGAGGACATCCTGGAGACTGAATTATAACAGTGGTGCACAGCAGAACCCAAATGTAAGTGACATAAAGTCATCATCCGTGTGTATGAGGACCGAGGCTGCCATAGGCCCACAGATTAAACATGGGTTCCTGTTTGCCCTCTCCACATGGTCAAAGGCAGGTAATGAGGTCAGGGTGGCCCTCAAATAAAAGGATTTTGAAGTAAGCATTCCTGGAGGGGAAGGAGGCAGCTCTGAGCTCAGACGCAGTGTTTAAACCACAAAGGGACAGCGGTGGTGATCCCATCACCCAACCTCTTGGCCCGGGCAAGTTCTGCTCAGCCCAGAGCTCTGCATGCAGCCTTGTGCCCTTCTGTGTGTTCTCTTTTGAGGAATGTCCATGCAGACTGTTTGCCCCTTTTAAAAATGGGACTGCTTTCTCCTAGAAGTTTCCAGAGTGCCTCAGACTGGGGAGGAAATCACACACTACTGAGGTGTGTAAGATTTGGGACCCCTAATGATTCTCTCGCTGCCAGGACTTTCTCCCTAAGGCAGGGTGGGAGGGGCTGATGGGGCAGAAAGAGAGGCTGTGGGCTGCCCTGGGCTCTGCAACCCACCTGCTCGCCTTCCGCCTGCCAAGCTGTCCTGTGTCCTCTGTGAGCTGATGGCACACAGCTCTGTCACTACTGGATGTCAGACCTTACGCGCCTGCCTGGTGCTAGGGTTTTCCTGGAATCTCTCAGTGACTCAGCTCCTGAGCCAAGCTCAGGCACTATTTTTCTTGAGGGCCAGTTCCCCACCTGGAGGCCAGGATCTGGGACGCTTTTATGTCAGCCACGACGTGCAGGAAGTAGTAGCTCATGAACACCCTTCGCTGCAGCAGGAGGAAGGCGAAGCAGATGCTGTCCCAGATGATGCCTGCCTCCCCGCTGGGCAGTCTGCAGTTCGAGTCATCGGAAGCTGCAGGCAAGGAGGAGCGCTGAAATGAGGGTCCCTCCCGCGTGGTTTGAGGGTATGTCCCACAGCACTGTAATACGCCTCACGACCCTCGGGTTGGTTTGCTTAAACCCAGCCACCGATGAGTCCAGCACCAACCCGGGCTCCTGGGCTAACCAGCCCCAAGGTGGGCTCTCAGCAGGAAGAATGGGATGCAGGCGACACCAGGGCTGGGCTAGGAGACACAGCAGGGACAGCCCTGTGTCCCCACAGCCACCATGGAGACCACTTGTGGCTGCGACCTGGATTCTGTCCCTTTTGTCTTTATGGACGGGGCTCCTGGGATCTGCACTTCTCTCTCAAGCTTCGTGGGGAGGGAAGGGCCTAGAGGGCTGAGCACCCCAGGACCCTGGATTCTGTTGGGAGCTTTGAGCAAGGAGTGAGTGGGGCACTACCCCCAGCCCTGAGGCCCCAGAGCTAGGGAAGGTTCTGGAAAATGATCAGCAGTGCCTGAGAAGGGTCCTCTTAGGTCATGATGATGCGCCCTCAGTACATTGCAGTTCTGTGGCCTCTGTAGAGTGACAGCCGTGGTCTCCACTCTGATCTCTTCTCTTTATTGCCGCAGCCCAGCTTTTACACAGAACAATGCAATACCTTCCCCGGCTCCCTTCCACCTTCTAACACACAGCTCCTACTTACGCATTTTGTAGCCTTTCACAGTGCAGGCCAGGCTGAAGGCCTGGATCAACCAGCAGCTGTTCTTCACCAGGGTCCCAATGTATCCGCATGCACCTATCTGAAACACAAACGGGAAGGCAGGTTCGGGGGTGCTGCACCAAGGCACAGGTGCGGTGTCTCGGGGGCTCAACGTGGAAGTGAGTTTGCACTTAAGTCACCACGAGGTCATGGGCCAGCAGTGTGGAAACAATGTGAGGGTCAGGAAAGCGAGGTCTGAGCTGGAGAGGGTGGGCCTGTGTGAGCACTGCTGCACTCAGGAGATTTCAGTTCTCCAAGAGGAAGTCACAGCACTGCGCCTGCCGGACAAAGCCGGCTGTGTAAGGGGCGGGAAGCAAGCTCGGATTTTGGTAGAATTCTTTCCTCACAGGTCAAATGGGGGTGACTCCATGCCCCAGGAGAGCACAGCTCCTGGGACAGTGACACACAGCACAGTTTGGGTTTACTCCCAAAGTTTTGGGTTTACTCAGTATGGGTTCCCCAGACCACACTGTTTTTTTTTTTTTTTTTTGGTCTTTTTCCTTTTTATCGGTACTGGGGATCGAACTCACGACTGCCTGCTTGCAAGGCAGGCGCTTATGCCGCTGAGCTAAATCCCCAGCCCCAAGAATATACTCTTGTTCTTCCTGCCTCCTTCGTGGCCTTCCTGGGCACAGAGGGTCCTTCCCACTTTGGCTCCCTAGAGAGTCTTCCAGCTGTTTTCCTAGTATCACGGTTCACATAACACCTATCCAGGAAGCTTCCCCCCAGCTTACCTAAGCAGGATATTGGGCATTTTCCCCTCCTCTTCCCTCCCCTTCCTTCTCTCCTTTTGTTTCTTTTTAGTTTCCTCCAGTGTTATGAATAATAAGTGCACAGTTAGCCTTTACGAGTAGGTGTGACTTCCCTTTTAGAATGTGAGTTTCTTAAGGGCGAAACCTAAAGGGTGAATGGAAGGATGGGGAGGGGAAAGGTGGGGAGGGCAGGGGTGGAGAAGGGAGGGATGGGGAAAAGAGTGGAGGGAAGGTGTGGGGAGAGGCAGGGAGGGGAGGGGAGTGATGCTGGGGAGCAGTCTCCAGTGGTGGATCTCTCAACTTGGGACCAGCTTTAGAATGAAAGGCTCTAACTTGTCTATCTTTTATGCTGCTCTTTGAATTATTCACTCTGGTGTTCTCACAGAGTGAAGTCTGCAATAACAAGCTTGTGGGTCTCACTTCTCTCACTCAGTATTACAACAGCAGAAAAGAGAGATGTCGGGAGTAAGAAGGGAAGGGCGCCCAGGCAGGGATGCAGCGAAGGGGTGGAAGGAGCGGAGTCAGGGTGCAGTGTGCACTGTTCCCTGCCGACTCCCCCATGACAAATGGACTCTGCAGGCTATAAGTGCATACAAGAAAATCGTCTTTAAAAATTAAAAGAATAAAGGAACGGAACGCCTTCCGCTGTGGGGCTCATACTCTGTTACAGCTTCAGCGCCACTCTCAGTGCAAACACAGGGCAAGCATGGTCACAGTGCTGACTTACAGTAGAAAATCAGTCTTTCCTGGGCCCCAGACAAAGTACTCAGTGTTCACGCTGGCTCCAGACACAGAGGTACATGTGCAAAACCAGCAGACTCGTGGCAGCAGGCCTGGCTCCACCTCGTACCCCGTCAGGGCTGGGCGAGGCTGGCACGGGTTAGCACTGGAGCTGCAGGAGGGATATTCCTCCTGCAGGGCCCCGAAGCCTGCTGGTCACCTGTCTGCAGCACTGAGTGACTGTGTGGTATCCTCGGAGGCCTAACTGCTGGGCTGTCCCCACAGAAGTTGCCTGGGCGGGCAGTATGCTCTGCTCTCAGGGGAGGAGTGGCTCTGGCTCTGCTGCCCACAGTACAGAGCGGGATGGAGATGCGGTCCCTCAGTCCTATTGGTCTGTGCCACTCGTCATCAGGGAGCCCGTGCTCAAGGACCTCCTGTGTCCATCTGTGTCTCCAGAGACAAACACCTCGTTCCCTGCAGCCTCTTCTGCCTCACTCCCCGCCCTGTCTTACGCATCTGTGGTTTTTTCTAGACGAGAGCTGCTTTTATTTCTTTTCTCAGTGGAAAATCTGAGGCACAGTACTGTACCACTGTACCATTGTACCACTGACCTATAGCCTTGTCTATCTTACACTGAGCTGGGATGGCGCCACAATACCCAGACTACCCTTGGGCTTGTGCTGCTCCTGACACAGCCTCCCACACAGCTGGGGTTACAGGTGTGTGAGGTGCTCTTGGAAATGTGACCCAACTCTGCCAAGATTCACTGACTTGGATCCAGACCACCCAAGGGCCACCTCCAACACTTCCTAGGCATGAACGCAAGGGGTTGGTAAGTACCAGGCATCCCAGAATTGATTCCTGAGTATTATTCTTTCACCCTGTGAACCAGGATCTGGGTAATGAGGCAAAACGGGCCATGAACAGTCATTGGAACCCTGCGCTTGCAGCATCTGGTCACAGTTTCTGCCAGGCATGCACGCGAGGCGTGTGGGGGGTGCTGACCCGCGCAAACCCAAGCCCGCAGCGCCTGGGGCCCTACCGACAGGATGTTCTTCATGGTGATCACAAAGATGTTGTAGGCAATCAGCCAGTCCCAGTAGCGCAGGATGCTCCGGATGGGCTTCAGCAGCAGGTCCCCACCAAAGAGCAGGAAGTAGAAGCAGGCCACCAGGTAGCCCATGCAGAAGATGCTGATCCTGGTGGTGCCCGTGATGAAGATGATGGTGAGGACGAACCAGAAGAGGTAGCTGAAGATGACCACCTTGGACATGTCCAAGTAGGACCTGGAACAAAGCATAGCCACAGGGGACACATCCAGGAGGTTCTTCCTTAGAATGTGAGGAGAAAACGCTCACCCTCTGCTGGGCTTTCCATGGACACACCCAACCCCAGAGGCTTCTGGGGCCCCAGCACTGCCAGGGCTGGGAGCATGGGTGGGCCAGCTTCTCCCCACCGGCAGCTTCTCTACCTGCCACTTGAACACTCAAGGCTCCTCTTTAGAATTTCTTTATTCCTTTTAATAGCGGTTTTATTGAGATACTTTTCAAAGCATGACATCTGTTCTTTGAAAAATATAAAATTCAGTGGTTTTGGGCTATTCACGAAGTCAGGCAATGTTTTCACTACCCAATTTTAGGGTATTTTTATCACCTCAAAAAGCAACTTCACCCTCATCAGTTTTCACCCCTTTCTCCCCGCTCTTCTCAGGCCCTGGCAACCACTAATTTACTTCTTTCTTTATTTTAATGTAACAAATAATAGCAATAAAGAAAATATTAAAAGGCCCTCTTTTTACTTCTATGAACAAATAAAATTTCCTAGCAAATTAATTAGAGAATAATGGTCCCTACACCATCACTCAGAGTAGAGTCACAGAGAAAAAAAAGAGTCTTGCAAAAAGGGAACAAACAGGTGAGAGCACAAAACCTCAGTGAACTAAGAGAACCCCGGAGTATAAATGAAATAAATTAAGGTGTGTGTTACAACATTTTTGAAACAACGGAATAAACTGGGAATCATCTGGGCTTCTCCCCACTTCCTATTCCTCTGTCTTCTATTTTGATATTCATATATATAGTATCAATATACTCACACATGGAATTCTTCATGTAAGAGAAGCCTGGTGATATTTAAGCCTGTGAGTCTGGCTTATGTCACTTAACATTACGTTCCCAAATTGCATTCCTCTGCCTACTATGACTCAAGTGTACCTTCCTTATGGCACAGTAGCATTGCATCATGCTTAAATATCATATCTAGAGGCCGGGATATAGCTCATCAGTTCAGCACCTGTCTGGCAAGTGCAAGGTCCTTAGTTTGATTCCTGATACCAAAACAAATCAAAAACTAACAACCCCCACATTTCCTTTATCCATTCATCTGCTGATGGACACACAGGCCGCTGCTGAGATTTCACCAATACAAACCATGTTGCTATAAACCTGGGAATGAGTGCATCAGGTTTCACAGTGTGTCACTGCAACTGACCACTCTAACTCTTGGGAAGATACCTATGAGGGGTGGGTCACACGGAATTTCTATTTTTAGTTTTTGAGAAATCTCCACGCTGACTCCTGTAGTGGCTGTACTAGTTTACATCCCTACCAACAATGTCATACAGTTTCTTTTCCCTCGAAGCCTCACCAGCCTTTGATGCTATTCAATGTTTTGATGCTGTTGGTTCTGTCTGGGTAAGATGGAATTTCAGGGTTGTTTTAATTCACACTTCTTTAGTGGGCTACAGTGCTGAACATTTTTTTCATTTATTGGTCGTTTCCATTTGTAGCTTTGAGAAGTGTGTATTCATTTTAGTTGCCCATTTCTTGATTGGGTCTTTTATTTGGGGATTCCAATATTTTGAGCTCTTTATATATTCTAGATGTTAGACCTCTGCCAGAGGAACAATTTTTCCCCATCCTGATTGTCCCCTCTGTGTACAGGAACCTTTTAATTTGATATAATCCATTGGTTTTATTTCTTGTGCCACTGGAGTTCTGTTCAGAAAGTCCTTGCTTATGGTTATGTCTTTAAGAGTCTATATTTATTTTTATCTTCCAGAAAAGTAAATGTTTCTGTTTTAACATTCATATCCTCGATCCACTTTGATTTTAGTACATAGTGAGATTGATGGGCCTAGAATCAACCTTCTGCATGTAGATATCCAGCTTTCACAGCACCATTTATTAAAAAGGCTGTCTTTCCTCTTTGTCAAAGAGTACACAGCTGTATATTCCTGTGGCCATTTCTGCATATTCTGTTCTGTTCTACTGACCCACAAACCTGTTGTTCGGTCAGTAACATGCTGTTTTAATCACAGTAGCTTTGAAGTATGAGTTCGTATCTGGGATTGTGATGCTTCCTGCTCTGCTTTTGTTACCCAGGATTGCTTTTGCTATTCCAGGGTCTCTTCCTGGTTCCATCTGAACTTTAGTTGGTGGCTTCTCCAGATCTGTGAGAAATGCTGTTGGTATTTTGATTGGGATTACAGTAAATCTGGATATCAGTTTTGGAAGAACAGCTGTTTTTATTCATTCTGCCTATCTAACTACAGTATATCTTTCCATTTTTTGATGTCTTCCTCAATTTCCTTATTCAGAGGGATACAATTTTCACTGTAGAGATTTTTCACCTTGGTTAGGATAATTCCTAAGTATTTAATTTTTCTTGATGGTATTATTTTCCTATTTTCTTTATCAGTGAGTTCATTACTAGTGTATGGGAAAACTATTGATTTTTGTTGAGTTCATTTTGTAACTTACTACATCACTGAATTAGGTTATTAATTGTGGGGCCCTTTTGTTGGATTTTTGGATCTTTAAGTATTGAATCTTGTCACCTGACAATAAAACTTTAAATCTATTATGTGATGAATGACATTTGTTGGTTTGCATATGTTGAACCATCCTTGCATTCCTGAGATAAAGACTACTTGGTCACGTGTATGATTTTTTTTTTGATGCTTTGTTACATTCTGTTTACCAGTGTCTTGTTTTATCTCAGTTCATTAGAGACACTGGTTTATAGTTCTCTTTTTGGTCAGATCCATGTCTGATTTTGGCATCAGGGTAACGCTTTTTTTCCAAGGATGTTTTGGCAGTGTTCTTCTTCAATTTCCTTACCCAGTTTGAAGACTAATGCTACTAGGTCTTCTCTGAAGTTCTTACAGAATTTGACTGTGAACTCATCATGACCTGGGCTTTTCTTAAATGGTAGGGTTTAAAAAAAATTTTCTTCTTTAATTTCATTGCCTGTTATCAGACCATTCCAGAATTTTAAGTCTTCTTGGATTAGTTTTGGTAGTCCATATTACACTTGGATTTTCTCCATTTTTTCTGCATTCTCCAATTTTTTGGCATATAGGTTTATGAAGCAGTTGCTAATAAATTTCTGGATTTGGGCAGGGTCATTGTGATTTCAACTTTTTCATTTCTAATTGCACTGATTTGTGTCTTTTCTTTCCTGTTTTTGGTAATACTAGCTAAACACGTCTATTTTGTTTTTTCTTTTAAGTAATCAGCTCTTTGACTCATTTGACTCTTTACACTGGTTTTTAAATCCCCATTTCTTTGACTTCTGCTTTGATCTTTATAGTTTTCTTCCTTGTACAAGCTATGTACTTGGATTGTTCTTGTTTTTTGAGGACCTTGAGATGCATTGTTAGGTATTTTTTGGGGTTTCTTGTGTTTGACTGATGTGAACATTCGCAGTAATAAACTTCCTTTGTAGAAACTGCTTTCATTATGTCCTGTAAGTTCTGTTACATTGTACTGGCATTATCACTTTATTATAGGAACTCTATTTCTTCCTTAATTTCTTCTGTGACCTGTTGATTATTCAAGAGTGTGCTGTTTAATTCCATGGATTTGCATAGTTTGTGTGGTTTCTTTTACCACTGATTTCTACTTTCACTGCACTGTGATATGGTGCTATGCATGGGATAATTTTATTTTACATTTACTTAAGCATAGTTTACTAGCTAGTATGTGGCCTGTTTTGGAGAAAATACCCCTCACTGCCTGAAAAGAATGTGTGCTCTGTTGCTGTCTGGTAGAACACTGTCTATATATCTATTCAGTGCATTTGTTCGAAGGTTTGGTTCAATTCTGTGTATCTTTGTTGAGTTTTTGTTTAGCTAATCTATCTATTATGTGATAGTGGGATATTGAGCTCCCCACTAAAATTGTATTGATGTTTATCCCTGACTTTTTATGTTTAATAGCATTGGTTTTATGAAGCCAGGTACACCACGGCTTGGTGCATGTATGATTATAATTGTCATCTCTTCCTGTTAAATAGTTCCATTAACTAATAAATAGATAATGTCTTTCTTCTTTTGATCAGCTTAACTCAAAGTCCACTTTGAAAACAGGATAGCTACTCCCACTTGTTTTCAGGTTCCTGTTGCATGGAATCTTGTTTTCCATTCAGCCTGTGCATTTCCTTTTGTGTTAAATGTGTTTCTTGCGTACAGCATACTGCTGGATTTTCTTTCGATTCATTCTCCTAATTACGCCTTTTGATTTGTGAATCGAGTCCATTTACATTGATAACTGATATTCCTGTCACTGTACTAATTTCTTGCTGCTTTTTTGCCCTTCTCTTTCCCCTTGCTACTCCTACCTGATGCACTCAGTCTATTTGAACTTTTGGCACTGTTAGCGTCATTATCTCTTTCTAGGATATCCTTGAGGATTTTTTAGAGTGCTGGTCTGGGGGTCATGAATTTCTTCAGGTCATCTATGATGGAAATATCTTATTTTCAAAATTTCCCTTTGTCTTTCTAGGGGAGGCACTGATGATTGCAGAGCAAAAGAAATCTTAAGACACAAATGGGAAAAAAAAGTTAATAATGAATTTCTTCTCCCAGTTAGAATAGAGATAAATTAACAAAATCATATTTCACGCAAAAGTTTTGCTACAGATGAGAAAACTTTCCTTAGCGATGGAACAGCGCAGATTTATGACGGGGCTGGGGCTCTCTCCAAGCCTCTGTCTCAGGCTGGACGTCCCTGGTCAGTCAGGGTTCCTTTGGGGTTGTCCTTTCACAACAGTCTTCATGGACAGATGCTGACCCTGGTGTCCAGAACTTGGCACCCTTGCAGGAAAGCACAGCTTCTGGGGGCTCCCACAGCCTGGTGTCTGGGCCCCTGGGCAGTCTGAATTCACTCAGTTACAGTTTCTCTTTTGTGGATGGTTTGCTTTGGCCGTTTCTCTTTCCAGCTGAGGAGCATCAGACAAACAATTCTAGATCTGTTCTTTGATGAACAGGTTGTAGTTTTCCAAAAGTTAGTAAACAACCTCGGAATAGAATATGCATGGCACTTGGGCTACAGAGCATTACTGGGGAATGGTGAGTGGCGTCCAAACCATGTTTCAGATAGGTGCCCTTCTGACCTTTCCTTCAGAGAGTAAAATGTTTAAAAGGATTTTAATGAACTTTTTTCCTAGAAGCTGCTGCATACTTGCTTGGTTACACAAGCAAAAGAGGAAAGGAAAAGGTCATGAGTTCTAAAGGACCACAACCTCTGCAAGTGGCCAGGGCAGTGGCCAGGCTCACAGGGCCATCTGAGACATGCATGGATTAAAGTCAGCGTGCATGTGTGTGCACATACGTGTGTTAGGGCAGTGGCTCCTGAGGACAGTGGCTCCATTGTGGCCTACACCAACAGGTAGGGACTGGGCTCCCCACACATGCTTGGCCGTCCCGGTTACGTGGGGTATGAGAAGCCACACCAGCTCCTCACATGGCTGTGGTAGAGGCTGGGTGGGGTCTTTCGGGCTGCAGGAAAGACATCAGAACCAACACCACGGCCACCAGAGAATGCAGAGAGGTGGGACAGCAAAAAATTGACTTGCTCAAAGCCATCACTGTCATAAGGCCACTGGGCTGCATAGGCCAGGCCCTGCCCACCAGGATCCAGCCTGTAGCAGGGAGCTCTGCAGGGCTGAGCATGTAACACAGCATGAGGGACAGCAGCAGAGGGCACTGTGGTCCCTGTCCAGGGCCCAAGGGCACAGGACATGGGAGGGAGGTGGGGGGGAGGGCCCTTCTGGAAGATGCTGTTTGGTCACCTGCAGTGAATGAAGTCCGGGACAGGGTTGTGCTGGCTGAACGAGGCTGCATCCAGGTTCATGCAGATCTCCACATTATCACCGGCCATAATGCGCACGGCAGCCTTGTTCTCGTCCTCGAAGATCTGCCGTTGCAGGGAGGCACACAGGAGCAGCATGAAGTCATCTGTGAGAGGAGGATGGTCACTCGGGCCCAGTTTCTCTCCTGGGATCCACTGTAGCTTAGCAGAGCCAAGATCAAGGCCGAGCCCCAGCTTCTCCACCAGGGGACCTGTGTTTGTTACCACAGAGCTCCCTGGCCCCACAGAATGCTGGAAAGCTACCATGGCAGGTGCATGTTTGTGGAGCAGCAGGTGCTCTTGGGGCTGCAGGAGTGGCCCCGGTCCCCTTGGCTGCTCCTTTTTTCTGAAATTAAACCCAAATGTGTATAGGCTGGCAGTCTCTCCTGAGGTCCTGTTCTCCTACCGCTTTGGGTGGGGCGGCCACACCAGTGTGGCTGCAGGTGCCATGGGGGTCTGGGCCCCAGTATTGCTATCTGAGTCAGGTGCCCCTGTTTACTTCGTGCATGTATCCCATCGTGATGCATGAGGGCTCACTGAGGTCTAGCCTCTAAAGGACATGTGTGTGTGTGTATGCAAGTGCTAAGGGGTTTTGATGTTGGCTTATGAATCTGGTAAAGTAACAGAGCAAGCAGAAGCCATAGGGACCCAAGTGTGGACGCACAGGTCAAACCTTTCCATGCTGTGAAGCTGGGGAGGAGGCCAGGCACTGATGCATAGTGGATGGAAGACACAGAAACGCATATAGGGCCTGCGCCCCCACTTACAGACAAGGAACACGGGGTTGGGGCGCATGATGAAGTCAGGGAAGTACAGCCACTTGATGATGTTGTCATTGAAGTTGGCACCCTTGAGCCTCCATGGATAATCTGCAGGATGTAGGTGGCCGGTCAGTGCTCCCTGCCCTCCCCTGGTGCCTGGGTGGGGCAAGGGGACTGCGCTGCTCACCTCGGCAGGGTGCAGGGGGCACCCCAATGCACACCAGGTACTGCAGGGTGAGGATACAGGCCAGGAAGCAGCAGTACTTGGGCCACACCTCGGCGATGGCTTTCCTCCGGCGGCGGTACAGGACACCAATCAGCCAGCAGGCATGGATCATGGCATAGAAGTCCATCCTCTGGCCGATGACATTCACTGACATTAGGAAACAGGTCTGTGTAAGGATGACAAAGGAAGAGAATCGGGTTTTCAGGGAAGGGGTGTGGCATCCAGGGCCAGCCTGTTGGCAGTGATGGCCACCAACAGGTCCCTACTGGCCCTGAGAAAGACAGAACCATTCAGATTACTCCCTTTGGTAACAGTGACGGAGCTACAGCTGGGATGCTTCCTGTAAATGCTCTCTCCCTGAAGGACAGGCACCATCGCCATGGTGCAGCTTAAACAGTTCCTTTGACTACAGATCCACTTGGAGAATGCTCGGAAAGAAAGAAGGTCAATGATTTTTATTCTAAGAAACCAGCAACGATAATGGACATCCATGCATTTGGAAGGCTCTGAGGTCCCTCAAGCCAGCTCTGTTGTGGAGGAGAGGACACTGGCACGGGTGCTGGAAGACGCCCAGCAGAGCCAGGCTTACTGATGATCACCAGCCAGCTGGCTAGGACCACAGGATGGTGCTCACAGCTGAGCTGGCCCACAGCGGCCACTGAAATCAACATGCAGGCGGGCCGCAGAGCTTGGGATGAGGAAACTCACCTCCAGGCCGAACTTGTAGAAGAAATAGTTGACAAAGTACTTGGCACAGTTAACCAGCCCATCATCCAGGTGTAAGCGTGTGATGTCATGGAAGATGGTCTTAGACACTGGGGCTGTCAGGTTGTTCCGGCCACGGTAATACTCCTGGTGGCGGTAAATGGTGACTTCAAAGGCCAGGATGGCCAACATCAGGAGATTATTCTGTGTGTGAGGAAGAGGGAAGCACGGTGTGTACACAGATGCTTTGATTCAGTAATTTTAAAACCCTATATTTAATTGTGGATGTCTAAAAGGGATTTATAAATCCCCACTTGCATTTGGCATCATCTGAAGCTCAGTGTCACTTGCTCTGCCTTTTTTACTCGGGCATCGTCCCCAAATACCTATTTGTTTATCCTTCTAACTACTTTTAGAGCAGGGAATATTCACAAGGATATCTAGAAAACTCAGAAACTGCACACCGAAACTGGGGTGTCTACTATGGTTAAAAATCCCAGGTGCCGAGCCTAAGCTTTGCCACCGCCTCATCTGTGTATGTGACCAGGACTACACATATCATCGTTCGCCAAAGAAAAATGTGAAGCACTAACGCACCTGGTTTTTATTATGCTTGTACGACTGTGCCGTTTAAGTTTGTTTTGCAAAGCTATACTTCACTTTGTTATGTCTAACTGCAATGTATGCTCTTTATTAAACATTACAGCGAAACAGAATTTAGACACCAAAAAAGTTTTGTAACTCTACACCTCTTTCTCAGAAATAATTACTGGCTGTATGCTAAATTTTATCCAATATTTTTCTTTGTGTCTAGACAAGGTCATGCTATAAACAGGGCTCTGAAATTGCTTTCCTTTACAGTGTATTCTGGGTGTGGCTCCATCACGAAACGCCTTTTAACCTTGCTCTTGCGCTGTTTTTGTGCTAGTCTAATGAAGCATTTGTCATACTTTACTTAGGCAAGTTCAGAGCACATGGCTGATTTCTCAATAGTGCAGCTGATTTTACTGTTCAGTCGTCCGCCTCAAGCAGGTGGGGTTCCTGTCACTGTGCTGTGAGTGTTCAAGGCCAGGGCCACTCTGGAATCACGCAAAGCCCCCCAGGCGTGGCCTGGTCCTCACCCTCAGGTAGACAAGCAGCGGGGAAGACTTCCTCAGGCCAACCCACTCAGTGGGGTCGATCGGAGCACTGTAGAGCAGGGACTTGTTTAGTTCACTGAGAGGTATGTTGGTTTGGCTTTCATTTGGCTGAGAAGAGAAAATGGAATAAAAATGGATCCCCAGATTGAGAGAACTCCTACCGCTCTCCATCCCTGACCAGGGTGCCATCAGGTGTGGGGGGAGGCACAGGCCCCTCTCCCAGGGACATCTCCGAACCCGGCGGGGATAGATCTAAGCTGGAGGAACAGTGAGGGGCTCAGGAGCAGTCAGAGCCTGGGAGGGTGGGGTCCCCAGTACCCGCCTTGCTCCCCACAGGGCAGTGAGGAAATTCCGCCCCTGCTCACCAAGGAGCAGTTAATGGAAAAGTTGCTGGGCTTAATGGTCTGGAGCTGGTACAGCATTTTGCAGACGATGATCACGCATGTCCAGACGGTGCAGACGCTGGAGGCCAGACGACGGAGCTTGGCGTATGGCAGGGCAAAGGCCCAGGAAATCAAGAACACGTAGTTGAACAAAGACACCTGAAAATGTAAATCGGGAATGCAGCACATCACAGGGCGGTCAGAACATCCACGGCGCAGTGGCTGGTTTTCTGTCAGCCAAGGGCTAGTGAGGTCTTTGTGTGTACAGGGCATCGCCCTGGCTGGGGACACGTGGCTGAGTGACGAGTGGCTTTGGGGACACTGAGTCCGCTATGGGAGTGCAGCAAGGGCCAGCCCCCCACCCCACCCCCCACCCCGTGAGAGGCCTCGCACCAACAGGAGGAAGTGCATTCCGGGTGAAGGGCGTGAGAGCAGAGGCAAAAAGCAACAGACACTGCAGGAACAGAGAGCTAGACACTAGCAGTGGGCGCACAGCGGGCGGCAGAGGGGAGGGCACAGGTGTGGCCGAGCCAAGCTTCCCAAGCTATCAAGCCAGCAAAGCTCAGGGGCCCGCGCTGTGCCGCCCAGAGCGCGTGCGCAGCCAGGGAGGACAGCGTCCCATGTTGGTAAAGAGGCTAGGAGACTGGGCACAGGAGCCAGCAGGGATGCTGCTGGATAGAAGCAGCCAATGAGAAGCTGCAGAAGTGTTTAACCCCACAGCCGAGCCTCCTGCTGCAGCCAGGCCTGCTCGGCGTCGGGCCTGTGCCATTTTATCACTGGGCAACGGGCTCCTCTCCTTCCTCTCCCTCGCGACTTCCTTCCTGTTTTCTTCTTTCTTTCAAAGAACGGATGTTCTGCAACTGAGGCCCTCTTTTATTTGAGACCCACTGCTCCCACTCACTGGTTTTCCTAGTGGGGTGTGCTGGTGCATGCCTTTGGATCCAGGCACTTGGGAGCCTGAGGCAGGAGGAACCCCGGGTTGAGTCCTGCCTGGGGCACTCAGTGAGGCCCTGCCTCACACAGGAAACAAGCCTGCAGATGTAGCTCGGTGGGAGGGCACCACACTTAAATGGGCTTTCTGGCCTGCAGGGCCTGGAGGCCCAGATGCTCAGGGTCAGAAGTCACCTCAGAAGCGGTGTTTGCCGTTTCTGGAGAAATGCCGCTGTCGTCCTTTCTATTTCTTTGTGCTGTTCTGACCATCGACTGGAAGTCGGAAGTCGAACAATTCCCCGACTGCTGTCCATCAATAGACCCTGGTGGTCAACTCATAAGCTCAGAATGGATGCCAGGGTTCTGGCCAACATCAGGTCTGACCAGGCTCTGTCCCTTGTGGGCTGGGAGCAAGTTCTGGCCCAGACCACACGGTACAGAGCACTTATGCGCAGGGCATGTCTGGACCGTCTGTCTGCGGTGCTGCGGTTGCGCTCCGTTACTTCTGGCTAATGGTTATAGCCAGTAGTTCCCCAACCACTTGTGGGAGGTGCAAAGATTCTGAGTTGAACCAATTCAAAAATAGTCCTGGGAAGTCAGGACCATGAAGCAGCTTCTGCTGAATGAATGCCAGCACGTGAAGGGGCTCTCCCTTCGTGCAGAGTGGGGGACCTCCCACACTGTAACAGAGATGGCAAGAACTTTTGTCTTGGCTCTATAAACCCATGAGTCAGTCAAGGGCTTGATCAGACTTTGGTAACCCCTGGAAATGCTGCTGTCCCCAAGGAAAAAGCCAAGATGCAAAAAAGCAGCCCCCCAGCACTGACTGCCTCTGCAGTGTGACCCAGCCATCCAGAGCGCGCCGCTGCCTCCCCCTCGCCTCGCCCCACCTCTGTCCACCACAGTGTGGGCCCTGAGCCTCCCCAGCCGCCCGTGCTGTGCTGGCCTTTGGGGAAGCCCCGGGGTGGTGGCGGAGGAGCCCGGTCACTCGCCTCTTTCACGGACACCCAGATGATGTAGGAGGAGACAACCTTGATGATGTGCAGTTCCAGGAGCCACCACATGAACACCTGCAGCTTGTGGAAGTACTCCAGGAACTTCAGGAAGAGCACGGTGAGCCGGTCGATCACCAGGTGCCACTTGTTCCGCAAATCTGCAAAACAGGGCAGACCCGAGAGCACAGGTTGTCTCCGCGGTGTTCGCTGCAGCGTATCTGTGACTTCTGGGGGAACGTGGCGCTGTGGGGTGGCACCGAGGATAAGATCGGCGGACCTGGGGGAAGGTGGCCCAGGACTCAGGCTGTTCTGTGGAGACGTGGGGACAGTACCATTCGCCTATTCAGTGGCTGCCAGACCTATGGTGTGTGCCGCAGTATGCGGCTTCTATCACTGAAAGCTCTGTCCTGTGGGGTTTTTAAGGTATGAGCCGTTTTTTCTAATGAGACTTTGGTATCCTGGCTTAATCACAATGCAGTGTGGGTGCTTGTATCTAAGTCTGCTGTCACTGGATTAATTCATGCTTATGACTGAGCTCTCCTCTCTCCTCCGGTACTGCCTCCCCCTGGCCAGTGTGGTTGTCACCAATGCTGCTGGGCTCAGGCCTGAAGCCAAGGAAGTTTCAGTACTTGTGAAAGCAGCGCACCGGCCAGGACCCAGTGAGTGGCCCAAAGAAAGGCCCAGAGGCTGCAGTGAGCCCGGTGTGCTCGGCACAAGGGGGGAAGAGTGAGCACAAGGTCTGGAGAGACTCTAGAACCCACTGCAGGTGGGCGGACTACATCCCAGCTGCTCAGCCCCTGGAGTCACAGGGCGCTCAGGTACAGGGCAGGTGGCCCCAGTACCCCTCAGTCATGTGAGGAAACAGAGACAGAGCTTTCACAAAAGGGAAGAGGCCAAGAGAGGGAGGAAGGCAGAGGGGAGGAGACCAGAGAGAATCGAGGTGTGTTATACGTGTGCGCCCACTGCCCACATGGACCAGTAAAAATAAAAATAAGCCCTGCGTTTGGGAAGACAGCAGATCAGGAGAGACAAGAGCGGCACCTTAACTGCAAAGCTCCCAAAGGTCCCTGCGTCTCACGGCCAGGTCTTGGTCTGAGCTTCCTGCATGGTCAGCTCTGGGGACCTGGCCGGCTCTGCAGTCCCAGTGGGAGCTCCATCAGCAGGTCAGGAATCCAGGCCCGGCCCCAGATTCCAGCCAGATTCCTGGAGAGACAGGAACAACTAAAGCGACCAGAGAAAGAAAGCTGCAACTCTTCGATCTGCCCAAGCTGTGTGCCACCATTTGGGTCACACAGACCTTTGTGGAGTGCGTCCTGGCTTATTGTTACCTGACATGTCCTCCTCCTCTTCCGACTCCTCCTCATCCTCATCCTGGCTGTCTGTCTCTGACTCGCCCTTCAGGGCTCTCTCTGTTTTCCCCCGTCCCTCTGGCTTCTCCTGCCCAGGCTCCGCCAGCTTCTTGGGCTCGGGCTTGTCCAGGCTGGGGGTCAGATGCATCATGGCCAGGTCGGGTAGGCTGCCTTCGGGGTGTGCCAACCTGTGGGCAGAGGGCAGCTGAGGCCCAGGGCCAGGCGTGGGGCCAGAGTAGCAGCGCGACCAAGGAGGAGACAAAGCAGAGACCGGTGCATGGACAGCACCCTGTGATGAGGACGTGGGGTGTCAGGGAGTGGCCGCTTTGGGTTGGTTCGTTTGTTTTAGGTTCTTTCTAAAAACAAACTGTGAACTGAGCTCTGATTGGCTTCTCTCACCGAGGCTCTAGGGAGTCCTCGGGAACGAGAGCTGTGGACACCCAAACTTGACATTTTTCCCAGAGGAGAAATGGTCAGAGTTTAGGATGGAGAAGCATGAAATGGCACCGTGGCGGGCAAGCATTTCATGGCTTCGCGGGGGACTTACTCATTTTGGTTGATTGGTAATTTTTTCTTGATGCTGCTCAAAGTAATTGGGATAGAAAGGAAAAACAGGAGATGAGAAGAGAGGAGTTACGAGGAAGGTCAAGATCACACATCATGCTACACATCATTGCATCAGGGTGCAGTGTGGTGGGCCTGGGCTGGCACATTCCTGGCTCGTAGTGAGCTGGGGCCAAGAGCCCAGACTGGCGACGGGATCAAGAGTGAATGGGTCAGCAGGGGTGAGGACGAGGAGAGACGGGCCCAAGGCAGGAGACCTCATGCTCTCTGGGTGACACACAGGTCCAGCAGGGGTCAGGTCATTCTTGGGAGGGCACGTCTGTGTAACGAAGGAGCCCGAGGTCTCCACCCAGGGAGGGTGCAATGCAGGCGAAAGGCCTTCAGGGCTCCAACTGTCTGCAACACAGCCTGCTGGGGTTGGGGGAACCAGTGTCCACTGCAGACATGGCTGCCGGGCACATGTGGAACCTGGAGTGAAGTGGTGCCACAGGACAGCTTCCACTGAGCGCCTGGCCACCTGGGTACTGCAGCTTATTTCAGAGCAGATGATGACAGGTGTGGCTCCTCCTAAATTCTGTTTTGAAACCAGGCCTCACTCTATCACCCAGATGAGCCACCAAGTCCTTGGGCTCAACCTTCCAAGTAGCTGGGAGGTGGATATGTGCCATGATGGCTAGCTTCCTACATTTTGTAAAACAGAAGAAAAATTTTTAAAATTCCCATTCAAAGGAACACTTCAGAGAACACTGTGGACTCAGGAGTGTCTTAGAGAGTGTCCAGGAACACGAATGACCCAAGGGGCCATGACAAACCCACGCAGAATGATATAAATAATGTTCCACCGGTAGACTCCGGATTAATTATTTCACTTTTATGAAACTTAGTTATTTTTTTAGAACGGGTGGGCTTTACAGATAAAATCTAAACTCTTTTGAATTTTCAGATTTTAAATGTGAATGTGCCCGCTGCTCTGGTGAACCAATGGGTCCTTGGACTCCGGGACGCTGTCCTGTGCTGCGGTATGGAGTCAAGTGTAGGGCACCAGCAGCAGAGCCTCAGGTTCTCACTCTGGAGCCAGGGGAACTGTGCTCAGAGCCACACTGCGGTTCCAGGGTGTGAGGGCCGGGGATCAGGGCCCAGAGTGGACACAGGGCACTGTCCTTTTGGGCTGTCAGCAGATCACATTTCACGAGTGGGAAGATGTAGGGTGCGACCTGGTCAGTGTGCACATGGTCCTCACCCCAGCAGGGAAACCTGGGAGTCGCTGTTGCTACTACTGATGAGGTGAAACCCTTGACCTGACGCTGCCCCTGCAGTGTCCTTAGGCAGTGCTGTCCCCAAGCTGCCACAGCACACAGTTCAGCAAGGGAAGGCTGGAAAGAAGGTGGTAGGGACAGCCTGGGGTGAGCCACAGGTGTCGGCAACAGACCTGGGACCCCACAGAACCAGAGCTAGCCCAGGCGCAGGCTAAATGCTGCTCATGCCCATTGACCGGACCCATGGGGAAGGAGGGCTTGGGATTCTTGCATGGTCTTTGGAGCAGGCCACAGGCTTGGAAGGGATGCAAAAATCAATCAATCAATCAATCAATTAATCAATCAAAGAGTAAACATGGATCGGGCTGCACCCATTAGCCTAGAAGCTCATTCTGTATCTCATGTTGCATATTTGTGAAAATTTATGTGCCTGAAACATGTACAGATGAAATATTTTAAATGTATGCTGAGCGTGAACATTTTAAAAATACATCCTGTGTGAATCCTTTTATTTTTCTTTCATTCTTTTCATGACAGTTTTGAGAAGTGATCCAGAATGCTGAAAGCATAGGTTTTGGAATCAGAAAAACTTGAGTTCAGTCCCAATCAGATGAGCTACTGGCTAAGTAGCCCTACAAAACTACCCCACCTGTCTTTAAGTCTCAGTCTGCTGATCCATCAACTGGACATAAGCCTCACTGCTGGAATGTTTTGAAAATTAAGGCAGTTTCCATAAGTGCTTAAGACAGTATTTAGTTACAGCAAAAAAACAAAGCAAGGAGCCTTTTTTAAAGGATGAACTTCAACATATTAGGCTTCAGTGACCTACATGATAAATCCATCCTAATGAAAGTCAGGTTAGATACATACTTCTGCAATGCACCACTCAGTGATACAACTGGGGAGACAGATGCTGACCACACACTTCAGTTCCTGTATCAGCACAACTATCAGATCTGTGGCAGATCACAGATCCCTCACAGATCAGCACACTCTGACTGACACCTCACAGATTATCACACCCTGACAGATCCCTCACAGATCAGCACACCCTGAGAGACCCCTCACAGATCACCCTACCCTGACAGATCCCTCACTGATCAGCACACCCTGACAGATCCCTCAAAGAACAGCACACCGTGACAGATCCCTCGCAGATCAGCACACACTGAAAAACCACTCAGAGATCAGCACATCCTGAGACATCCCTCACAGATCAGCACACACTGACAGGTCCCTCACAGATGAGCTCATCCCGACAGATCCCTCACAGATCATCACACCCTGTCAGATCCCTGAAAGATTATCACATCCTGACGGATCCTGACGGACCCCTCACAGATCAACACACACTGACAAACCACTCACAGATAAGCACATCCTGACAGATCCCTCACAGATCAGCACACCCTGTCAGATCCTTGAAAATCACCCCACCCTGACAGCTCCTTCACAGATCAGCACATCCTCACGGATCCCTGAAAATCACCCCACCCTGACATATCTCTCAGAGATGGGCACATCCTGAGAGATCCCTCACAGATCAACACACCCTGTCAGATCTCTGAATGATCACCACACCCTCACAGATCCTGGAAAGATCACCACATCCTGACAGATCTCTCAGAGATTAGCATATCCTGACAGATCCCTAACAAATCAGCACACCCTGTCAGATCCCTCACAGATCAACACACTGACAGACCCCTCACAAATCTGCACATCCTGACAGATCTCTCACAGATCATCACACCCTGTCAGATCCCTGAAAGATTATTACATCCTGTCTGATCCTGATGGACCCCTCACAGATCAACACACACTGACAAACGCCTCACAGATCAGCATATCCTGAGAAATCCCTCACAGATCAGCAAACCCAGTCAGGTCCCTTGTGATCAGGTCCCTCACAAATCACTTCAATAAGAAGATACCTGGTAGGTACCAACCAGAGGTCATGAGATTGGGAACAGGGTCTTCTATCTTTCGCAAGAGAGAAAAGCAGGGGAACAGCAGGGCCACAGCCAGAGGGGTCAAAAGTGACCCAGAAGGCAGGTGAGGTGGTGACTTAGGCAGGCTGATGGTGCTCATGAGAGGACACGTGGAGAAGGCCACTGTTGAGCTGGGCTCAGTCATGGGCTCTGGACAGTGGCCACCTCACAGGGTGTCACCAGCCAATTCCCTTGGAGTCAGCTCTGAGCACCAGCTGAAGGCCCTGGTGACTGCCACACTGGTGTCCCCCAGGGATACACACTCTTGCTCACAAAGCAGTAGAGAGCTTAACAAACAGGAGATAGTTGTCGACAAAGGCAGGAGAGGAAACATGGAAGTACCCACCTATTTATTATCAGATACACGCGACCATTGACCTTGGCATGGCTGCGCAGGAGGCGGCAGGAGACAGGAGAGAGACAGAGGATACCATCAGACAGAGACAGCAAGGCAGGCGTCCCTGGGGCCTTCCGTCACCAGGCGAGCCATCGAGCCACCGCACTGTCCACACAGGTGACCTGCCTCGAAGAGTCGGGGCCACCAAGTGCAGCCGCAGCAGGACTTGCACACACTCGGGCACTCACACATGTGACCCTCCGTCCCACTGTCCTCCCTGCCCTCACTCCCTCAGGAAGGACGATGCTTCCAACACGCATGCTAGCAAAAGAAATGCAACCTAAGGGTTAGTGTTTGCTTCTTTCCCAGAATTTAAAAAAGGACAAAAATCTACTAACTAACCACAGTAATGTTTTTCCTTTAAGGTCTTCAAAACTGAAGTTTGAAAAGAAGCAGTTTTGTTGCTTTTTCTTTCTTTTTTTGTAGTTTTGTTTCTACATGCAAAGCACCATTTTCTGACGTGAATTGCACACAGATTACATGGATATTTAAAGGGCTGGAAAAGAGCTCTTATACATTATTATGAATTATTTATTATGTAATAAATAAATTATTACTAACGGTACGTTATAATAGATATTATTATCAGTAGATTTGTAACCTGAGGTTGGCTGCTTAGAAATCACAATAGCTTCTTCTTGTGGGTATTATAAAAGCTTTCCTCAAAGCTAACTTCATACATTTGGTAAGGCCAGATACAATAAATTCTGCTTCACAAAAAAAATTATTTTTCCTATCAGGACATATGTGAGTGCATGTGCACACACACACACATACACACACACACACACACACACACACACACACACACAGGAGGAGAAAGCAGGAAAAGTTAGTTAGACATCAGCAGAAATAGTAGTCCCAAGACAGAGTTAATGAGAACGGAGCAGCCGCTCCCGGCTATGGAGCAAGAAGCGGGTGAGTGGACAGCCAGGTGTGCTGGGCAAGCCCAGTGGCGGGAATATTTATTTTTGTTACTGCCTTAATTTTAAATGCAGGCATTAAAATCGCTGTCATTTACTCTGGGACAAGAACACTGTGGCGTGAGTGCCAATAAGAACACACTGCCATAGGCAAGAGGTGCTAAAAGCTGGAATTATACACCATCTGACCAAAACTAAGCCTGGGGACTCCCCTATGAATCTCTTGCATTCACCCCAAAATACCCTTCTTGAGTGAGTTCCTTATCTTCCCTAAGTTTTCCAGACTTAGAAGAACAAACCATCCCAGACGCTTAAACTCTTCAGGTAGTTGATTCTTCAACTCTCTCCCCACCCTCCAAACTTCCCTGTGAAACCGGCCTCGCGGGGCGTGCTCAGGGCACTTTTGTAAGCCTTGACAACTCTGACTCCCGTGCAGGCACTGTCTCTGTAAGCCTTAAAATGCGGGTGACTTCCCCTGTGCTAGCAAGTTCAGCTCCGAGGGCTCCATGCTTTCATCACGTCAGTCTGGAGATTTCTCAAACAGCTGGGATTGGAAGTCCCATTTGTTCCATCACTGCTTTATTTTTTCTATCTCTGGTCATCACTGCAGGAAGCAGGATTAAGTCCAGGGGACCCGAGCAGCTGGCCACTCAAGGCCCAGGTAACCAGCACAGGGGTCCCTCTGGGTTCTGTCACCTGGCAGTCACTGACATGCTGGTTGGAAGTCAGCAGGTGGATAATCGGGATGAGAATGGAGAGTAAATTTAAACCAAACATATAAGGGAAAGACGTCTGTGGAGTGTGAGAAAAGCTCGCAGAAGTACTTTCCACCATCAGATGAAGTTTTTCAGAGTTATCAAAGGCTCCAGTGCCTACCAGAGCATAGGAACTCAACGTATTTGCTAAAATCACTGTGAGAAAATTTGACTTTTGTCTTCTATTAATGTGTCCCGAGTCCCCTGAAGTCCAGCGAGTGCTGAGAATTTCCGCCGGGGCCTGGCGCTCATCTTCACACAGTCCCCTGCTCCCTGAGGGGCTCCGCGTGTCTCCCAGGACCACTGCAGGCCCCCATAGGAAAAGCAGCTGCCATCTCCCTGCAATGGGCCTGACTGAGGGCCCAGCAGGATGCACCGCGGCCTTCACAAGTGGTACCAGTCTGTGCTGTAAACAGTCGACATTTGTTGGTGGAGAGAAAAAACAGGCAGCTGCTAAGAGAACACACTGTCTTTACTGTCTCACTTTAACCAGCGCCATGGGCACGAGGGGAGGGCGGACAACGTCCTTCCATTGCTCACACACGTCCTTCGCTATGCTGTCCCGTGGCCTTGCCATGCCGTCAGCGTAATAGAGAATGGACCCCAAGTTAGGCGGACATAGTAAATGTCCTAACCAAAATGTTAGGACCAAAATGTCCTAACCATAGTAAATGTCCTAACCTGTGATGCAGGCCTAGCCCACAGCTACATCCAGGTGCCTCAGTCTGCACAGCTGGCTAAACTCCTACAAAGCTCAAGGCTGACCGCTGGTTAGATCCTCCTCCTGAGCAGCCCCTGGGCAGGTGCCTGCAGGCTGGGGGACGGGGGAGTATCCCTCACACTCACCTATAGATGGCACTGTCTTCCTTGCTGGGGATGGACTTGAGGTCTGTGAGTTCCAGGAAGCGATCGTGGAAGTAGTGCAGGTGCAAGATGCACACCAGCAGGAAGGAGGTGGGGATGAAGATGCGAGTGAACAGCTCCGCCACGGTGAACTGCTTCAGGCCCAGGTCCTCCAGCCTGGAAGAGGACGGCAGGGGCCCAGCCTCCCTTAGGCCATGGAGTGCAATGCTTCGGTCCCCTCCCTTCACTGGGCTCCTCGGTCAGCACCCTCTGCCTTGCATTCCCACCCAGCCCTGAGTCCTGCCTTGACTGTGTCTCTAGCCCTGTGCAGTTGCCGGTCCTCCCGCGATGTCCTGCTTGTGATGCAGGCTCCTCCATGCACCGCCACCTTCCACAACCCCCAGAGCCATGGGAGGGGCAGGACTTGACTCTTTTCCAGCTGCACAGTCCCCCAGGGCTCCCCTAGTTCTCAGGCTTTAAGCTCCACTGTCTCAGATTTCTGCACACTCTGTGTTCTCGAGGTGGCAATATTTCCAGCCCTCTTTTCCAAGCACGCACAGCTGGGGAGCCTAGTGGGCCTGACCACCCTGCTCTACAGGGTGCCTGTAGTCCACAGTCTGCAGTGCTGGGCCCAGAGGTGCCCAACGTCAGGCCCTTTGCCTCTGCTCTCCTCTCCACCTGGATGTTGTCCCACAGCTGGCCCCACTGCACACACTTTCCCAGGGCAAAACTGGTTCTTCTCTGCCTCCTCTGGCCAGCCCACCAAGACTGCCCCGTTCAGTTCTCTGCTACTCACTACTTCTGCCTGATGTTTCCTCCCCACAGTTTTGGGCACAAGTGGCAAGGGACTCATGTGTACACTAAGAGGCTGTGTCTGTCTCCTCTGGCAGGGTGCGAGGCCTTGCCCTGTCCCTTGGCCCCTTGCCGTGACTCAGGCACAGCTCTGGCCCCAGGAAAGCACTGTGACATGGCTGTTATGTGAACCCTGCAGCCAGTGTGATACTTTCCTTCTAGACTTTTCTCCTTGACACACCACCTGCTCACCCAGACCAGCTCTGGCCAAGTTCTGGGACTAAGTCCAGAAGCTCACAGAGGCACATTTGGAAGGGAAGGCAGTCCCCAGCACACACAGGAAACACTACTGCAGTGCCATGCACAGTCAGCACCAGCAGGAGACTCCGCCTGGGGCTGTCAACCCTAGAGGTCTCACACAGCAGCCACAGGCTCTGCCTTCCACCTCAAGCCGAGAGCCAGGAGCCTGCTCTGACCCCAGAGCTGAACCTAGTCTGCAAGCAGGGAGCAGACACTCTCAACATCACAGGTCACTAAAACCTCCCCATAGGCGCTGAGCCACACACACGCACACACACATCGCCCACCACAGAGGCTTACTTTTCTTTCTTCAGCCCTGTCATATTTTGCCACAAGCCTGGGAAGTTTTCAAACTGATACGTGTAGATAAAGATGAGCACCAGCATTGTGTAGATGACCACTGACATCCAGAAGTATTTCAGGATCTTCCGCCACCACTCGTAGTGCACCTGCGAGCCAGACATTGCAAAACAGAGGAGGGGAAGATGGTTATGGGAAGCTCAGAAAAACAGCAGTGTCAGAAATGAGGCCTATCTTATGCTTCATGTTTAAACACTCTGCTCCTAATGCAGGTGGGTGAGTGTGAGTTAGAAGCCCAGTTCTCCAGGCTGCGGCACGGCATCAGGTGGAACGAGCAGGAAACACGTGAGCCCTCATCCCAGCAGGCAGCCGAGGAGGGGCACTGCATCATGGTTATCACTGCTCAGGGAAAACGGCATCAGCTCTGGAATCCAGCGTGGCACTGTGTGGGTAAAAATGTGAACCACAGAGAGACATCGCCCTTCGCCAGGGGCCACATCTCAGCGGAGGCCGCACAGCCTGTGTTTGTGAAAGGGTTCAGAAGTTCGTTCTTTTCTCTTGAGGTGCTTTTATCCCCACCTGGGCACTCTGCTGCTTTGTTTTGCTGGTTCCCGACCAAGAATACTTTATCGTTACTCCTGTTTCTCTCCTTGGATTCTCTTCTCATGCTGGGTAAAACTGTGCTTCTGGAGAGCACAGTTCAATTCAACATGATCATCTATGCTTCAGCTAGTGATGTGCTAACACTCGCAGTGTGACACACATAGAGATCTGTGTCCATGCACAGGCGTGAGGAGTCTCCTCATTCCCGGCACCCCAAGAATGCTCCCCTGTGTAAGATCACCCAGATACTCTCTGTTCCAAGATGTAACCTGGTTATAAACACCCCTTTCTTTTGTTTTTTGGCACCGGGGATTGAACTCACAACCTCACGCTTACCAAGCAGGTGCTTGTGCCACTGAGCGAAATCCCTGGCCTAATACCCCTTTCTTCAATCAAGAATTGTGGGAAAAGTTATGAACCTTTTCCTGATTTCTAAAGAGTCTATACTTTTAAGATGGGGAACAGGTTGGCACTGCTGGCGTCAGGATTCTCAGAGTGCCACATCTGACCTTCACGTCACTCTCTGTGCTCCCTTTATTGGACTGGGGCAGCCTGGACTCTTCAGAAAGGAAGCCCGTGTGCGGTCCTGGGCCAGAGGCCACAATTGGAATTTGGGCGTGGCTGTGAGTCTCCTACCTGGTACAAGGCCACGCAGAACAGGAAGAGCACCATGTAGATGATCTTGTACATGACAATCTTGCCCTCGAAGCTGACGAAGAAGAACATCCCGCCACACACATAGATCCAGTACTTAATGAACATGGCCACCACCAGGTTGCCCAGCACCTTCATGATGTCCTGGTCATCTTCCTCTTCCTCTGCCTCCTCCTCTTCCTTTCTTCTCTCTGGCTTCTCCTCTTTTGCTCCCTCTTCTTCCTTCTTCTCTCTGGGCTCCCCCTCCACTTGCACATCTTGAAGTTCTTCATCTTCAAAACAGAAAGCACTGCTGTTACACTCAGAAGGACACCTGACCAGCACTGCGCAGGACATCAGGTGACACAGGGTGTCTCTTCCAGGCCTCTGCGTGAGACTTGGTTGATTTTAGGCTGTTCTACTAGATAACATGACATGCACAACTGACTCACAGACAATTTTCACAACTCTCCTGAAAGGAGGTGTAAAAGGAGATACATTCAGCAATAATTTACACTAAGCTCTTCATAACCCTCTTTTCATTTTCAACATCTGGGACCCAGGATCTAGAAAAATAAATAGGTGACAAAAACACAAATCAAAACGACCACGCTGATTTCAGATTCTATTGGTCTCACCGCCATAGATGATCCAAGCCTTCCCAGACTGCCATGTGCTAGCAATCCAACCCAATGAGTGGCATTAAACCCAAAGAATAACTACGATTTACCTAAGTCGGGAGCAATCTTAGGTGTGACAGTGAAAAACATTTCCTCTTGCTTTAACATATGCTGGTACACGGACTCACTCCGTGTTACCGAGGCTGCTACCTATGTTTGCTCCTTTTGTTCCGTCAGCCTGCCAACCCCGAGCAGGGGGAGCAGAGGCTAAGTGAGGCGTCAGATCAGCTGTTGATCTCTGCGAACCTTTCTTTACCAAAATGCCTGGATTATCAGATCACTGTGCTGACGTTCAAGGTCATGGGCAAGATTGAAATCTTAATGGCAGACTTGCTGATGAAAAGCAACTTGACGGTTAGGCCTACATAGAGACCCTGTTAGACAGCCTAGTGGGTCCCTGGACCGACGGCTCCAGATGGAGGCACCAGTCTGGTGTGGGGAGTGTGTAGAGTGCCCTTTCCAGAGCAGTGCTCCCTCCCGGACCTCCCAACGGCCTCAGTCCGTTCTGCACATGCCAGTCTCCTGTGTCTCGCTGTGTGTACAACGCTCAGGAGCCTTCTCAATCAGTCTGGGTTGCAGGCCTAAAGCTGCGGAGACAGCACCCAAACCACTGCCCTCCCTCCCTGCCTGTCTGGTTTACTTTGTGGTGCATGATTTTTAGGAGTTAAAAGATTGCAGTCAGCTCCTGATTCCAGTGCTCCCTAAAGCGCCCCCTTGGAGAGCCGCGCTAGCTATTTCTCCTTGCACATGTGTCACCTGCCCTCTCTTTTCCACTTGCCCTGCAAAGTCTAACGGTGCTGCACTGGAACCCTGCCTCTTACTGCCCAGAGTCCAAGGCCCTCTTCTGTCCAGGCCAAAGCGCAGAGCTTTGATGGTGCATTGTGGTCTCCTTATCATTTTGCAGAGCACAAGGCAAAATGAGGTCGCACACTGTTCCCATTCATTTACCTTTTTCCTCATGTTCCTGACTCCCGATCTTGACCTCTGCCAGAAGAGCTTCCTTTTCTCGAAGAGCTTTTTGCTCTGTGAGGTGCTGCCTCAGCAGGAGCCAGAAAGTGATAGTAAAGAGAATCTGCAGAGAGAGAGACAAAGAGAGAGAGAGAAGAGAGAGAGAAAAAGAGAGTTGAGAGGGAGTGGCCCCTTCAGGTTGCCCCTGGAAGCCACTGCTTCTCGCCCCTTTGCTAGGGAGGCTGCAGGCACTGGGCCAGAAGCACGCTCAGCGGGCCCAGGCCCCAACAGCTGGAGCCCCCTGTGCTTGTCTTCAGCTAATCCCTGTTCCCCCCAGGAACGCAGTGCCGCTGCTGCTCTGTCTCTGGTGATAGCCCTGATGGGGTGCAATTAGCGTTACACACAGTTCACTCACCTCAGAGACAGGGCAAAAGGCTCAGGGGTGCAGTGAGTATTTAGGATGTCCAAGGTCCTGGGTTCAATTCCCAGCACCAAAAAGAAATGGTACAATTCTATCAGTTTCAGTGTAGTCACAAGTTGTGCAACCATCATAATACAATTTAAAATACTTTCCTCGCTCCAAAAAGAATTTCCAGAGCAGTGACCTCCTCGTCTCCCTACCTGAGCACCAGCAATCACCAATGAACTGTTTGTTTGCACGGATTTGTGTAAACTAGATGATTTAAGTAAATGAATTACAGAAAACATGCTGTGCTCTTTTCCAACATTACACTGAGCATGATGTTTTTAAAGAGTTATTCACATGGTGATATATATAGTTTTTTGTTCCATTTTCTTATTAAACAATATATCACTGTATGAAAGTAAGATTTTTATGTGTCCATTCACTAGCAGTGGGCATACAGGTTGTTTGAACTTCTTTGTGGCTGTTGTTTCGGTGACTCTGGAAAATGCTGCTGTGGGTATTTATGTGTGGGTTTTTCTGTGGACACATCTGCATTTCTCCTGTGTATGCGACCCCAGGATGAAAATTGGTGATCAAGTGACAATTCTGCCATTAGCATTTTGAGCAGCTGACAAACGCTGAACATTTTCCAAAACTGTGCCCCACTTTACAGCCCCACGGCATTGTGTGACACTTCTAACCTCCCCCGGGGCCATAGGACATTTGTTGTCTGCCTTTTTTTGTACAGCTGCCCAGCAGATGAGAGATGGCATCTCACCCGGATTCATAGCAGGCTTTTAATAAATATTTGCTGAAGAAATGAAAACAATTTAAGAAAGCAAATAGGTCATTTTCCTGTTGGGTAACTGCCTACGTAACTATCCCCAAATATCTACTTATCATCTTCTTTCACCCCACCAGGTGCTGGTAAATATGCCCAAGCCTAAAGAAATCAAGGACCATGCATGCACATGTGAAAATCTGGCATGAAAATTCTGTGAGTTGTGAGAATCTGATGCATGAGCAGAGAGGTCAGGAGGAGCTAGGGCCAGTGGAGCATCTTTCCCAGGGAGGACGAGCTAAAGCTCGGCTTTGACAGTGGCAGGTGACACAATTTGGTGGAGCCACGAATGAGAATTTGGTGGAGCCGGGACCCAAGAATTTGCTGCAAAATGCACACACCTGTGAGGACCACCGCCAGACTCACTCCCACCCTACTGACTCTGCCAATGCCCCTGGGACAATCTGAGCCATCTGTTTTCACAAACATCACCACTGCATCAGAGACTTGAGGGAGCTGTGTCGCTGTCATTGAGGACAGCACTTGGCAGCACTTTTGGGCTTCTGGGTGCATTAAAACAGACACAGGGCCTGGCTTCCTAGAATCTGGTTTTTAAAATGAGTAGTAATATTTCCTCCCCAGAGCACTGCTATTTTTAGGTTAGCAGGGAGTATCTACAACTTAGCCTGCTGCCTTTTCCACGACTCTTCGATACTGCCTCAGGCTGGAATGGATTTACACAATCGACAGGGAAAAGCTGGAATCTAAAACTCTGGATTTCTGCTGTAGAGAGTGACTAACTCACCCGTTGTGTATGTGAGTTTGTATCTGTGTTTAAGGGGAAATGATGGAAGGTGAGGGGGGAACAGTGTCAGATAAAGAAGATTGTGAATGAGCACACAATGTGGGATTTTCGACAGAGTAGTTTGGAGAAAAAGTTGAGGTGAATAAGGCATGGTGTTTGGGACAGGTGAATGAATAGATGAAGGAATAAATTATGAATGAAATCTCCACAGTCCATGAACAACACACAGCATCCCTGCCATGGGTGTTCCCCTGTTAGGATTACACTGCCTTTGAGCGCGAAGCCCTTTAGTAAAAGACCTGTTAGAAGGACCGGTCTCCTCCCACCCCACCTGCCACCTTCGAGACTGGTGTCTGACACTCTCTCCGTGGCTGCTCCAGGAAAGGTGGACTCCTCCTTCTAAGATACTGATTCTTCTCTCTGTCTGGTGGGGAAACAGTGTCCAGGCTCATTCAGTAAACACCCTGCATTGCCTTTGCGGCTTGGAATCCCTGGTATACAGGCGATGTGTTTGGAGCCAGCCACTTTGTTACAGAATGGGGAGTAAATCTGGTCACCTCATCTAATGAATGGACATGACCAAGGTGGCCCACGAGAGATCACAGGCCATGAAGAGACCGTGACTGTCCTAATGACAGATGAAAGTGGATCAGCAGACGAAGAAGAACCAAAAGCAAGGGTCAGAACTTAATGTTAGGGGCTGGGAATTTAGCTCAGTGGCTTAAGCGCCTGCCTGGCAAGCGCGAGATCATGAGTTCAATCCCCGGCACCAAAAAAAAAAAAAAAAAGAACTTAATGTTGCAGCTAAAACACTTTCAGAACCATCCTGGGGACAGTCTGCTGCTGAGAGTAAAGGACAGTCTATGACAGCAATGAGCCAATGGGGCTCTTTACACAGTGACGCCTATGAAGAGTTTGTCTTTTAGCCCCTTGCTGGATGCTACCCTGCATTTTCCTACCTTACTTCTGGCTCCTATTACCACATCTGCATGCTACCCCACTACAATTTACACTAAAAATAACTTAGACTCTCATTTTCCCTCAAGTAGGAAACATTACCATTTTTAAGTAAAGCCTACAAATGCAACGTCAGGTTTAAATGACGAAGTTCTCGGTCTCATGTGTGTTCATTTTCTGCAAAGCACTGACTATCTGGGGTTTCCTATTGTAAGGTTTTGCTCGATGCCACTACGACAATGACTACGGTTTTGTTCTGTTGCCTTCTATTTACTCACCTTCGAGGCAAGCTCTCCTGGCTCTTTCTTCTCTAGGAACCCTGGGACCTTCTTAATTTCCGGAAGCTCAAAGCTCCATATATACTGCAGCACCAGCAGCAGATTTGCGTAGACGACCATGAAGGGTGAGCTGATCATGGCGTACTTCCGCCGGTTGCGGATCATCCAGAGCGTGCAGGACCAGATGAGGAGCACGAAGGTCAGCCAGCTGTGGTAGGTGATGCTCCAGGCCTCAGGGGAAGGAGGACAGAGAAAGCGTCAGGGTTAGGGTGGCACAGCCTCCCCCGGTACAGTCCAAGTTTCTTGCAAGGGAGAAGGAGGACGAGTTCCAGGGGTAGGGGAGACTGAGTGCCCCAGGCCTGTGGCAGAGGATGGGAGAAGAAGGGAAGGGGTGCTGCTGCGGAGGGCATGCCTTCCACTTCCCAGGGACACAACCAAAGGCCCAGGCTTCACTGTCACCCTACTTTGCAGTCTTCAAGTCAACGGTAAGGAACTCTTTATTTCCTGTCCCCAACAGTCAGGGGTTATTTATGAGCGATTTGTGAGTGTGAGCCATAGCTGAGCTGAGCAATAATAAAACACGGAGAATCACAAGGTTAAGCATACAGCCAGGCAGAAGAGCCACAATGGAAATGAGAAAGCTCACGTGAGAGTCATGTGTTAGGTGCTCACACATCCCACCCCAGCGAGGGCTGTCCACACAGGCAAGGCTGGCCTCTGTCCAGTCAGGGTGAGGACCAAAGGCCCAGCCATCCTGAAGACAAATGGCACGTTTTCATTCCCATTAAACCATCAAAGAACCAGAAACAACACCCCAATGGCAGCTGGCAGCTGGCAGCCAACCTGCAAGTCAGGGCCATGCATGCTGTTAACGTCAGCAAACCTGCTACACGTTTCTGTCCCCTTTGACGCCATTTTTTGTGTATGAAAAGAGATTTATGAATATTTTCTAGGGTTTTTTGGAGCTGACTGAAATCAAGCACCTTCTTGCATTCATTATGAATTACCAAGACAGCTCTAAAGTCCAAAATGTGTTCCTGGTTTGTTTGCTTCTGGGAAGCTGGACAGCAATGAAGGTGAAGGAAGCAGCAGAGAACAAACGAATGTCTCTTCTCAGCAGTTTGTACTTCAGTCCCGGAACACCACCAGCTTTCTATGTGATGAGTTATTTGAAAGTGCTGGTTTAAAAAAAACTTATAAGCTAGAAATTAAAACTGCTTTTCTGAAAATGAAGACAGTAAATGGCAACTGAAGTCCTCTGAATTATTTTCATGAAAATATTATTCCTTATAGTGTGCATCAAACCAGGCATGATGGTGCACACTTGTGATCCTAGCATTCAGGAGGCTGAGGCAGGAGAGCCACAAGTTTGAGGCCAGCCTCGACTGCACAGTGAGTTCAAGCCCAGCCTGAGCTACTAACTGTTTCAAAACAAAACCAAAATTAGTCCAAAAAAAAAAAAAAAAGAAATAGTGTGTATCAAAGGTTAGGTAATATCTGTCACAAGTTTAGTGGGTTTGTATTAAAGGATGTATTCAGCGCACTTATCGTGGTGTGAAAAGCAAACATAACCTTGCCATTGCGGGTGGTGCAGGACTGGTGGTAAGGCTTTCAGAACCCCAACAGGTTTCTCTCCCTTACTGCTCACGGATGGAGGTGAGGGAGGCTGCTGAAAAGCGCCCTGGCTTTGTAAGGGCTCTGCACAGCCAGCTGTGGGGCATGTGCAGAGTCTACATGACGCAACTGGGGGAGCTTGGTGGCTGGGCTGTCGGAGAGGTCAGCACCCTCCCGCTTCCGATTTCTGCATAGACACACAAAGCGTCCGCGCAGACCTGGCTCCTGCCTCCTGGTTCCTCAGCTTCTGCTGTGAGACAGGAGCGAGCCTGTGGGTAGGCACTGACCGGCAGCGCTGCTGAGTCCTCAATGCTGCGGCCCGGCCAGGACAGCGTACCAGGAAGGGTACATCCAGCGAGGGGCACTGAATTTTCACTGCTGATTTTTTTTCTACTAAGTACCAAAACACATCTCAAAGCTGTTTTTGCTCTAGTTCTGTTTCATTAGGGAAAAGACTAAACTTACCAATACGAGAGAGGAAAAATATGAAGGGCACCCCTGGAACCGCACATTGCCTTTGTTACAGAAAGTGATTAGCATTTAACAAGCAGATTCATGGCTCTTTGGGAAATTAATTATTGGAAATTAAACGAAGCATATGGAGTGGACTCCACTTGAAGAATGGAACCAGTACTCTCCATGGAGCGCCTTGAATTCTGAGGCGCGTGGGCTTCTGCTGCCCTCTGTCAAAGCAGGTCTGCTTAGGGAGCTGCTTCAGCCCAGAAGTAGACAACCACGGAGCGGGCGCAGCTGGCTTAGGGATTTATTTCTCGGGAGTTATAAAGTCTTTCCATTTTTATCATCAGAGGTGTCCATAGGATCTCACCACTGACAAAGAATTTGGAAGAACTGTGTTTTAAATAGGAGTTTTAGATTTCTTGAAATTATGTCAGTTTTCTTGAGAAATTTTTAGAGTGGAGAAAGATTAGAGCTTTTTTATTTGCTTTTCTGAAGCCGTGATGGTAGAGATGGGGTTGTCACAGCAGGCAGGACTGGGAGCTCACAAGTCTCACCCCTCAGACAAAATACTGGTCCCACTCGCCTCCCATAAGAAGTAAAATCATGGTGTGCCAACCTCGAATTCCATCAGAACCTTCCAGGAAAGTCATCCAGTGTGTCCTCATTAGTTGGCAAAATAGGGGACAGTTGGGCTGATAAGCAAAGCTGAGGAACACACATTCATATTTAAAAGAGGGCAGGCAGAGCCGGGGAGGACGTGACTCTGCAGTGAGCACAAATGTCCGTGAAAAACTGGCACAGCCCACGCGGTCTCCCAGGCTGTGGGAACACGAGGATCCCCACACCAGACTGAGCCAGGCTCCCTGGGCATGGCAGCCATGGCCTGGGAGCCTGGTTGGTACCTACCATCATGGCAATGAGGGCGCAGATGTAGCTCTGCTTCATGATGAAGTGGAACACAGACACCATGGCGTGCACCCGGACACTTCTCCTGTCGTCCTGGCTCCTCTCCTCTTCAAATTCTTCCTTCTCACCCTCCTCATCCTCTTTCTTTTCTAGATGGACAGAGACTTTGTGTAACTACCACACAGACAGGCGACATCTGTGGATGCAACTCAGGCTGGTTTGGACATAGTCTTTTAGTTCAGACTTCAGGCATTATTATTATTATTATTTCTACTTAATAAAATTGCCAAAATTGAAATGGAATCAGCAAGTCCCGGTGGTCAGGTGCATGGTACCTGTTATGTTTGTGCTTGGATGTCCCCCCAAAGCCTCATTCAGTCATGGGGCCAGGATTCTAGAGTCTATGAAAGACTCATGGTCCAGTGCTGGGATTATGGGTGCTACATCCAAGTGGCTGTGGCCTACATACAATGTAAGGGACAGAGTCTTTGTCTTGCTCTTCTCTTTTTGCTCTTGTTGCTTTTTCTGTTTTCCACCACCATCAATTGTTGCCCCCTGCATTGTGCCATCCTGCCCTGGAACAAATTGATTATGGAATGAAACCTCCACAAACTGTGAGCTAAATAAACCTTTCCTTCTTTAACTTTGGGTGAGGGTATTTTGTCTCAGAAATGAGAGAAAAATAACTGAGACAGTACCTGTCCCTGGGAAAGTGCAGGAGGAAAACTACAGGAGAGGACAGAAAGCCCTAGGAGAGCCCTGGAAGCTTGGCCTCCTGGCACTCAGGCCCTGGATGTGATGGGCTTCATGCCCCAAGGCCATTCTGAAACAGGTGAGATGGAGAACCACTCCTAGCTCTGTTGTAAAAGATAGTGGCTTTGCCACGGACACCAGCTATTCCTGAGACAGGCCAGCTGCAGTGTGTGACTGCCCATGGAGCTACCCAGGTATTAGGAACTGAGGTCTCCATCCGCCAGCTTCCAGCAAGATGGCAAGGGCTATGGGGTGGGGCTAGGGGTGGGTCTGATGCCATCTCATGAGGGACCCATCTGGTCACACCCAAGTTCCTGACTGAGCAATGTGCATGTGACATAACACAACTTGTAAGTCAGCAGGTAGAACAGTCTCCTGATTTTCTTGTTCAAGTTAACTGGGCTGCACAGGAAGCATCATGGCAGGAGCTGTAGCACGCTGAGAAGGAAGAATAAGCCACAGAAAAAGCCAGTGACAACTGCTAATCCACAAGCATTTGGGGGACCCGCCACAGGGCAGGGCTGTGGCCTTCCCTCTGGCATCATCCCACAGGCAAGGGTGTCAGGGAACCAGGCACCCAGCAGCACACTTCAGCCCTGTGCACAGTGTTTCTGAGTGTATGGAGTCCATTTCAGAACAACTTTCCAGGTTTTATTTTACTTTTGAAAGTTCAGTGTATGGTATATGAGTGTGCTTGTGTTGCCTTGGCAGTTGGCAAAAATCCATGTGCTCTCACACAAGCGGCATAAAGAGAAGGGTGTCTTGGCTGGGTCCAGAGCACCCATGGTACTAGATCCTGTCCAGTGCCCCTGTGGTGCCCCTGTGGTTCTGGGCTGCTACTCTGAAGGGCAGCTCGGACTTGAAGCTCTGCCACCTAGGTGAGCAAGTGGGTGGCGGGAGCTCATGGAAGCGGCTGGAGTTGGCGTGTGTGTGTGTGTGTGTGTGTGTGTGTGTGTGTGTGTGCGCACACACACGTGCAGGGCCAGCTGACTTTGATCCAACCTCACTGCAAGCACCGGATGACCTGACAGGTAGCAGGTAGCAGGACTGTCAAGGGGCAATCGCAGGAAGTACTGGGAAGAAGCAGGAAGAACAGAACACTAGGCCAGGCCAGGCAGGGGTTTTGCAGAAAGGTCTCAGAGGATGCGTAATACATCTCAAATGCAGATGTGGGCAGATCTGCCTTCTCTCAAGCTGCTCTGGGGCTCCCTGCATGCATTCTGACTTCCTTTTCCTCAATATTCAACTCATTTCCTTTTCATAAGCTGCGACACCAGCTTATAAATCGACCAGTGTCCAGCACAGCCGCAGACCTATGCTGCTGATGTCCACGTTCTTCAAGCCATTCCAGAAATTTCTGTTTCTAGGTCAGGGCTGCAGCCTTCAAGATATTGGCTGCTAATTAGAATTTTTTTTTAAAAAAGAATGATGTGCAGACTGAAAACAAGTGTGCGGGTAAGACTTCAGCCTTGGGCCACCACCCCATCACCGGAATAGCTTTCCTTCAACACCATAAATGGAGAGACAGAATGCAAGTTTTGACCTCATCCGTGGTTCTGGGGATTGAACTCAGGGCATTGCCCAGCCTGGGCAAGGACCTCATCACTGAGCCTGGCCCCACAATGGACCAAAAAAGACTCATTCCTACAACAGTCATGGATTATCCAGAAAAGCAGTGATGATCACTGTCATATCAACAGGAGATCAACATACAGAGACTTAAATCTATATATATATATGTGTGTCCATGTGGGTTTCATGCTATCACAAGTTTACATGTTTGGAACTTGTTTTATTTTGTTTTTGAGTCAGGGTCTTGTTATGCAGTCCAGCCTGGATTTGGACTCACTGTATATCCCAGGCTGGACTCAAACTTGCAGTGACCCTCCTGCTCTAGCCTCCCAAGTGCTGGGATTACAGGTGTGCACTGCATCGGCTGGTTCAAATATTTTGTTCTAAGTTCAAGAATGGAAGATGAAGGGTAACAGGCTTAGTTAGAGCCAGTGCTTAGACACGTCCAGCACGAGGGCTCGGTGTCTGTTGAAAAGTGACAAGTAATCTGAGCGAATAGCAAAAGAAACAGCCAGTAGGCCACACTCACCACTGTGGCCCCAGTGCTGGGCTCCTCACCTGCTGACTCTTCCGAGGGCTCCCAGCGGTAGCAGGGCGTGGAGTACAGGTCAGGCTTGGCCGGGCCGTTCTCCAGTGGCAGGCTTGGGTGGATGGTATGGTAGTCCACAGGGTTGCCGTTCACCGTCACCAGCAGGCCCTGCGGTGGAGCAGGAAAGAACTGCTGAGGTCAGCTTGGAATCCCATTGTGAGTGCCTCTTTCTGCCCTGTGCCCTGTGCCACCCCACAGCCAGCAACTGATGGAAAGCTGATTCTGCCGACATGCCAACTCTCCTGCAAGGTGAAAGTGTGCAACAATCTCTAAACCCTGTCTGCACAGAGTGGCTGCAGCACCACACATACCTGGTCCTGTTTCATCTGTGGCAAACCATGCAATGAGGCCCTGCAGATCTTTCGCCCCTTCCCCCAGTCTTGCCCACACTGCATGCAGCTCTGCAGAGGGTGCGGGTCTCAGCTTAGATGCTCTCCCGGGATACAAGCCCTGCCAGTCTGCACACGTGGGCTCCTTTCTGTCTCTCTGGCCCACTGCTGTTGAGCTAAACACATAAATGCATGCACATGTGTGTTCATGAGTGTGTGAGGCTTCTCATCTAAATGATGCAGTGATCAGCACAGCCATGGCTTAAACAACAGCCCCACAGATGGACAAGGCTTTCCAAAGTTTAAATGTGCCTCACCTAGTTATGTGCAAGGTCACAGCATGAGTCTTGGGTTTTTAACAGCAATAAGCCCGATATAATTTTTGCTAGAAAATAACCAAAAAGCTTATAGCGATTTTATATATTCCTAAATAGACTCAGAGGAACTCTTGTAACATCCCACTTTTAACTTTTAAGTCACTTATGCAAGCATAAATGATAGTTCTAAGGATATACTAACGTCAGATGGTTTGTAGTCATCTTGGGTCATGGATAAAAGCTGCAAAAAGCAATGCAGGACAGCACGTTAAGAGGTGAGCTGGAAGCGTCCCAATGCTTCTATGCATCTATGAAGTCCCATCCACACAGCCCCACTCTCTCTAGCTGGAGGAAGCCTAGTACATTATCGCTGCCATGCAAAACATAAAGCAACAAATCATTGAGCTGTGAGATGCTGTTTACTGTGGCCACTTCCTGAGTCTGATGTTTATTTACTTTTAATGACAGCAAATATGCAACCATAAACCACTCAGTTACAGAATTTACTATCTTTTTTAGGTGTCCTGTTTTAACAGAATAAAACACTTGGTTTTATGCTGCTAGAACTCTTAGAGAAATCTGCGAATTCTGGAAGTTTTTTTTTTCAAGAAAAGTTTCTTAGTAAAATGAATAAACAAGCAAAAAACATCAATTTTTACTGATTTTTGAAATTATTTTAAGATTTGCATATTGCTCACAACAAAATAATTATTATAGGATCATGCTTTTAAACTACAGTAGTGCCAAAAGTTTTGGCTGTCCTCAAATAATTATTAACACAGCAAATATATCTTGGGTATTCTGGAGTCTGAATCCAGAACACCCAGGACTGCTGTGGACTTGGGAGCACTGTCCGCTTAGGCCCTGTGACACTCATTTGAAAAGCATGCTGCCCCTGCCAGCATTGGTGCAGACACGAGAACTGCACAGTGTCCTGCTTCTATCTGGCCACACCTCTGGGTGATGGAGACTTTTAGGTCATTACACTCTCTTGGCACCAGTGCTGTCCCCAGCCACAATCCCTGCAAGAGGGTTTGCTCCTCGACATGCAAGCTTGAGGGAGCCTGGGGGACCGGCCAAGGATAGAGGAGCGTTTGTCACCACTACACAACCGGGCTAAGGGCACAACTATGACAGAGTGGAGCCCAAAAGGGCAAAGGATCCAGGCCTTGTGAATTATACAGTGTGCCCACATGTGCTGGCCACTCAACAGAGAACAGTGACACTATCCATTCCATTTATTGTGCATTTTAGAGGTTTTCTGTACTTTTACCAAAGAAATTAGAGCATCCCTCTTAGGACTAAGAGATGTCAGCAGAAAGGGTGGACACAAAGCGCTGTCTCCCAGAGCGTTCTGCCCCCTTGGGAAGTGCTGGGCTCCTCTGCTAGAGCGCCCAACCTCTCTGCAACCCAGGAGCACCCTGCACCAACCCAGACTTCCTGGGCCCATATGCAGGGTGAACACACGCACAGCAGAGCAGACCCAAAGCATGCCTGTCCCGTGACTTACTTTCCTCTCATCAGTGGGGTAGTGGGCTGCGTACCACAGGCTCCGCCGCCGCTCTGCTGAGTAGTGCTGCTTGGGGCTGTCACCCAGGGCATGGTCCTCCTCCTTGGCTGGCTCATCTGGCACCTAGAACACAGAGTCACAGCCACAGCTCTGTGTCCCAGAGCAGCCTGGGCAAGCAGGGCTGCATTTGCCCCACTGACTGTTTTTTCAGAGCTAACGTGTACTCCACATGGGACATGAACGAGGCACACAAAGCCAAGTGCCAACGCTGCCCTGAACTCAGTACAGACGAGGATGTGAAAAGTCCCGGTCCCCATGGTGCCCAGACCACCCCTGGGTGCCCTCACACAAAACAGCCCCAGTTTCTCAACGTGCTACACCCCAGGCTCTGTGTGCAAGAGCTAAAGGTCTGCACAAGCGTCTCCTCACTCCCAGGGGGCAGCCAGGTGGGGCCTTGTACAGGTGTCCCAAGTTACGGCTACCTGATGATCGGGTCGTGCCTTCAGCAGCCAGGCCACTTCCTGCCCACTGACCTGGTGGTGATGACAAGCGCCATCTCCCCTCTCTGCTGGGGACCTGCAGTGCAGACCCACACAGGACAGTAGAGACACCTAGCACTTGTGTAACAGGCTTTGCACTATGGAGTCTAACCCGAGGGGTCCGAGGCCAGTCAGAGCAGTCCAAGCCGAGCCACGTCGACATTCTAAGTGAATTCTGACTTGTGGGTGTTCTCAGCCCAAGGGTTTGTCAGGAAGGGACCCCACTGCAAGCCAGGAGCATTGAGAGGACACTGGACTCCTGAAAGTTGCTGCTCTGTGTATGGGGGACTGTTGCTTCCCTGCCCACAGGGAGAGCCTGACAGTTTTCATGAAATGTGCCAGGTTCCTTGAAAGTGCGATTCGGTCAGTGTTCCATTTCCTGATGCTCCCTCACCAAGCAAGTCCTCTGCCCTTGCCCACTGATGTGAACCCTTGAGGTGTGGACACTGCTGCTGCAACCTGCGGTGCTGCCTCTGCCCGGGGGTTCTGCCCCATCTCTGCCTCTCTGCCCCGACAGTCCAAGGCTGGGACCACAGAATACGGCAGAGTTCGGTGGGGAGTAGCGCTTTTGCTGAGCCACCTCCTTGTGAGAGAGACTTTTGGAGCCCACAGGAAAACCACAGGCAGAGCCTCATAACAGCTGCAGCGAACTGTGCTCCTGTAATGGTGAGGGGATCATTACGAAATAGTCCCATCATGCATTTACTGTCTTATGCACATCGTTTATGGATGTCTATATATTCCTGTGTGCTGTGATTGACACGATATATGGCGAATGTTTAAATTTTTAAAAATTTATTTTGGTAAAAAGTTATTAACCTGCCATTAATCTCCCTCATAATCCGTCTCTCGGAACGCACTCATCCTATTGTTCTTGCTACTTCCTGGAGCAGTTCTGGAAGTCTTTTTTTGTGAGTTTTTGCAAAGTGTGATTAAAAATAAGTACACCAAACGTAGCTGTTGACCACCATCCAACAGATGGTGAACACGCGCCCTAAGCACCTGCCTGAAGGCCTCACCCACCTCCTCCAGCACGTGTGGGGTCGCGTGGCTGTCGGCTCTTCTCTAAACTCCAAATGGTCAGGAAAAGGAAGGCAGCCAGGACAGGGCATCTACAGACACTCGGAAAGAGGACTTCAGAGTGGCTGTAGAAAGTGGCAAAGACGACAGGATGAAAGTGTTCAAAGAACGGGGGAGAATTCTGAGGGTTCATGGCAATGTGTCTTTCACTGCAGCACTTATTAGAAATGGAAATGTTCACTATAAACGTTCATTTTTTAGTCATACTTCATGTGTTTGTGAAGGATGCAAACATCATGCTATTTTAAAGGGAGTTCCTAAGGGAGCTGGAGAAATGTGGCAAGAGATGGCTGGATTCCTCCTGACCTTACAGAACAGTTGTGACTATATCTGTACCCTCGGGCTCAAAACGAAGATGCCCTCTGAGGATGCTGCTAACACTCCTGTGCACGGTGCTGCCCTCACACAGAACCCCAAGATGGGGCAGGGGCACACAGGTTTAGGAAAGGTGGACAGATGGTGCCTCTGCCAGGGTTGCCCTGAGACGTGCGCCTCGCCCACTCACAGTCACAGTGGAATCAGCGCCATTGACTCCTCTGGGTCTGATTTCCCTGAGGAAGTGTGGGCCCCGGCTGCGGGGGCAAGTTCTGATCTTGGACTGACTGACGGAGTGTGTGGCTAGAGCATGCTAGAGCGTGATCTGAGGATGTGAGGACAGGAGAGAGGATGTGAGGACAGGAGAGAGAAAAGAGAGAAACAGTTCCAGGCCTAGACGTGAGCGAGGACAAGGGAAGATGGACCGGACTGCAGGCCTTGGCTCAGCCCAGCCCTGTACTGCTTCTGCCCTGAGTGGCGCCCTCTGCAGGTGGCAAGGAGGCAGCACTGACCCAACTGCCTGAGCAGAATTCCTGTCTTGGGATGACCAGCGGACCAGGAGAGGGTGGCCACAGTCTCCACTCTCCCTTTGAGTGGCCCTTTGCAGGGCCCTCCTGCCGTGTGGGCTGCAGGCATCAAGGTGGGGGCTGCAGCACCCTCAGGCTGGAGAAGCCCGTGAATACCATGGGGTAAAAGAGGCCGCGGGGTCAGGAAGTTTGTGATTTCAGGAAAACCAGCTCTGTAAGTCCTCATTTCCCTCACCTGTTGGAAAGGTGAGGCGGAAAGGGAACTGGCTCTTCCGAGGGAGTGTAGTAAAGTTTGTAAGCAGCCTCGTGTGTTACCCATAGTTAGTAAATGCTCAGGAAAAAATGAACCCTCTGCTCTCTTCCCTGCCCAGGATTTGCGGCAGCACCAAGGGGCGCTCACGCGAGAAGCCAGCCACCCTGACCATTTTCTGTCCACCAACAATAGGCAGCACGGGGCTCTGTGACCAGACGCTGCAGCAGTGCTGGGCTGAGACCTGGTCAGCAGGGAGCTGGAGCAATGGGCAGTCCCTGAGGGGCCAGGTCACAGCAGACAAGACCACCACGGGCACCCTGGACTCTTACTAGGGGCTCCTGGAGCCAGATGCGGATCAGCGTGGCCAGTGTGTAGTACATGACCAGCAGCAGGATCGGGTTGGCGTGGTGGTACCAGGACAGGTCTGGGTTGACAATGATCTTCCATGTATTGGAGCAGTCGGTTTGGATCACTGACTTGATACCAAACAACCTGTTCAGAAACAAAGAAAACCACTAAGCCATCTGTCTCCACCCTTGCCCACAAGTGCACTCCACAAGTGCATCGGGATGAACTGCACGCAGACCTGTGTAACACACGTGCAACCTGCACACTCTAGAAACAGGCATGCACAGTGTGTAACAGCGATGCCTACATTAGAGTGATGATCTTCACAATGGCTCAAAAACCCAGCTACACCTAAATTCCTGCACATCTTTTACAAATTTACATTCTGATTGCCATTTAGCCCTGTTAAAACCCTGCATTACTGAAAGGCCAAGTATGTGGTAACATGTTACCAAGTCCAACTAAATGAGCAAATATTTTGCTTGTGGCTGGACTTGGCATCAGCTATTTAGCTAGTGTTGACTTTACAGGGAAAATACTGAAAGTGGACACAGTTCCACAGTTCAGCTGTGAAAGTCAAATATTATTAGCAGAATTGCTGTAAGATTCATCAAGTTTCATTTGATTTTTTTCAAAGCTTTGTAATTAATCATTTACCTTGAAAGATGGCTTTATGAAGCTTGTCAGATTTTGAAATAGTTTATTTTTTACTGCTGTTTCCCACTATAAATCAGAATGCTTTTGATTGTATAGTGGGGAAATGTACAAAATATGATTTATTTAGAAATTCATTTTGATGTACAGTTTTTCTCAGACAAAATGCTATTAAATGAATAAAACTTTTATGTGCTAGATGCATTCCATACTGTTATATTGTTTGCATTTTATATAAATTGAACTTCCTTTAGTTTTTATATCATAGTCTACATTCAGTTATGACAAGGATGGGTGTTATAATCCTGCAATGTTAGAACTATTTTCTATCACAGAATAAACACAGTGATACAACACAGATTTCAAAGTAAGCTAAAGAGAAATTTAACTTTCAATTGTATTAGAAAAAACAACACACTAGAACTTGTTTTTACTATAAGAATTTTTTTCTTAAACCCAAGAAGATTTTTTTTAGAATATTTTTGATACCGGGGATCAAACTCACGACCTCGCGCTTGCCAGGCAGGCACTTATGCCACTGAGCTAAACCCCCAGGCCCCCTCCCTTTTTAGAATCTTTGTTTTCTGTTTTTTTAAACCCAAGAATATTTTTTTGTAGTCAGCATCTGAAAGAAAAAAGTACTGAAATATCACACTAAATCTCACTAAAATATACAGTAATATATAAATACATAAAGTGTTACTTTAAGCAAAACAAAATGGCAAAAAATTCTTTAATAGTGAATTTTCTGAACATGGTTTTTACAGTCTTATATTGAAATATAATTTCTTGTGAGATACAGAATGAAGCTCTAGATTTAAAATTGGATGAGCTGCACAGGCTTTTAGGTTCTTCTAAGAAAGAGGCTGGTTGTTGCAGGTTCCAAATCCTCACACTGACTCCTCAGCTAGGAATGACCTCATCCAGCTGCGGTTTACAAGGACCTGCTTTGCTCCATCAGAGATTTAATAGTGACTTTCCACAGCTGTTTGTAAACTGACCTAGGACTCCTGGGAGGGACTGCACCTCACCTCCACCCTTCACACCTTCCCAGAGGGCTCCTAATTTATCCCCACGGACTATACACATTCACACACACACACACACACACACACACACACACACACACACACACGGAGTGACTGCTGTTGGGTGGCACAGGTGTGAGATCTCACAGAAATGAGCAGAGGCCACACAGTCCGGGCCGCTGTCTCTCACAAAGACTGTTCCCTAATGGAGACGGTAAAAGCCTTTAAGATCTAAGGTTCTCCCCTTAAAAACCTGAGATAGCGCAGAAAGGATTAATAGATGAGGTAGGAAACTGGAGGTCTCACACCCATCTTTGCAGCGCAATCCCATGATTCTCTGCAATAGAGACTACAATTTCCTAAGCCCTCTCTTCTCCAGAATTGCATGAAGACACGGGTGAGACAAAGAAGAGCACCCCACAGCACCTGTCCTGGGAACTCCCCGGGACAGCAATGCCACGGGCTGGCCATGTGTCCCTGCTCTCCCTGCATGTGGACACTTGGAGAGGGGTCGGGAGGGTGAGTGCAGCACCCTGTGCAGCCAGTCCAGGAAGGTTAGGTTGGGGGAGGGGAGGGAAACCTGAACAGGTGAGCTGTCGCCAGGCTGTGGGGCTGCACTGGACTGCATTAGATGGAATGGCAAGGCCAGAGACTTTGGCTACGACGCCCCTCTGGTTGGTGCTCCATGCTGCCCTGCGGGGACCACACGCCTGCGTGCCTCTGTGGGGTCCCAGCCTGGCTTCCCACTGACTGAGCACAAAAGCAGTTGGTTCTCCATCCTTGTAGTTCCCCATTTGTGGACTCCAGCAACACACATCAAAAAGTATTTGGAAAAACAACTAGGTGTATTCATATTTCTGCACATGTCCCAACTCTTTTATTGGTTATTATTCCCACGAGTGCAGCACAGCAATGAGGCATCTGTGTGTTTGATGAATCAGTCACAAGCACGTTTAGAGGCGATCGTCTTAAATCTCCTGCAGTGGGATCTGAGGCCGTGGCACGGTGCCCCTGCTTAGCACTCACTGGAGTCTGAATGATGCGGCATCTCCCAGCTCTGTAGCCCTTGTCCCCTTCGGAGCCCAGGCTGCCTCGCTCTGTTGAGAACACGTGCGCGGGTGCTAAGTGACTCATCGCTCTGGCTGATGCTTGCTGGGGAAATCTAACAGCATCAGCACATGACGTGACATCTGGACAAAGAAGGATGGTTTTCCATTTTTTGTTTTTGGTACCAGGGTCAAACTCAGGACCTTGCACTTGCCAGGAGGGCACTTAAGCCACTGAGCTAAATCCTCAGCCCTATGGATGGTTTTCCAGATAATCTTACCCTAAATGCTAAAGGCCTCGCCAAGACCAGTGCTTCCCCAAGGGAGGCTGAGGATGATCAGTCCCCAGGGGAGACAGATGGGCCTTTGGGGCATGGTCTGCCTTGCTGTGCTGTTCTCTGTGGCCCACGTTCCTGTCCACAGAAGACCACTTCCTGCCTCTTTTCTCCAGTCCACCCCGGACTGTCACTTCATTTAGCGCCAGGAAGCTCAGGTCTGGCTCTCCCCATTCCCCTTTTCCTCCTGCACTGCCCTGGCCGGGGGCATGAGCCCAGGTCCCCACGGAGGGAGTGTGGCTGCTGTGTCACACCAGGTGTCACTTTCCTGTCCCACATAGGTGAATGTGAGCTCGCAGAAGCTGAGTGTCACTGTCACAGCCAGCCACCTTGGTCTTCCAGGCCTTAGCCAGCACTTTCCTGCCCGCTGTGATTTTTCTGGGGTTGCAAACTGAAGGACAAGGGGTGCATGTGCTGGATACCTCTGCCCCATCCTGAGCCGTGCGGATCCCAGGAGCAGACAGGCAGACTGCAGACCGCCTGGTATTTCAGCACTGCAGCCTCTGACCCCAACTGATGAGCGCAGGGCTGCATGATCCAGTCCCCTTCAAACACAGAAGACCTCAGAGGGACATTGCAGGTGGAAACCATGACACACTCCTGTCCATCTCAGTACACAAAATGCGTTTAGTCTACCTTTGAAAGTCATCAACCTGTGAGGCCAGGAAGGGCTTCCGACACTGGTATCTCAGGACTGCAGCCTCCCATCCTAACTGCCCCCTCTTTTCTCTCCATCCATGCGTTCCCTCCACCCTGAGCTCCCAGGACATGGGCTGCAGCCCAAGGAATGTGCAGTTCTCCCACGCACCGTCCATCTTCTAAATCCTCATGCTAATTTATGAAATTACTTTCACATTGGTTCTTTTATTCTTTAATGTACACCAGCAGCCTGAAACTGATCCCCGGCCTTTTCCTGTGCCATCATCCTAACCCTCTATTTTGCTTTGGATGTCACTGACATGGTGACATCTGCCTGCAGGCTGCCGTCCACATCTGTCCTGGAGTCATTCTGCCCGACTCTGAATTCAGGCATGAACCAGATGGAATGCAATGGAATGGAAACCAACACCTAAGACTTAACTTTGCAAGTCACAGTTTTAAAAAGGAGGTAGAAGGCGCAATCCGGGCTGCAGACATACAGAAGCTTTGAGAATTTCTGGGGAGACTCTCTGGGATGATTGGAGCCTGGAACCCACAGCCTTAGGGATTTCAGCTTGGACAGGAAGCAGAGAGTCAGTGGACAGAAGCACACTTTTGTTCCTTTAGGCACACCCCAGGCCATGGAGCGCGGACACTTCCTTTTGTTCTCCAGCTGCACTTTGAACTTTACCCTCTGAATGGCCACCAGCAGATGTGGACAGCCAAGAATCCGGGTGGCATGGGTGGGATGTGGTTGGCTCTGAGTTGCCTGTGGTGACCCTGGGAGTGGGGACCTGAAAGGCAGGGCCCACTGGGATCCTCGGCTATGAGCTCCTGGTTGGGCCATGGGGCCCTGTCATCTCTGTGGGGGGGTGACCCTTCCCTCCCTCCATGCACTCCCGACATCCTCCCCAAGGCCCTCACTGAGCCATGCCCTTGACTCCCTGTGTAAATAATTCCTTTTTCTTCATAATTATAGCCCACAATGAAAAGCTGACAAACACATCAGGTTTATAATTAAGAAACAGCAAGAGATTCCAAATCTATTAGGAAGAAACAGGAGGCAACTGGATGGTCCTTTTCAGCTGCGGCCATACTTCCCTTCAGTTGTATGAAATGCACTCCCTGCCCTGCGGAGAAAGAGGTACTGGCCGGGCAGAAGCATGCGCTCTCACGGTCAGGCCAAGCGTCCTTCCTCCCAGGCCCAAGTGCACCTGCAGCTGCCTCTGGCTCAGCGGGCTCCTGGCAGAGGCCTCTGCCCTGTAGGCCCTTCTCTGCTTCTTCTTCTCTCTCTGCAGCACTCGCAACATCTGACCTCCCCTAGCCATCGTGACTTGGCAGGGTGTCGGTTACCATGTCCCACAGTGGCAGATTTTTAAAGTGGCCACATGCTTCAGGTTCATACCTGCTCGGTGTCTGGTAACAGAGGGACCTGCCATGTG